TTACTTATCTTTTCATAATAAAAAAATAAAGTCACCAATCATTTAAAATCGTTGTAACAAAACGATCACTTTTTCAATGTGCCATAACTTTGTCATCGAGGAAGTACACATATTTTGACCAATTTTTTTCGGCTGGTTTTGGATACGCGCATCTACGTGGGATGGAGGATAAGAGGATTGCAAGGTACAATGCATATACTATGAAATGATTTTTTTTGCAAGTAATTTACTTCAAATCTTATTTCTGATTGTAAGATATTTTTAATCTTATTTTCTAAAATAGTATATTTAATGTCATATAAGCTTCATATAAAAAAATCATGTAATTTATTTCTTAAAATAAAATCTATCTACGTGTCATGTAAGCTCTATATGAAAAATTCTTGTTGTGTAAAGAACAAAAAAAAAAAAAAAAAAACTATGTTTATCTTGTTAGTTAAAAAGAGTTTGAGACAAAAAATAATTCAATTATGATGGATGTTTATTTTTTTCGTTAATTAAAAAGGTGAATCGATTGTTTAGATTGTTTAGAAAGAGATTGATGACATTTAAAGAAAAAGAACTATATAATTGTTTGAATTAGGTTTTTTTTCATAATTTTTACCTTATTATTAATTATCAAAAAAAAAAAAAAGATTCAACATAAAATGGCATGGATAATTGAGGTTACATGATATAAAATCCTTAATTTAATTAATAAAATTTAAAATACCTCATTTTTATAAATAAGATTTTAGAATATCTTAATTTAGGGGAAAAAAAAAGCCATGAAATGGTATAAATGATAAAGCTATTTTTTGTGTCATTAATTTCACAAGAAAAAAGAGATCACAGGGTATAGATATTTCATTCTGATAATCTGCATACAATTTTTTCATAAATTAATAACCTGGACAAACCCTGCATCTAGATTTTTTTTTCTTAAATAGAAAATATTGTCAAATCAATCTACACGTCAATCTATTCAGATAATGAATTCTCTTTATCTAGATTAATAGACTTTTATGGTCATATCACTCCATTCTCCATTCTATTCCAACATGGAATAAATATAATAAATTGATTAGGAATAGACTAATAGAACAACACTATACAAGAGGAAGAAAATTTTGCTTGCTCAATTTTCTATCGCAAAATCAAACAGAATTTGCAGCCCAAATCTTTGAACTAAAATAATCTTTTTTCTATAATCATTTCATAAAATTTAAGGATGACCACATCATACAGAATGACTGTATGTGTACAAGGTGGCCCTCTTGTAGACTTTTTGGGAGGAGAGGCCCATCGAACTTGTTTGTCGTTATTGTACCTGGTAAGAAGTCTAATATTAATCCAATCAACACCAAACAAAAATTGGAACCGATAAATCAGTCACCATCCATCCATGTCCTTCTACGAAATTCAGACTATTATTAACCAATTAAGTCTTACATCTCCATTATGTTGACCAACGATATGGACTGACAAAAGGGTTTTATTTTCACACGGATTGGTACACATCTTGACACGGTTACTAATAGTTAGGAAAAAGAGAATTCACGGACATGGGACCTCTAGTTTCCTCGTATCGTTACGGTGGACTTCAAAGTTCAAAGGGGTCCATAGCGTGGACTAGCTGCAAAAATAAGTACAGTGTTTCTGTTCATAAAATTAATTTCGTTACAGGAAGTAACGAAAACCTTAAATCGAAAGAAAACTCCTAAGTTCGAGGTCACGAGTATCAATTAAATTGACACTAACAATTTTTTTTTTTGAATAAATAGACCACAAATTTATGCTCCTATATAATAATGATATATATAATAAAAGTCTCTTTTTTTTCCAGATAGAATAAAAAAAGATAAACAATGGGAGCCAACAAAATAAAGGCAAAGTTATTGAGTTTTTTTTTTATTTTTTTATTTCTTCCTCAAATATGATATTTTTTTTAATCTGTTTTTTTTTAAAAATAAAGCATTTTAATTTTTATTCATAAAAATATAATAGTTTTTGTCGTATTCATGTTTTTTTTTTTTCTTATCTAGTAAATTAAAATGTTTGAATATTACAAAAACCAAATCAAAGCTCAACCATCATTTTTAACCTCTAACAACAAGTAGCGGCTTGACCTATTGGAAAATGAGCAGTGGATAGATTAAAACATGTCCAAGTAAAAAACTATGGATTTTCATGTTTCTTTTTTTTTTACCACAAAATTATATATCATAATGCTATAAACTAAATAAAGTGTAGATCAATTTTAATTAACTTATTAAACATCGTGTTCATCAATCAAAACATATTGTAAATTTAATAGAAAAATCAAATACTTATTTTAAGATAATTTCAGTTTTCGTAAGTTTTCATGACAAACCCAGTCAATCTTCAGCTTTCGTAACTATTTTAATTCTGTAAAAATATTTTTAATTCTTTAAAAAATATGTTATAAACATGTCGTTCATCTCTCTGCTTATGCCGATGAAAGTTCAATTTATTTGAACAAAATTGTCTTTAATAGACGATAATGTATGTATACATATAGAGAACATCCAAGAATCAAATTAATAATTAACAACACTAATTGATGGAAAAAATCAAAATCATGCTAGTCGTTGTGGTTAAATAATAAACATAACTTTTTTAATAAGAGAACAAGGATCCCGTGGCTATGAACAAAAAAATCAACAAAATCGAAATTGCCCATATGGGTCTAAATTTCAGTTTTAAATTTAAACACAAAACAATCACATGATTATGTAAAATAATTAACTTGATAGCTATTGTTGTATTTTTTTTTTAAAAAAAAAACAAAAGAGAAACCGTTATATAACTAGAGATAAAAAAGGCTACAATGATGGGTAAAAAAAAAATAAAACTAATTTTTTATATTTTTTTATAACAATAAAAATTAAAATAAAGTTAAAATGTTTGACACTAAATATTTATAATGAAAACAAGTTTAAAACAACCTTAGTTTAGAAATAAATATTTAAAAATACCCTATTGAAAAAAAAATCCAAAGTTATTTGTACTACTATAAGTGTAAAAAGAGATAAGCATAAACGGCATCGCAAATGGAAAGGCGTGTGGGTGGTTGACTGAGGAAAGAGGGCGCGAAAAGAGGGGGAATATACTGGTGGTATATTTTCCTTCCTCTGCTTTATTAACGGGAGTCCGTTGCTTATATAAATGCAACAAACACCCTCTCTCTTGAGCCACAATATTCTTCGTCAATATCTCTCAAGCTTCCTCACTCCTTCCTTCTCTCTTTCTTTCTCACTTTCTCGAGAAAGACAGGAAGATACGGGAAGGTCAGTGTGCAAATCAAAACTCTCTTTTATTATTTTGCCTTATGTTCTTGTAATTTCTCTCATGCATGCAAAAAGAAATATTGTTTTTGTGCAGCGACAAGACAACTTTTGTTATACTCATGATCTTTTCGCTTTCGCTTTTCTTTCTTTATTATTATTATTATTATTTTTTCACAAATCTTAATTAAGAACAGAGCTATTTAGATTCAAATTCTATTTCTACGAGAATCAAAAGAAAAATATGTTTTCTTTTCTCACCTTGAGATGACAATGCTGGTTGGTTTTCCAAGTTGCGACCTGTCTGGAAGTGATTTTTAATGGTATTATTATTATTTTAAAATTGAAGGGTTTTTGTGTAGCATGGTCCACAGATGTTGCCATAACTGACGGGTTGATCTTCCTAATTAATTTATTGTTACTTACCCTAATTCTAGGATCTCATCCGATCAAGTTTCGCTTGGAAAAGATAAGCATCACATTTAATAAATGCCATTTTAATTAATTGATATTACTACTATTTACAATTTTACGTACTGGTAGGAGGTAAAGAGCCTCAATTTTCCGTGATTTCAGTATCATAGGCTCTTGTTCTCTGGTTTTATTAAACAACATAACACTTCTTGTCCACCCATCCTGCCTGAATCCGCTTTTGTAGCTTTGCTAATTTTGGTTCAAACTCTCACGTGTAACAAATAGTGGAGGTGTTTCTTTTCTCCCCCGTTTTTGTTTTTTTGGTTTTCTCCGTTACGATAGATCTCTACTAGAAAATTCCCTTTTCAGCATCCCATTTTGTTCACGCGTTTTCTCATTTGTATGGTAATTAACAAACCTTTCTTGGAAGGTTATTTTTTTTTTCCTTTCTTTCAAAGATTTTCATTTCTGGTTTGTCATCTCTGAAGTTCTTAATACAGAGTGGATTAAATGCAATCAATGGTTTTTCTGTGCATGAATTTATCTTATTTGTCCTTGCCTTAATAGCAATTTTGGTTATGGGAAGTTGCTTAACCATGTTTCTTGGGTTATATGGGGTAGTGTGCATCTTGGTTGCCCATTTTCAATACTGAGAGAGAGAGAGAGAGAGAGAGATTTCTTATTAGGATTTCTTCTTTCTTTTTCTCTTTTAAGTTTCCACTAGCTATGGAAGTTTTTCCTTTCTAGAAGATTAATGAACCTTTTTTTTTCATAATTAGTACTAAAAAGATCTGTGTGAATTAGATGAAGTGCTCTTTGTCTGTAATTTCTACTTTCTTTCACTTGTCTCATAGCCTGCTTCTTGCTCTCCAGAAAGATAAATTAAGTGAGGTGATTAAGGAATGGATCAGCAGTTGGACCTACCATTTGACTAATAGGATTCTATATTTCAAAAAAGTCTTTGTTGATGCTGTTTCCTTACTCATAAAAAATTGTTTGAAATTAGAACCAACACTTATATTATAATCACTGTTTTTGTCGCTGTGTTGAGAATTAGTCCTGCCGTCCCCAAGTAAAGTAATAGTGACATTGGCTTTCTTTTTTCTTTTGTTTGTTTGTGGTTTTTTTTTTTTTTAATCGGTGAAGCCATTTGGAATTTCAACATTACCAGCTGTTAAGAAAACTTTTTCGATATTATTTTCTTAAGATGCTGGAGATATTACATTTTCTTACTCTGGTTTCAATTTTTGCAGAGAAAAGAGGCAGGGAAAGAAATTTTCCTAAATAAGCTAGGTAGTCATGGCCAAGGAATTACAGGTTCTTAATGCGCTTGATGTAGCAAAAACACAATGGTATCACTTCACTGCAATTATTATTGCTGGAATGGGATTCTTCACCGACGCCTATGACCTCTTCTGCATATCCCTTGTCACCAAATTGCTTGGCCGCATATATTACCGTGTTGAAGGAGCAGAGAAGCCTGGTACTTTGCCTCCCAACGTATCGGCAGCTGTTAATGGTGTGGCATTCTGTGGAACTCTTTCAGGCCAGCTCTTCTTTGGCTGGCTTGGTGACAAGATGGGAAGGAAGAAAGTGTATGGCATGACTCTTATGCTCATGGTCATATGTTCGATTGCCTCGGGTCTTTCTTTTGGCGATGATCCTAAAGCTGTCATGTCGACTCTTTGCTTCTTCCGATTCTGGCTTGGGTTTGGTATTGGTGGTGACTATCCACTTTCGGCCACCATCATGTCTGAGTATGCTAACAAGAAGACTCGTGGTGCCTTCATTGCTGCAGTTTTTGCTATGCAGGGTTTTGGAATTATGGCAGGTGGAATATTTGCTATAATTATATCATCTGCGTTTAAGGCCAGGTTTGATGCCCCTCCTTATGAGGTTAGTGCAATTGATTCAACTGTCCCACAAGCTGACTATGTTTGGCGTATAATTCTAATGGTTGGAGCACTTCCCGCTGCAATGACCTACTACTGGAGGATGAAGATGCCTGAAACTGCCCGTTACACTGCACTTGTCGCCAAGAATGCGAAACAGGCTGCATCCGACATGTCAAAAGTTCTGCAGGTGGATCTTGAGGCGGAAGAGCAAAAGGTTGAGCAACTGGCCCAGGAAAAATCCAATAAATTTGGCCTGTTCTCAAAAAGTTTCTTAAACGCCATGGACTCCACTTGCTTGGAACAACAACCACATGGTTCTTGCTTGACATTGCGTTCTACAGCCAAAATCTTTTCCAAAAGGATATATTTAGCGCAATCGGATGGATTCCTCCAGCTAAGACCATGAATGCCATTGAAGAGGTTTTTAGAATTGCAAGGGCGCAAACACTTATCGCTCTATGCAGTACTGTCCCAGGCTACTGGTTCACAGTGGCTTTTATTGACAGAATTGGAAGGTTTGCCATCCAATTGATGGGCTTCTTCTTCATGACAGTGTTTATGTTTGCATTGGCCATTCCTTACGACCACTGGACCCACAAGGACAACAGAATTGGATTCGTGGTTATGTACTCATTAACCTTCTTCTTTGCTAACTTCGGACCGAATGCCACCACATTTGTTGTACCAGCGGAGATTTTCCCTGCGAGGTTAAGGTCCACTTGCCACGGCATATCAGCAGCTGCTGGGAAGCTCGGAGCAATTGTGGGTGCGTTCGGGTTCTTATATTTGGCTCAGAACCAGGACAAGGCCAAGGCAGATGCAGGGTACCCTGCAGGCATTGGTGTGAAGAATTCACTCATCGTCTTGGGTGTCGTCAACTTCTTCGGCATTGTGTTTACTTTCTTGGTTCCTGAATCAAATGGAAAGTCTTTGGAGGAGATGTCCGGTGAGAATGAGCCTGATGAAGTGGTTGAGCAAAGTTCACATAACAGGACAGTACCTATGGTTTAAATGGCTTTTAGCCAGTTGTCTACAACAATAAGTGTGTTAAAACTCTTATTTATAGATTTTTATGTGTATTGCTTATGCTTATCTTCAAAGTTCAATCAGTTCTAACCAAATGGACATGTCCTTCATTTTCTTTCGTGCTTTTGATTTTCTGCCGTGGGATAGGGTTGACTGTGCTCTTCGAAAGCGAAGTGTGAATGAATTCCGAAATAGGGCCCCCATTAGTTGGACTTCAATTTCGAATTTTGATGAAGACACTTTGGGTTGAACATTCAATTCTTATAATAGCAGTTGGAAAAAAGGAGAGGAAAAAAAGATGAAAAAAGGAGACAAATTCACATTCCATTTTTCATGCTGCAGTTTTCAGCATTTGTTAGACATATATTGACTTCGACTAATTAATTATGCCAGAATAATTCTTCCCTACTAATACCTCTTTGCTTCATGAAGAGTAAACAAAATCGTCCTTTTCATTTTAATTTGCTGATTTGTTAATTCAAAAGGGCACTAAAATTTCCCATCTGGTTAGCTGTCTTAATCATCCCAGCTATACTTATTTGCGGACCACTCACCTGTTGAAAGCCAACCAGCAGTATCTGGTCAACAATTATGGTATAGTTGCCAGGAATTACGTGTGAATGGTGAACCACTACTTCCATCTGACAACCTTCAAGTAGTTTTCAGAATCTTACAAGACAGACTACAGCTATCAATGAGGGTTTTTGTTGATGGAATCAGGTCCATCAGATGGGTAGAAAATCAAGGACCAAGAGTTTGTACCCTTATACTTAATGGTACTTGGAATTTTCAGAAACAAAAGTCTAAATGACTTCATGTTCTTGTGGAATTTAGGAGGCATAAAATTTTGTTTTGTGATTATTTTTAGACCTTTTCGCATAGTTATTATTCCTATTTAATATTTCATAAAAACCCAACTCTCCATAAAACATGCAATTTTTAAAAATCAATATTTAATAAATGGATAAGATTTTAAAAATCAACATTTAGTTAATTAAACACTTAAAATTAATCCTTTTGAATTAATAATTACCTTATATAATAATAATAATAATAATAATAATAATAAAATATTTCTGATGTGAATTTTATATTTAGAGTTCTGGATGAAACTTTCATTGTTAAAAAAAAAAAAAAAATCATAAATCTTTCTTTGCAAAACTGAGAATTTCATTAACATGGAAAACAGCACAAAAGCCTATAGAATTGTCAAGACAATAGAAAATTTATGATTGTTCAAACCGTCCTTTTAATGGAAATTTCTCATGTATTGATAGTCATGAAATAAAAATAGAAATAAAGTTAGCTAGCAATAGAAATTTTTCACAAATAAACTCAACAACCACTCATCTTAATTAAGAGAATACCATTGCTTCTAGAAAATTGTTTTAAAAATTTCAAGTATTTTATAATAGTTTGAAAAAGCTTTACACTGATAATTAGAATCTTATTTTTTATAGGACTTGTTGCAATTCTTTTTCTTTTCTATATTTTATATCATAAATTTAAATGCGTATATAGAAGATAAGTATTAATATAAATTATGTTAATCTTGCTCTCTAATTAAGTAAATACTGGCCACTAAAATCTTATTCATTCATTTATTTTGGAAGGATTAGATTAAAAGGAAGAGCTATGCCATGATAACGTTAAAACATTAGATCATGGTATTCAATGTGCCATCTAAACATACTTAATTCTTTTCTTCAAAAATGAAAAAAATGAAACTAATCTCACACCATCTTCCAACAATCTGTCACAAATAATAGAAAACGATGAGGTTCAATTAAACTCATAAATGAAGATCAGATCAAATTAATCTCTCTAAAGCAAACCCATTGGTCGTCAATTAATCAATTCATATTCCAATAACTAATCAAACTCATCGATTAAGAGAAAAAAGAAAACAGCATAACTGAGACATCGATTAGAGATAGAAAAGAATCAACTTAAACGTTTATTCTCTTCTTCGATTGAAATAAATTCACGGATAAAAACCAGTTTTGAGATATTTTCTTTCTTTAAAAATACTTCATTGAAAAAAAAATGTCTAAAGCATATGACATCTATATTGATGCCATGCTACAATATCTGTCCCTTATCCCTGATATATATATATATAGCCTCGGCCCTCGGTTTTAAGAGACTAAAATGGAACATTAGGATAAGAAGGCTGAGATTATGTAGGCAAGATATCCTAAATGTTTCTATCTAATGCATAATTGAAAAAATGTGCCCTAAAATGTAGAGTTGTCGATGAATCTGATTTTGAAACAGATCCCATCTCACTCCAGTATAACTAAATAAATATGAGAATTCAACAGAATTTGTATATTTTCGAGTCGGTGAAATTCTTGAAAAAAAAAATGATTTAGATTTTGGCAAACATGCTAAATATAAGAATTCAACTTTTGTTTCGATCTTTCTAAGGATTAGTATGTTTTCGAGTCGGTAGATGTTACGTTCCCGGATCTCTCCAGGTCTTCGCCGCGACCAGACGTCCTGTTTTTATCACTAGTTATTTTGAAAGAGGAAATAATACAGCCAAGATACAGTAGAAATTATTTGGCAAAAGAGTTTGTCCCCTTTTATTGAATTCAAGGACTCTTCATATAAAGCTGATTACAATGGTAACACTGAATAAAAAACAGGAAATCAAATCCTAATAACTTATCATGATGAGTTGGCCTTCCTATGATTTAGCCTTCCTATTCTGTCTGAGATACTAACAGCTTGTAGAGATTTTATTGGAAACTAATAGCTACAGGAAACTAACAGCTACTTGGATGACTTGGTCCTTGCCGTGGATCTATAGGCCATGGACTGGATGGATTGGGCTGGACCTTAGCAGCAGGTAGGCAATGGATTGGGCGGGACCATATCAGTGGAATTCTTGAAAAAGAATGGTTTGGATTTTGACAAACACGCTACATATGAGAATTTGACTTCTGTTTCGATCTTTATAAAGATTTGTATGATTTCGAGTCGGCTGACTTCTTGAAAAGAATGGTTTGGATTTTGACAAACTTGTTAAACATGAGCATTCAACTTCTGTTTCGATCTTTCTAAGGATTTTGTATATTTTCTAGTTGGTAGAATTCTTGAAAAAGAATGGTTTCGGTTTTGGCAAACATGCTAAATATGAGAATTCAACTTCTGTTTCGATCTATATAAGAATTTGTATATTTTCTCGGCAAAATTCTCGAAAAAGAATCGTTTGGATTTTACAAACATGCTAAATACGAAAATTCAACTTCTGATATATATTTTCGAATCAATGGAATTCTTTAAAAAGAATGGTTTGGAGTTTGACAAACATACAAAAGACACTATTTACATGTCGGCGTTTGCCACCATTTTTCCAGCTATTCTTGCAAAACACAGGGACTTGTTCTGGGTTACTTTTCATGGTCTGTATGATCTAGCCTATATGCATTGGGATTGATGTTGATCACCGTGGCTCTATTGCCAAATTCACTGCTTGGGTTTACTACCATTCTTTTAACTTTGAAGTACTTTTCTTACAAGCAAATTACTTGGGCAGCCTACAGCACTTCATTTTTCTCACCTCTTTGTGAAGGTAAGGAACAGGGAGGAAAAGAAAACGAGAGTATCTACGAGAACAAATTTATAGGATACAAATATGTAGAATTGTCAAGTACCCACCAACTTACATCAAGGAAACAAGAGGGCACTAAGGAAACTGAAATTAGCAGGAATTTTCAATACAATAGCACAGAGCTTCTTATCACTCTTCCCCAATGCTAGTTATTTAAGTAACAGGCAGTTTATGTTGTTCACACAAGGATCCTGTGCGTAGCTTAATGGAACATCTTGGCATTAACTCGTAAGTTGGCAAGAGCTTGGGAAATTTTGTCTTCCATGGAAGAAACCATTAATGGCGGAGACTTTAAAGACCTTAATTTGCACGGTCTCTAATCACTTCAAGATCCATCTCTGTAGGGTCAGTAGCCTGAATCTCATAGTGGATACCATCCAGCTCCCTTCTAAATCTGTCTTTAGATGTGGCATAGAGCATCTTGGCACGGATTCGAGAAGTTGAAGGAGACCTGATCAAATGGTTATACGTTGAATAACTGAAAGTTAGAAGAATTTAATTATTCTGCAGAGTGGATGGAGACACACAAGTGTGCATAAACATAGGCAAAGAAACAAGCAGCAGTGCATTCCCTTGCAAATGCAGAGGGTTGAAGACTTGCAGTTGGGAATCAATAATCAGTGCTCTTGCCCAAAAGACAAAGTTATAAAAGTTGATGGGAGAATAAACAGAATGAATATGGCCCTTCAAATCATTTCAAAATATGGGTTCATCAGTCTTTGGCATAAAAGCAGTTGCAGAACATTTCTTTGGCATTACAACACAGGCAGGGAACAAATGCTAATTCATTACTGGAAGTACAAAATCCAAAAATTAAATTCTATACTTTCTGTAAAGGTCTTAAAGTGCTTTTATAAATAAGTAAATGATACAACAAGAAAAAACTAAAGAGGAAAATAAAAAGGCTACCTTGAGGTTTAGTAAAATGGCATTGGATATCATTTCATGTTCTCAAATGAAGATATCTCTGAAGGCAGAACCCCCTACTTACCTAATGAGCTCGTCATCATATTAGAAAGGCATCAAATTACCATGTTTAAACTGAAAGGGTAGGCTACACCGCTACAGAACACAAGCAAAAGAAGACTTATAGTAACATTTGAATATAAAAATTTATTCCCTGGTTACTGAGGCAAAAATTCCAACCTGATGTTTATCGTAAACACCATATGAGGATGTGCAGAAATCTGATCTAGATAGATTTACAAGTAGATATACAAACATAACATTTGTAATTGATATTGATTGTGGACAAATCGCAGACAAACAAAGTGAAAACTATCTGGTTACCTTAGCAGCATTATGCAAATATTACCAGACTCATAACAAGAAACTGTGGAGGGCTAGGCATGTGAAGGCAAGAAGACTTTCCCCGTGTTACATTGCAAGAATGGATGCCTGCAATTCAGCTATTGATGGGCAAATAAATTGCTCATGGAGAAAGGGGGAAATTGCATATGCTAGCTCAGTGGTGCTTATATTGAAACACAAGACGAAGGAATCCAAATGTGCCATACCGTTCAACAAGAAAAGGAATCAAGTCCCATATATGTAGCCGTCAGACTTGGTAATTTTATGATTGCAACTAGTCCGCGATCAACACAAAAACGCATCCAAATAACCCAACAAAATATATTGAAGGCGAAAAAGTTATCAAAACATAAGCCATGCATAAGGAATCGTGTATATTTATCATGTCTCAAATAATTTTCCAATCAAATCGAAATTAAGCAAATCAAAGGCAGAAGAAGCTCACCATGCAATGAAGAAGATCTTGCTCTTCTGACAATTCTCAGAAGTCACAAAATCGAAGTCATAAACAGCATATCGACAGTCATTCTCGGGCAAAGATGCAGTGAAATCTTCATAGCTCTCAGCTGGCCCCCCGGTTTTCTCGACCACAACTTCCTTCTTCTTCTCATCGATTTTGAAGATCACATATCGGTGGACCTTCTTCCTCTGAAGTTCCATAAATGTGTTTTTGCTGTGATCAGCAACACCCATTCCGGATGATGCATTACCCTGCAAATTTACAGTGAAGTAATCGCATCAATAACTTAAGTCATATTAAAACACAACTTCGAAGTGCAAAAAAGTAATCCTTTTTATGAACAATTACAAATGGGTTCAAGCAACAAAAAAAAATTGCTCTTCTTTACCCCAAAAGATCAAATCTTTATCAACAAAAGAGAAGAAAGGGAACAACTTTCGGCAGAGAACATCAAATCATGCATCAACACAGACAGCCAAAAACAATCTCATGTTAACCAAAGAAAAAAACTAAAAATCAATAGCCCATGTAGATATAACTAGAGAGGGAGATGGATGAAGCTTACCCGACTTCCTCCTCTGAAAGACATGGCAACTTAGAAAAACTTGAGAGAATTGTAGCCGTGTAAGGTAACTGAAGACAGCAGCTTCAATTATAAGCGCTATAAAGAAAGTAACAAAAGAATGTATGTGGCTAAGTTTTTGGACGGAAAGGCCAAAACACAAGAAAAAGAAAAGGAATAAATACACGAGAGAAATCCTCGTGTACTGTTTTTTTTTTTTTTTAAAAAAAACAGTAAATTCAGTGCTTTCAAGACAAAAGGAGATTAAATTCTGTATTCTATTGCTCTTTCTTTTTTCGGGGTGTGAAGTGAAAAGAGAGAAAAGGATAGAGATTTATAAAGGGTATGAAAGATTCTGAAATGTGAGGAGAGGAGACGACTGAGGAGCGTATGGGTGTTTCCGTTTTTCTACTCTTCCCTTGCAAAAAAGAAAAAGAGAAAGGGCAAAAAAAAAAAAAAAGGACATCGGTGTTGTTAACGGATAGCTAAGTGTCCAATCTATGCAAGCATCGCTGCGGTTTCCTTTTTCTTTTCTTTCTTTTGGGCGTCCTTCATTTTTCCGTGGGATGCACATGCAAGGCCACAAGGGTGATGATGTGGTCCTAATCTATTGAAATATTTTGAAAGCTTTTGAGAAATGGGCTTCCAAAGATACAAGTTTGAGGGAGAAGATTATCATTATTATTTAATCTAATCAGTACTCATCTTTAATAAAATAAAACATGCATTTGTATACGTGGGTTGGAATGAAACTTCCAACACATCTCCTTCGTGAATGAATTCTTTTTGAAACATTCAATAGACACTAAAGAAAAAAAGTACATATTTTTTTCAAAGATTTATGTGACAAATACCATTATAGTTTTAAATCACAAATCCACCTATACAAATGATAGCAATCGAGATTACAAATTGTAATTTGTTACGATAATAAAATTACGATCACGATAATTAATATTATTAATGCATTAGTATATTTATAATTATTAATAAATTTATTTTAATTCATATATTTTTTATAATTTATAATATCTCTATTAGATTAATATAAAACATTAATAATTGAATTTTTTATATAAAAAATAATAATATTTTAATATCACATAAATAATAATAAAATATAAAAAATTCAATAATAATGTTATATAACAATAAAAAACAAGAATCAAATAATAATTAAATAATTACATTGTATAACATAATATTGTTATTTATATAAGAGTCATATACCCCTTATGTTGATATATAATGATTCTGAATTCATTGAATAGTGATAATTATATTATATATTTGCGGTTATTTAAAGCTATGAATATCATAATGTTATCTCTCGTCATATAAATATCATTATTTGTATTAGTAAATTTTCTGTAAATTTTTTATGTCTGTGTAATTTGCCAAAAAAGAAAAAGAAAAACCATGAACTAGAGAAGAAACCATTCTAAAATAAATTAAAAAAAAAAAGAAGAAAGAAAGAAAACCATAATTAAATGAAAATCAAAGAAAAAAGGTTGGTGAACCCAACAGAAAAAGAGAAGTTGACCAAACATCGTAAAGGGGCGGTGCGTTGCACCAACGCTACTATTATTCCTTTTGGCTTTTACGAAATAGAACGACGAATCTAGTATCATCAGAGGGCCCCACTCCCCTACCAAGTGCGTTCTTGATGATCATCCACTTGATATTTTTTCCCACCAAATATCTAAACTAAGCTGTATTTTTTTAAAAAAATTAGATTTTGAAGAAAGTATCATTTGCATTCGTTCTCATACATTTAGACTAATATTTTGAAATAATTTTTTCTTTTCACCTCTTTAGAATTTGAACACGTGAGATATAAACACATTTATCAACGAAGCTGAGTTCAAATGAAGTAAATTATAATTTATTTTTTTATTTTTTTAAAAATAAATAAATTAGTTTTTGTTGTTTTAAAAATCATTTTTTATTTATTAACAAATATTAATCGTAATTAATTTAATATTATTTTATTTTATAAAATTTTATTTTTATCTATTTTTCCAAAATTTTACTAATTTTTAAAATAAATATAAAAAATCAAAATAAATTAAAAATAACAAAAAAGATTAAGTTAAAAAATTAAAAATATAAAGAATAAATAATTAGTGTTTAAAATAAGAAAATTAAATTATTTATTTTTGAAATTAGAGGGACTAATTTATAATTTACTCAGTCTAAATTATTACTTGATCTATTTCTTAAAAAAAATAAATAATCGATCTGTTATTTAACTCTTGGCACGTGCATTACTTACTTGTATCAACGTTATCTGCTCGCGGCGTCTTCCTAAACCTTTTTGGCTTTTTCTATGATATTATGTTACTATTTATTTATTTAAATTTTCCATAAAAGCCAAGCCCAATATCAAGACCACAACATCCAGATTTGGGCCCATTATTTTAAATGCGCTGATGCTGACGTTATTTCTTGCCCAAAAAAAAAAAAAAAACTTTACATTATGTAAAGTTTTTTTTTTTTTTTTCTTTTATCTGTCCGTTCAATTTTGGGATTAGGGTTTTCTAAACCTAAAAACTTTTGATAACAAATTGTTCAAAATTTTCGCGCAAAAAATGGATCCTGAAGGTAAGCTGTTGAATAACCGACTTTTTAAAATCGAATTTTGAGTTACTGTTGCGATAAAATTAAAGTTGATGATTTTATTTTCTTGTTTGTAATTAGGGCAAAGAGGGTCTTCAAATCCAGCTGCAATGCTTGCAAATCTTTTAAACAAAAGAGCCAAGCTGCATGATGAGCTTCGTATAATCGAAAGACAGGTTCTTTATTCCTTAATTTAACAATTAATTTGAATAATACTTTTACTTTTTTTAAACTTTGGTGCTGCTAATGCTGTTTTTCCTTTCTGGGTTTTTTAGGTTTTGAGTTTATTGGTTACAGTAATTTGGGATTGTTTATCTAAACGAGTCCTGTAAAATTGCCTAAAGTTTCGACTCTTTCAGCAACAAGTTGAATTTTTTGGCTAACATTTTATCTGGGTTCTGTTTTTAAGCTTCAATTTTTCAAGTGGGACTAATTGGTATTCATGTCAGAGTTTGTTTTGTTCGAGAAGCTGGTTTTTTTTTTTTTTTTTTTGTTACTGTAATGAATTGGGAATTTAGAGTAGTCATATATCATTTTTATTCAATTATCACAAGGCAGTACGTTCTCTCCTATCCCATCTCTTTTTTTTTTTTTTGCTTGTTCTGCAGGAGCTTAATGAACTGCTTTGATTCAGGTTTATGATTTGGAGACAAGTTATTTGCAAGATCCAGGCCAGTGCGGCAATGTATTGAAAGGTTTCGAAGGGTTTCTATCTTCATCTAAGAACACTGCACTGTATGGAGTGGATATTGTGATTTTTCTTTATTTCCTGTGCTTTGATGTGAATAGTTTTTCTAGCAACTGTCTCTATATGCGGAGTTCGTATTTTGATTTTATTTTTCTTCTTGTATGGAGATATATGAAATAATGCATATAGGATTTATGTGACATAGATGCTAGTGATTTGCAGAAAATCGCTTGGTGCTGTTGGTTACATCAATAGGTCATGGAAAATGTGGTTACTGCTGGCACATAAAAAATGTCAGAGATGGTGGACATATGCATTTAGTGAAATCTTAGTTATAAAGAGCAAGTGCTAAGAAAGCAAACAGATTTACTCTAGTGTTACTGAGAGCAATATGTCCGAGGCATGGACTATCTACCAAAGCTTTTTCTTGAGTTGGTTACGTGTAATAGCGAAGCTTTGACATGTAAATCAATTCTAGGCAAACAAGGATGTTAAATAAAATTTAGGGATGAGAATATATGCTTTACATTTGCCTAGTTCCTACTATGGAGTAATATTCACACACAAAAAAAATATATATATATATAAAAATAGTTCACACACACAGTAACACACAAATACCTTTGATGTTTGCTTCACCAAGTCTGTATACGTGCCTAAGAATATCCATATACATTTGAGATTTGGGTTTAGGTGGATCACTATGCAAACTATGCAATTAACTTCAAAAGCTTATAATTGCAGCTTAAAGCGATCTAGGAAGTTCCAGCCTGAAGATAGGCTCTTCTCATTGTCTTCAGTCACATCACCAGCAGTATGTACCATAAGTCTTAAATGCTCACTAATGGTGGCACTCTCTGTGTTTTCTTTTCTTTTTTTAATAATATTTTTCTTCCTTTGCTTTCATGTCGTTATAAGGGAGTGTCCAGTGTAATGCCCAATGTATAAGATAAAACAACAAAAATAAAAGAAGAGTAAGAAAAATTGAAAATACTTAAGTTATTTATAATGTACCAATTTGCTTGAGGGCTGTGTCTAACTTCTTAGGCTTCGCTCTTTTGGAAGATATGCTGATTTGCTTATGTCGTTTTGTGCCAAATGTATGCAGTGTCTTGAAATTACTCCTGTTGCATGTTAAACATATATAATTAAGACGATCAGAATTCTGCAACTTGTGTGTGCTGCTTTTCACCTCATATTGAGATCTCTTAATGTAAAGGGGATTTATTAAAAACACATCAAGTATCTTCAAAAGGTTGTTGTTTTTTTTAACTTCAGACTAAAGCACAAAAAAATTTTCTGTCAGCCAGCACCTAAACTCATTAATAACTGGAAAAAAGGACTACTGCGTTTATCTCCGATGGTTTACGACTTTGCACATGACAACCATGTGTTTTTAAGGAGTTTTATCAGTCCTGGAGTATATATCTGTATGACAAGGCTGCTATGACCCTGTTGCTAGGGTGTGCTTGGGTCTGAGTTTTCAAAACAGTGGTTTGGTCATCAAGCAGCCATTTGGAATTCAAACCATATTTGCTTGTAATTGCTATCCTTGGAGATTGTATGACAAGGCATTCCGCTTTCCTTAAGAGTACATCTAATGTATGGAAAACTTGCTTAAGAAAATTCAACCAGTCTTGTTTTGTTCATTAGACATGACTAAATAGAAATGGAACCATGTATTCTGAAAGTTGAATGTTTCTTTTTAAGGTTATTTTGCTTTTACATGATCTATGGTATATTAATCTGGTTTTCAAGATGCTACCCGTTCTGGGGATAAAGGGTCATCAGACAACTTTTACACAATCCTTTCTATGGTACTGGAGCATTTAGGCTTGAAACGTTTTCTTATATTGACCATCCAACATATGTAACTCCTTCTGATTTTGTTTTTTTCTTCCCTAATTCTAAATTCCATTAGGAATTTGCTCTAATATCTTACTCATATTTTCTTTGCACTTTACATTTTTCAGGCTGAAGAACAAGCTGCTGGGCGAGATGGTGAGCAATATAAAGAAGTTGCACAATTTTGCTGCCCCCCCCCCCTCTCTCTCTCTCTCTCTCTCTCTCTCTCTCTCTCTCTCTCTCTCTGGCAAAATAAATAAATAATAATAATGCTCTTTTCTGTTAATTGCAGATGGGAGATCAGAATTTGGTGTAGGTCGATCCAAGGGCGGGGGCATATATGCAAACGGACAGTGAGTACTGTAGTTTAGACCAGTCCGAACCTTATGTTATAATACATCCAATGCTTTATGAATGATGGAGATGACTAGTTAAGGTTAAATGATGACAGTGAGAATTTAGAATGTGATAATATTAACTTCACCTGATTTATTTTTCAGAGGAAAGCCGAAGAAGGGAAGAGGTGCACCAAGGGATGCCAAAAGAATCAGGCCTTCAGCAGATCCAGATTTTGATTATGATGATGATCAAGATTTGACGTTGTGAAATATTTTGATGATATGCTAGTTGGCCATTTCGTGTTCTAGATCCTACAGCAGAATTCCCTGTGGTATATTCCTCGCTTCCGTCATGAGTTACTATTCAAGTAAACAAACCAACTTGTATTGTGATTCATTGTTACATGGTCTAGATCCTAGAGATGAATTCCCTGTGTATATTCTTCGTATTCGTCTCGAGTTACTGTTCTCAAGCAAGCAAACCGCTTTCCATGAGCTACTTGTTTAGTAACTGTTGTTTTTGCCAAAAAAAAGAACAAACTTTTCATTGTATCTTGTTCACTTAGTTGACAACTTCTAATCTAATGGTTAAATTACAGAAGCCAAGCTTCGATTGCTCTTTTTAAAGGCCTATTGCATTCTCTTATGAAGCTGAAGAAATGAGAGGTCCATGCTCGATTCTATACCTGTAATTCAGTTTGATGCTTCTTAATAATACTGTCAGGGAGAATATAGACATTTTGGAATGGGCTGCCTAAAGCCGAAGGAATTAACAGGCGGTTTGTCCGACCTGTGCATGCCCATTTAAAAATCACGGTCCAACTCAAATCCCGTACCTGTCAATACCGAACCTGTTATGTCGTTTTCCATAACCCTACTACCTTATTAACACGTAACAAGTAGGTTCGTGTTCGTTTGGTATTGCTGTATTTTTAAAAGCATTAGTTATATTAATTAATATTTTCTTGTTTTGCTTTTAAAACAAAGAAAGATACTTCTTATTTTTAATCTTTTTTTTTTTTTTGAAAAAATAACAACTTTCTCAATTGATTAATTTTTGAAATTACATATTCTAAAAATGAAAAGATATATATGTGTGTATATTATTTCTCTATTTGATTTTTTTTTATTTTAGTATTTTAAACTTAAAAATTACTCTTATAAAAAAAATTAAATTATTTAATATAATTTTTAAAATATTTTAATATAATATAGTCTTCATTGGTCATTTTACATCTTAAAAACATAGTAATATAATTTAACTAAACACTATTTAGTTGTTTTAAATATTTATAAGCACAATACGATGATTGATTACTAAACATAACACCAAACAACATAATATAATAACCAAAGCACAACACAACATTGTAATATATAAAAAAAAAATTGTTTATACTGTTAGTTACTCGTTAAGTTTTTTCATATGGAGGAAAATTTGATGAAAATTTTTTATGGGCGCAAGGGCTAAATTGAAGGATTTCTCGAAATAGCTCATCTAAATTGAAGGCGAAACGACGTCGGCGTTTTAGGTTTGCGTTTTAATTAATTAATTATTGTTTATTTTCCCTCTTAGTTTTGTTTCCTAGAATTTAGCTCCCTCTGACCTTGAAGTTAGTCCCGACTTGGGCGGCGCGGATCTTATCTCGTTTTCCGTTACAAAACCATGAATTTGCTGGTAATGTCTATTTATTTATATTATTAAAAGCGCCTCCTTAAACAACAACAACTACCGCTTCTCTTTTAGTAATTGTTTTTTTGGTTCTCTTTCTCTACTTCGTATATATATGCGTAAAACAGGACAAGATTAAGATGAAAAAGAAGGAACCTGACAAAGCACCAGAAATGCCAGTCTACTGGATCGAAATCTCTGATTCTGCCTCCCGTCACTTCCAGTTTGAACCCGACGGTCAACTATCTGTAAGTCTTTTTTTTTTTTTTTGGAAATTTTCTAATTGTAATTCCCTTTCTCTCTTATGCATTTTTACAAACATTTGGAGTGCGTGCTAGTTTCACCTCTGAAAATAGTCTAATCCTTCTATTCTGTGTAACTGGGAACTATGTGGACTTTATTAAATTATGGGATTTTATATATATATATATATATATATTCTTAAAAGAAGCCAATAATTAAAGTAAAGTTCACTGCTTGGGGAATGAGTTCAGTTGATGATATTTGTATGCAAACAACAGGTGAAGGTTGTTAATGATGCTAGACCGATTTATCATAGAGTGGTTGAATCTTTCTTGAACAAGTTTTTTCCATCAGGATATCCATACAGGTTAGTCGGTAATTTGACTTTCAATTATTGGCAGTACAAACTTGGCAACTGAATGTACACAGCGGGGCAGCTTTATTGTCATATATGGTGTTTCGCTTTTTGCAGTGTGAATGAGGGATATCTTAGATACACGCAGTTTCGTGCCATGCAACACTTCTCCAGTGCTGCATTATCTGTGCTATCCACTCAGGTGGGACTATTCTTGAATTATTACAATCAGACTTCATCTTCTTTGTCTTGGTTTAATTTAGTTTCTTGTCCTTGATGGCTAGGGATACCATGCAATGCTGATGCCTTTATCTTTGTTGATTGTTGAAATGGATAATTTGTTTTTCTTTTACTAATGCTGTTAAACTTTATTTATGCAAGTAGAGCTTATATTCTGATTAGCTAGTATGATTCCGTAATTTTTTTTTAATCCTACGGAATGAGAGCTGTAATTTTGGGGTCTTTTCTCTATTTTCTTACCGCTTTGCAGTCGCTACTATTTGCTGCAGGCTTGCGACCTACACCTGCACAAGCAACTGCAGTGAGTTGGGTCAGTTTCATTAGTGAAATGATTGATAGCTTCTTAGGCTTCATTGTGTTACTTTTTAGGTCTTCATTAAATTTTTTTGATGAGCAGATACTGAAGGATGGGATGCAACATGTAGGAAAGCTAATATGTAGCAATTTGGGTGCTAGAATGGACTCAGAACCGAAACGTTGGAGAATCCTAGGTTTGTTTCTTGGGTCTAGAATCTGAGTTTTTCCTTTTATATTAATGGACTCTTCTCACTTCATGAATTTGACAGGAGTTGGTTGGGGATTTATCTCCTTCAAGTGTCTAACTAGGATGGGTTTTCTGTGTTGCAGCTGATGTGCTTTATGATTTGGGCACTGGCTTAGAAGTTCTTTCTCCTCTATGTCCACATCTTTTTCTTGAGGTGGCTGGCCTTGGTAATTTTGCAAAGGTATATTTTAGGTTAACAACCACTTAAATCTGCATAAAAATATTAAGGTTGCCATCATGGTTCTAATTGGGCTTTATCTTCATCTATATCTTTGCTCTCCTACATTTTGGCATAGAGCAATAAGTTTAGTTTACTCTCTCTTCCTGGGATTTGATAGGGGATGGCAGTAGTTGCAGCAAGGGCAACAAGGTTGCCGATATATTCTTCATTTGCCAAAGAAGGCAATCTAAGTGACCTATTTGCAAAAGGGGAGGCCATCTCAACACTTTTCAATGTTCTTGGACTAGGAGTAGGAATTCAGCTAGCATCCACTGTCTGCTCATCAATGCAGGGGAAGGTACAAAGTTATCATTGCTGTCTGATACAAGTTCTTGATGTCTTTTTGCATTATGCATGTGTTCTAGAAAGTGAGTGCAAGTAGCCAATTCCAAAGGTTGCTGCTGTTTAGAAGAGCATTATTATGACCCAACACTAAAGCTGTGTTTTGGGATCCCTGTGCCACATTCATCTTTTTGGTTAACTGGCTCAAAACTGTGACCGTTAGACTTGCGCTTTGCTGCGGTGTCATCTGTTTGAAGCCACAACCTCAAGTGGAATGCGGTAACTCTTAAGCCTGGTTTGAATCAGCCAGTGGCATGTTTAAATTAACATGACAAACTGAACCTCATGTTGATTAAATAGTGCAATTTTTTATATATCTGCCACTAGACTTGCTCGATTCTTTTCTTGTTTAATTCAATACACAAAAGTAAATCTCAGCAAGTTATTGGGAATATATTGTATAATGTGCTGATTTAGTACTCTATGTCGTCTAAGTGATTCTTGGCTTTTATTGCCTAATATTTCTTGCAGTTGATTGTTGGGCCTCTTCTTTCTATTGCACATGTTTGTTGTGTTGTTGAAGAAATGCGAGCTACCCCTGTTAATACATTGAATCCGCAGAGGACAGCAATGGTTGTGGCTGATTTTGTCAAGGTTTGTTTCACACTTCAGCGTCTCTTAGTTGCCTTTTTATTTCCACCTGCCTAATTTCTATTGCTGTCATCCAACTCAGACAGGGAAAATATCAAGCCCTGCTGATCTTAGATACCGTGAAAATCTCTTATTTCCGGGAAGACTTGTAGAAGATGCTGGCAATGTAAAAGTTGGACAGGCTTTGCACAGAGTGGTGAAGCCTTCAAAACTTCGTGAATCGAAAGAAATATTTCCTGAGGAGAAGTTTATTCTAAGTCCTGGGAGTAAATGGAATGGTTTGGTATTGGAGCAAAATGCTACTGGTGAAGATGCACTGAGGGGATGGCTGGTTGCTGCATACGCCTCAAGCATGGAGAAGTCTTCTCACGAGCCTACTGCTAGCATCTTGCAAGACGCTTATGAAAAGATGAATAGCGTATTCGATCCATTTGTATCTGAGCTGCAGGCCAAAGGGTGGCATACTGATCGCTTTCTTGACGGAACAGGAAGCCGGTTTTCATGGTAGCATTTTATAGTTTCGGTTAATATTTCAACCTTTCAAGATAGGGAAATCCGCTGTTTGAAGTTTAAATTGAGTAGCCAGCAGTTAAAGGTGGTTCTTGCCTTTTTACATTACACTTGTATTTGTTCAGGGAGGCAACAAATGTTTTCTTTTCTTTTCTTTTTTCCTTGGCAAACCTTCCTACCTACGCAAAAAGGAAGTGAAGCTCGGATTGAAGGATAGAAGTCAGATCAAACTCCATCTATATTCAAAGAATTACCGAAACAGGGAATCAACAATCAGTTGAAGAGATTTTGAATTCAATAATATAAAAATTGAAAGCAATCCAATATGTCCAGTGCCTTGCCTTTTGCTGGAAGTCAAAGGCTAAGTGTGATTAGACGTAGCAGCAGCCCTTTTGTACTGTATCCCTGCAACTTTAAGCTCGAAAGAGTAAGAACTAGAAGCAGCAGCCGGTGTAAAGTCCAGATTCTTTGTAAATGGAACTTGATTGCCAAGGAACAGTTAACCAATTACATATTACGTTAGGGGATACTTCGATAATTGAATAATGCCAGAAAGGTGGGCTTGCCCGCAATTGATAACCGTGATTTTGCCACTATACGGCCATGTTTGTCTCTTGCATCATTTTGCCACTTTTCGTAGTTTAAAGGTCTGGCAGATTAAGGAGGATCATATCCAAATTAACACTACCTTTTTTTTTAATTATTATTATACATTATACATAAAAGTAAAGTAAAACATGTTTTTATTATTCATTTTCACTATTTAAAATACTGTTCGCGCACTCACAACTATTATGTCATTTTTTTAACACTTTGGTCCTCAATTTTTCAATTTTTTTTAAACACTACTCACACACTCACAACTATCATGTCATTTTTTTAGCACTTTGGTCCTAAATTTTTTTATGTTTTTTTTTTTTCAATTTTAAACTTTAATTGTATTGTGATTTGATCTCATTTTGTTTTAGTCTTTTATTTTAATTATTTTTATTATCTAAAATTTACTAATTTAATTTATCATTTTTTTTTAATATAGTCATATGTTATTAATATTATTATCATATTATAATAATATTATTTTTCTTCACTAAGCATTTACTATTTATTTATCTATTTTTGAATTAAATAATTAAAATAATGTTTTGACTTAGCCACTCGATGATTCAAATTAATATATTTTTTATTTTAATATCATTCATTCTTTTATGAATAAATATATAAAAATTAAATTCATATTTTTTTCAAAAACCGACATTCTTATCAACATAAAAGAAAAAATATATATATTTGTTCAATTCTATGTAAGCTTTTAAAAATTATTATTTATGTTTTTTGACACTATCTTATGAAATACTAAAGCTTTTAAAAAAAATTATTTAATTTTGTTTTTAGTTAATAATTTATGGATTAACAAGGATAAATCTTTTTTAAAAAAGAAAAAATTATGAAAAACACAAATAAGAAATAATTAAATATAATTTTTTTATTAAAAATTATAAATAATTTTTTATTAAAAATTATAAATAATTTTTTTATCTTTGATTTCATATATTTTTATAGATTCACACCATAAAATAAATTATCAAATTAAAATAATTTTTAAAATAATTTTAAATATTTTATTCAACTTACGATGTAGAACGCAAGCTAAAAAATTAATTATTACTAAAAAGAACACAGATGTGTAGCACACTCTACGGAATGGAACATTGAAACGAGATTTATGAACCCAACGATGACCAATAAGGATAGAGGAAGGAGGATTCTTGTATATTTTGGAAGATGCATGAACCAGGAAATGACCCATAAATTCTTAAATCATCTTTAATCAATAAATCACCCATGTGAATTAAATCTCATCTGATTAATTCATCATGTTTTTCTTGCTTTATAATTGGTAGAAAAAGTTTTTTAAATACGAAACAAACAGAAATATGGGGTACTAAATTAAAAAAATTTTCACGTTTTTTCAATTTTTTCTTTCTTATTTCTCTCTCTCTCTTAATATTTATATCTCTATTTGTAGATTTATGAAATAATTACTGTATATATTATTAATTACTTGTTTTGTATTATAAAATTTCCGTCTTTATCTCCGGCGGCACAAGCTTGCCTTCCCTAATTTTGAGGTTAATTTTAAAAAAAAGTCATTACAGCCCCCCAAATTTGTCTTCTTTTTTTAATTTGGTCCTCCAAAACACCCGACCAAGAAAAAGCCTTCTCAAACTAACTTTCTACTTCCTCCCCTGTCTTGATAACTGGGAATATACAAGAAATTTGGCCACCACAAAATGCCATTTCTTTTTTTCCTTTTAATTTAGTAAAATAAATAAAGCATATTTTTTACAACATTTTCATGTGTGCATGCACTTAGTATTGTGCGACCAGGAAAACCGTACATCTTTGAATGAAGACTAATACCTCTCTAATTTCTTACAAAGATGCTAAGTGGGGCAATCGATAGAAGTTTGTTTACTTGACTTGACGCCATTTTATAGGTAGGCATTCATCAATTCTATATATATATATATATATATATATATATATATATACCGAACTGGTCCTGCTTTTGGTAAACGACATGAGGCACCATCCAATGTTATGTATTGGTTACACAATCATTTTCATAAAATTCTCGAAGACAAAATTGCTGCTGTGCCAGAGAGTGAGGAAATCAGGAAGCTTGGATTCAGACTGCCTACCCATTTCCCATTAGAACACTTACGTATAACTAGTAATCAAAGCATAAGCACTACGCACTACCCTCCATGAAGTCATGGTCTTACACATTGACTTGGACTCCTTCACGCATAAAGTCAGCCTAAAATGATCGTTGAGAACCCAACTTGAAGCTCCATACCTTTTGAATTTTTTACATCCCGTAGATTACAATTTTCAACACTAATTTTAACTTGAAATGATTGAATTGGAAAATGTATTACTCACTCCACAATATGAATAAAAAAACAGTCCTCGTTTATAGGATATGAATGTTTATGTGATAAACAAAAACTTCACAATGCATGAATTACCTTTGTTTTCTTGTAGGGCGATATCAAATGATAAGTTTGGTTTGTACAATTATCGCTCAGATCTCAACTAGCTTATTCTAATTTTTATATTAATTAGGACTTAAAAATTATATGTTACGATTAGGCATTTTTTGTTAAGCTTTTCAGGAATTTTCCTACAAATGCTATCTTGTTTTCGGTTTTTCAGTCTATTTGAGCTAGGCTGGAGCTGACCCTTTTGTTCTTTTCCCACTTTGCTATTAATATTTTCAGGATACCCCTCTTGTTTCCAAAAAAACAAGGTTGAATTTTTATTTATTTTTTTTGTTATGAGTGTTGAAATTTAAGTGATTAAGATTCATGTTCGTGGAAGTAATTAAATGAATGCTTAAATAGTACCATTGCACAGGAAATGCTTAGCCTCCAATTGAATAAGTTTATTTTTTTCTTTAATTTATTAAGTTCCAACTTAAGAGTTGTTGTTTATGAAAATTTATTCTTTTAAATGCACCATATGAATATATAGAAAATATGTTTCTAAAATCATTCAAAAAAATAATAATTTTGATTAACGAACAAGCTAGTCTAAAGATATCACTTAGTCTAAACATATCATTTATCATCAAATAAATAAATAAAGGAATTTTAAAAAGTAGTTTACACCATGTAACTCAAAATGAAAATAGTAATAATAACAAACAAACGATTTGATTGTCCTCCTTCTATCATAATTTCAAACATTCCCTAGCCCAAAATGAAAAAAAAAAAAAAATAACGATTTACTAATTATTTTATAAATTCCTCTAAAAATAACAACAACAAAAACAGCAACAATTATAATAATAGAGAAGTAGGCAGTCAATTTTTCATAACTGCCCAACCAGCTCTCTTAATTAAAAAAAAAATTAAACATTATTTATAAACTGCAAGATAGACTTGTAAATATATTATTTTTGTAATTCTCAACCTTATTAAATAAATTATGATCTTATTCATAAAAAAAAAAATCAAAGAAATTTAATCGCACAATATGCACACTCGTAGACAGATAGGTGACTATAATTATACATAGAATATTCAAAGACTTCAATATTAAGTAGGAGGATCAATTCGTCAATTTTGACAATTACACAATTATATATTATAAACAAATTGTTGGCATTGCGACATATCTACTTCCACTACTGAACATAAATATATGTATAGACCTTGGATTTTTTTCCTTCTGAGATGGTACTTTTTGTGTTTTCTGTTTCTTGAACAAGAGTCAAGAAGATCATCTCTTGTGATGTAATCTTAGATCATCAGCAGTAACCTGTTCGGAAAATCTTAGTCCAAAGAAAACAACATTAGATTAAAAAGGATTAACGGAGCCAAATCGAAATAACAATTTAGTTTAGTTTTTAACTAAATTTGGTTATTCTATTTTTAAAATTTTTAATTCGGTTTTAAATGAAAAACCAATTTTTTTTTAAATATGTGTGAACACTTGATTGTTATTTGAACTTTAATAATTTAATTTACAATATATTTAAGCAATTAATAATTTTTTATCATTATATATCTTAAATTGGAACCAATAGACTTGTATTTAAATTTTGATGTTTTATTATGTAATATAGATTTGTGCTTTAGTTATATTTAAATAAATATTCATTATTTTTTATATAGAATAATTTAAACCATTTTGATTAAAAGAAAAACTCCATAACCAATTTTTTAACCTATTTACGTTATTTTTTAAAAATTCGTATTTATCAAAAAAAAAACCAATTATAAATTATGGTTCGGTTCTGAACCAAGCAAGAAATTCTCTTTTACAGAAATTTGGATTCTCCCTTTTTTTATAAATTCGATTAATTGAAAAGCAAGATGAAACGAAAATCCAAGTACTCACCCCTAATTGTTTACCATGCACAAAGAGCTTTATGTCAACCCAAACAATAAGTTAAAACTGCCAGGATGTGCCGATTGTGAGAGAAACCTCAAGCCAAACAAGTGGCTCTTGAATTTTATGTTAAAGCGCCTTTTTAGAGGAACCAAATCTAATGTCGGTAGGTCACGGATTGCAGATTTGACTTGCTTTCTACCCTACAAACTTTACTCCTGCTCTAGCCAAGAGCTCGTAGGGCCAAAGTACATAAAAAAATTAAATAATAAAAGAACAGTTGCAATTTAAGTAGAAAGTCATGATTTTGTATACGATGGCTTGGACTCAAATGGCCATAATGTGGTCTTAATACATTTAACCTCAAAAAAGGTCTTCACTAATAAAAAGTTGCATCCTTGCTGAAACAAAGTAGCAAGGCAATTACAAAGCGGCTCTTGTTCTCCAAGAAGAAGATAAGATTAAGTTTCTTTTTCAACTAATGGGACATAATAGATAAAAGAAAAAACTAATTAATCATGATCCACATGGAAAATGAATTTAAAATGAAAAATTAATTGTTATCCACATTATACATGATAGTAAAATATATTTAACTAATTATGATATATAATATTTAAAATATGTCTAATTAATTATGATACATGACATTTAAAATATAGTTGATTAATTATAATATATGTAATTAATAATAATACATGATACGTCTTGATAAGACACATTGACACATTGGTTAATGCTATAAAAGGAGAAGTTTGATATTCTCTTTATTTTTAAATAAATAAAAAAATACAAAGGTTATCATATTTTTTTTGTTGTTAAAAAAGAGGTCAAGAAAGAAAAATTTAGATTATCTATATTTTTGCTGTTTTGAATAAAAGAGCTCAAGAAGGAAGAGAAACTATCATTCATCTATTTTTATTCATTTTCTGCTTGTTTGAATGAATTAATGTATGTTTTTTTTTCGTATTACCTGAAAAATATAAAGTTTTAAGATTTTATGAGAGTATTGAATTTATGTCTTATTATTTTGTATAATCACAATTATAACATCCACACAAGACGAATTTATGTCTTACTATTATGTATAATTATAATTATAACTTAAAAAAAAACTCAAAAGTTAAATGAAACAAAGAAGAGAAAAAGTTGAAAGGAAAGTGAAGAGGTGCAACGTTCCAATTTTTGTTGTTTATCAAAATTGCAATTTGCATGCTTCTATTTACGAAAAGAGACGGAAAAAAAAAGGAAAGAATTAGTTGGTTGAAAAGTTTGAACCTCCCTGCCATAACTAAAAGTCAAAGATAATATATTTCTTTATTTTTTTTCCTGTTTAGGTTTCATCATTTTCATATTGTTTTTTATGCATTTGCCACCGAAATGAAATTAAAAAAAAAAAAAATCTTATGGAACTAAAAAAAAGAGTTTTACTCCAAAAAGGGGGACCGACGTCTCTGCCATCTTCATTCCAGAGATGGAAAAATCCCCCGTCTCCTCTCAATAATACAATGCAGTCCATTTCTTTAAAGAATTCAAATCTCCATCCCCAAAATGATAAACATCCCAAATATAATACAAAACATTTACCTTGAACTATTTTTTTCCCCTTAATATATTAATCTCTTCAAGGATGTGGGATTTCTTCCCATCTCGAATCCTGATTGGTTTGAGTTCTTTTCTATTCAAATAGAAAAAAATAGCTCCATATCTAGAAAACAAAAAAAAATGTTTTTACTTTCATCCTTTAAAAAATATTTCTTTGTATCTTAAAAAATAAAGAAAAGCTTATATATACATACCTAACGGTCAACATTTTTCTTTGAAAGAAAAGCAAAGAAAAAAAGGTCAACAAGCGTCACCAGTCTGTACTATTTAGCTTTATTGTTTTTAAAATTTCCTACTTTAACTACGCTACGTAGTTCATGAACACGAAGGAAAATTGACATTGTCTTTCCTTTAACGTTGGTAACTGCCTACCTTGAGTAGTTAGGTCTTGTCGGAGCAAGAGAGAAAAAACTGCATTTTCGGTTCGGTGGAGAGAACATATAACTTATTACCTACGCCATGACATCATTAGCAGGAAACGTTTGGATCGTATAACTTAACTTAAAGGATGGTTAAAGAAGATTTGTTTCCTTCTTTAGTTAAAAGTTAAGAATATTTGTTTTCTCTCTTAATTTAAAAAAAATTATTTATTCAACTCCTTTGAATTTCAAAATTACACTAAGAAAATATTTTGAACCGGTTGCAGTCAATGCTCCTTTGTTTAATTCCTCAGTAAATATATTTTGAGTGATTTTTTTATTTTTATTTTTGTTAATTTCAACTTTTTTATTTTTAAAATTTTTTAAATGATATTAAAATATTTCTTAAGCTTTAAAAATAAATTTGAGAATGATTGAAACAAACTAAACTTTTCATGTAAAATTAAAATATCCAAATATTTCAAAAGCAAATCAAATTAAAACTTTCAAATATTTCAAGGAAGCAAATTAAAACGTATAAAAAGAAAAACATGAAAGTGAGATCTTTAAGGTAGATTGAGTGGATACTAATTGAGGTCCAAACCATGGAGCAGATATATCATCACGAACATAGATGGTAATAGCTGTCTAACGATGACCATTTTTCGAGATGAACCGAAATCTCTTAGTTTTTTGACTAACGTGTCTTATCCCAAGGGTTGATCAACGAAATGATCCTAGCAATAGAATACTTAATCGTTACGACTACATTTTTGCCTAATAGAATTCTGATGGTCACAAAGCACTACAAGCCTCTTTCTTTGACCCTAAATATACAAGTACTTTACAATATAAAATATGAAATTCCAAAATCTACAGTTCTTTTATAGCATAAAGTATACACTAAAGAGATGATCATGTAATGACATATAATAAGCTGTAAGAATGAGTTAATATTCTCATCCTTCTTTATTAATAGATGAATTTTTCAATATGTTACTGTAAAAAAAGAATTTTTAATTTATCTTCATATTTTGATTTTGTTTTTACTCTATATATTTTTTTTGTCAAAATTTTTAATTATTTTTAAAAATCAATCTTTATATTAGTAAATGTAAATCACTTAATTATATCAAATAACAACAATAATTTTATCAAATCGCATATTATATGTAAATCACACATTTAATTTAACTTAATTTATCAAAAATTTGAACTAAAATAGAAGATTAAAAATCAATTCAAATTATACAAATAAATTAAAAGAATTTTTTAAAAAATAAATTAAAAAATTGATATATTAGATAAAGACATAGGATGATGTTAAAATATTTCCTAAAAGATCACAATCACTCGTGTCTATTTCCACGAAGAAGAAAAGGGAAAATCCATTCACATCTAGTTTTCAACACTTATATTAGAAAATGTTTTTACTTCTATCTTAACAAATCGTGCCAGAATTTCTCTCACATGTATGCTCAGTATTGGTTCGTTTTTGGACTGTCGTCTTCTTTTTACTTAAATAATGTTTTACTGTGTAAATTTTTTTATTTTCATACACCATTCATATGTAACTCAAACCTGAATTAATTACTACCACAAAAATTGGCATTTTTTTTTTCAAATAGAAAAAAATGGCCAAACGGAGAAGCTCCAAAATTCACAATTCACAACAGTGCATGTTTTTTTTTAAAAAAAAAAATCTTTTTTTATTTTTTATATCATCTTATGTATCTATTCTATTCATGATCCTCTAATGGGAAAAATTAAATTATAATAATAGAATTTTCCCTAAATTATTATTTAAATATAATATAATATAAAATTATTTTATGAATTAAATTTCATAATACTATCTAGAAACACACATATATACATGATTACATAAATAATGTAAAAATAATTGATTATATTTCATTTTACTTAAAAGATCTTTTTATTTATCTCTTTATTAAAACAATTTTTATCATCAAAATAAAAATTCAAAATAATCGATATCTTTTTTCTTGTAATGTTTTTGCTAACTACACAGTCAACTGAACTTTTAACCGAATATAATTTTATTTATTATTATTATTATTTTTTCACCACAATCAGAGTTACAACTATGGCCACAGCCACAGCCTTAGCTACTACACCTGCATCCAACTCTCAATGCCAAAAACACACTCGTTTAAAGCAAATGACCACGTTTTTATTTGACCTTCCGCTCATCAAATTGCTGCTCCCAACGAGAGAGAGAGAGAGAGAGAGAGTCCTTACAGATCCGCATGCTTTTGTTGTGCTATATATACATAGTACACTAGTTCCTAGCGGTCTTGCTTCATATTTTGAGCATTTAGGTTCTTTCATTATTTTATAAAGAGCCAGCCATTCTTCTCTCTTCTCTCTTTTCTAACTTATCTGAAGTATAAAAAATGGTGAGAGCTCCATGCTGTGAAAAGATGGGATTGAAGAAAGGTCCATGGACTGCTGAAGAAGATCAGATTCTCATCAATTACATTCATCTTTACGGCCATGGGAACTGGCGTGCACTTCCTAAACAAGCTGGTAATTTACACACACATCTATTATATATCTCTTTCAAACAAAGTTATTCTTTTGTGCTAAGAATAAAGTGAAGATTATGTCAAGTATGTTTGCGATTTTTTTGTGCTATTAAGATCAGTTAGAATTTCTGAAGGCCAAGTAAAACTGATAATTTGAGAGCTTCGGGAACGAGGACTGCATAATGTTTTGGTTTTGAATCTCAATTCTCTCACTCTTTTTCAGGTTTACTGAGGTGTGGAAAGAGCTGCAGGCTCCGATGGATAAATTACTTGAGGCCTGACATTAAACGAGGAAATTTCAGCAGAGAAGAAGAGGATACCATCATCAAATTGCATGAGATGTTAGGAAATAGGTAAGCAATTTTAGTCATTTTTTTTTGTCAAACTATTGTTTATAATAATTATATGGTGTGATATTGACGGTATAACATATATATATATACAGTTAGTGCTAAGTTAGGATTTATTCAGCTATGTTTAACTTAGCTGGAAAAAATTATCATAAAATTAAGGTTAAATTTGCTAATCGGACGTTGTTCTGGTGCTGAAGAACTTAGTGCTTCCTATGGAGATGGGAGATAGGCTAGGCAGAAAACACTATTTTTCTTGAGCGATTAAAGGACTTGTCCTTTTAGCCGCCACCCCACATCCAACAAATATAAAAATCAAACACATGTGATCGTCCAACGTATATATCACTATTTTTTTCATGATTGTACCAGAAACATGTGGGACTGAGCAGATTCCTAGCAGTTACCATAGCACAGGCTAATAAAAAAAAACAACGTTTTTCAAGTTGAAGCACTCCCAAACAAGATGAGCACACTTTGGTTAATGCATATAATAATAATTCATGTGACATAATTCCTGCCGACAAGACATTTAGCGTTTTAAATTCTGCAAATCTAGTAAGATCAAAACAAAGGTTAGTGCATATCTTGAATTACATGATTTCTTTTTTGTTTTCAGATGGTCTGCAATTGCAGCAAAATTACCGGGACGCACGGACAACGAAATTAAAAATGTGTGGCACACCCACTTGAAAAAAAGACTCAAGCAAAATCATGTCACCCCAGAAATCAGGGGAAGAGCCGTGGATATATCTAGATTTAATCAAGGATTAAAGACAGATTCAGAATTAGTGAATTCATCAAATCTTGCAGCAGGATCCGATCAGACCGAGGAACAAAGACCGATTTCACCACAGCAATATTCAAGTGATATCTCCTCTGTAACCACAGGTGATGATACCAATAATAACCTGTGCATGAAGGTGGAGTCATCGGATGATTTCACCGAAATAGATGAGAATTTTTGGTCAGAAGTATTGTCTGCTGATCATTCAAGCATGACGAGTGATTATTCGGCCATTGGCACCGAGCTACAAATTCAATATCCATTTTCTCCACTAAGAATTGATGTGGAACCGGTCCATGCCACTAATTCAAACATGTATGACAGCATGGACTTTTGGCACAACCTCTTCACAAGAGCAGGAGAATTGCCGGTATTACCAGAAATTTGAACACCATTTTTTCTTTTTTAGTTAGAGGGCAGACGTTGTGAATTGTTTCTGTCCAATTTATTGACTGTAGAAGGAAACAAAAATATTTTAAAAAAGAAAGAGATAGTGTTTCTTGACAAAATTTTCCTATTTGTATTATTTAAATAAGGTGTCTAATTAAGAGTGACGATTTCTATTATTGTTTTTATTGTATGATATTAAATATAGTTAAAATAATTACATCAATATAAACAGAGATTCTTGATATTTTCAAGAACACAAATGCTTATTTTGTTTGCGCTTAAATCTAGCTAATGAGCCAGAAATTGGGTTTGTCAATGAGCAATCGTTTCCAAACTGAAACAGAAAAATATATACGATAATAATCTTGACGGGTTCGAAATTGAGGATTAAAATTCTGGATTATAAAATCATGTTGTTACCAATAATCTTGCAATGCGCATAAAGGATCCATCAGAAGAACATTTCAAAATTAATATTACAATTTCTCTCTTTTATCTCAAATGTTTTTTTATTTTTTATTTTTTGGGTCATAAAATTTGTAATCCTGACTACATACATGAAAAGAAATATTGCATTCTTCACCCTCACAACCTTGTATTAAGGATTATTTCATTAGGACCCTCCAAAACTTTGCTAATTTTACTCTTGACTTAATTTTTTTCAATTTAATTTTATCTTCATCTTTATTTTATTTTCATACCAACCTGCTGTTCATTTACTCTAGCTTTCGCTATTAGTCATGATACCTATATTCATTCTAATCAAATATAAATATATTATCTAACCTAGAAGTTAGTAATTGAATTTGAAAAGTGTTTTTTAATCATATTCAGAAAGATATTAACCTCAAGATACGTAAAAATTAATCTAAAGATATTTTTATTATCGAAAAAAAGTTAGTAACTGAACTTGAATTATTAACTTTGAACTAAATAAATCTTTTTTTTTTTAATACTTAAACCATCTCACTGAAACTATGATGTAAATTCTAAGATTTACAAGAAAATGAATCTTTTTCAATTTTTTTATATTTATATATCTATCTTTCGTTTTTCGTGTCACGAGTAAATCTAGAGCTTGAAATATAAGCAAGATTGGATCTTAAATACCTTAAAATGATCATCCATAAAGTTTCCAGCTTAAATTGCCCTCCTCAAATCTTATCTGACTCCTATATTTAACACTTTAATTTTCAAAACAGGGTACCTTTCCGTAGAAAATAGAAAAGGGGAAAAAAGTCAGCAACATGTGAACTGCGTTCACTTCATTTTTTTATCAATTGATTGTAGATGATAGATATCATGTCGGATTAAAGTTATAAACTGTACCAAAAAAAATATTAAAAAGCTTGGATTTTTTCAAATAAAATGCCTTCTCTTTTTTTTTCTCGTGAAGTAGCATTGCCCTTTTTTTTTTTTTTTTTCGGGTGAAGCATTAGCATGGCCTGCTTCATCGCTTTCAAAACCATGATATCAAGTTAATGATACGATAGAAAAATCGGTACCTAAGCTGTATGCATTTATTCATTGAATTTGATATGTAGCACGTTTTTTCAGTGCTTCTCTGTCCGTTACTAAAGCGTAGGGTCTCCGATAGATCTGCATGATTGTACCGTGTCCACTTTATTTTAAGAGTAAAATTTGCAGGTAAAATCAAATTAGTACTTTCTTTTCCAAATTGCTGATCATCAAGCTTTTAAACTTACAAAATTAAAAAAAAAAAAAAGGATTAAGTTTTCTTGACCGCTAGATATATTATTTGAAGTAATCAAAGAGTAACGTTAAACGCATGGTAAGCTTTTAGAAGGCATAAATTATATTTTTGTACAAATCATAATTATAATTTTTTAATTAAATTCTAGTAATTGCAATTATAAGATAATCTCAAATTGTTGGTGTTGGTATAGTAAATTTGTTGAAGAAAATAAACTATTTGCCACGATTCTTTTTATTTTTATCATGCGTAACATATTAAGTTTTTTTTTTTTTTTTTTTTAAAGGCATAAATTACCCCAAACCCAATTAAAGTGTAGAAATAGGGATGTCAATTTCCCTCGTCTTGCCCCGCCTCCATTTTCCTCGGTCAACACGAGGATTCTCTGCATTGACTGTGGGACGGGACGGGGCGAGGATGGGATTTGCCCGACCCCGTTTGTCCTTTTTTTTTTTTCATTAAAATTATAATTATACCTCATATAAAATCTATAATTAGTGATTTTTAGGGTTTATTTTCTACATAAATTATCATTTTTTTGCTATAATTTAAATTTTGATAATAAAATTAGATAAAATGAGACGAAAAAAAAATTGCTCCATTTACACTCCGCTTGTCCAAGATTTATTTGTTTGATAAACTATTTGCCACGATTCTTTTTATTTTTATCATGTGTAACAGATTAAGGTTTTTTTTTTTTTTTTTTTTTTTTTTTATAAGGCATAAATTACTCCAAACCCAATTAAAGTGTAGAAAGAGGCCGGAGTGTGATGGCATCTGATCTTGCCAAAGAAATATTACAAGTAAATGGACGAAAGTTGTGTGGCTGAGGATGCCTAGCTCTCACGTGCATAAATATTGATTTAATTGTCAGTTACATGCAAGCCATTTCATTAACTTGGAATCTATCATTTTCATGATGACCAGGACCACAAGTGCTTTTATATGCTAATAGTTCTTCACTTTCTCTTTATGCATGTTACAAATTACCATATATATTACTTTCAAGCAGCATTATTCTGAAGTTTTGTTTCCGATAATATTTCAAAAATTTCTTAAAATTCCTAGGTTTTTACGACAATTCCAACTTGAATTTCATCTGAAAATTAATATAATTGCTGATAATAATCAGTGCAACTTTTTTGAAAAACATCAAAAATTTAGTTTGACTAGAATTTACTTTATTAATTCCCAGATGAAGAGACATAATGTAAATTAAGATTAGATTTCTAGGTTGAACAAACCTAATGGGCTATAAGTTTGGCCCAACAGACCAGTCCATGTTTTTTGAGAATCGCTGGTTTGTTCTAGATTGGATTTCCGAATCGAGTAAGCCCAAACCGCCTTAACAGAATTGATCTATACAAAAACGTCATCGTTCGGTAAGATTCCCAATTTACAAAGGATAAGGCGAGAAACCTATATTTACCCGTCCATGCATCTGCAAAAGCGAGGAATATTGCCTTTATCTAGGGTTTACTTAGATTTCTTGCATCTATAAATCATGATCTGTAGGCGAGAGAGGCCGGGCAATGTCACATCAAGGTATGCCTGCGTTGTTGAAAGATATGAAGCTCAAGATGCAGCTTGTACGAAGCACCTGAGGGAACAAAAGCTAAGAAAATTGGAGGGAAAAAATGGTGAGGAAAATGATGAAGATGGTTTAAGGGTAGCGAAGCGAAGGTTGATGAGAGAGAAAATGGACTTTGCAAAGGTTGAGAAGCGTGTGCGAACAGCAGGGGGTGGGAGCACAGGACCTGTTCGGGATTTGCGTCTTGAGGATACAGTAAAATATCTTTTAAATCTTGATGTTCACTGTGCCCATGCACTATGATCCCAAATCCTGGTCCATGCGCGAGGATCCTCATTCAGAAACAGATCCAAATGAAAAATTGTATGGGGTAAGTGCCCTTGAGAGCAGAAAATTAGTAAATTATTCAGCAACTTCATTCATATCCAACATTTCTTGTTATACGTTACATGGAGATAACCAGTATAGGAATAGTGTTCAAGCTTTGGAGTTCAAACATCTCAACGTCCATGGGGGAGGCATTTTAGAAGGGGCAAGGTATTCACAAGCGAGCTGCTCCATCTCAAGCTAAGCTGTTATATAAGAACCGTACGGGCACAAAGGAGAAATAGAAGACCCGAATGGAGAAGGACGTTATTATGAACTTTGTACGATTCTTTTGATTGGATTAAAGAATCTACAGAAATTTTCCATTATAATTTCCTTTTTGTTCAAAGGCCAGCTTCTGGTTAATCTTCCCCTTCTATTAATGAACACTACCATTTCAAAGAACAACTTGAGACATAAACTCAGCCTCACTTGTGAAAAAACAACTTGAGACAGATTTCAGGTTATCCTTCTTTTAATGAAGGAATGAATGGATTACTTCTCTTCTTCTTCTCTCTCGTTCTCTTCTTCGTGTTTGATGCATCCATATATTATATATATACCATCCTTAAACCTTGTGCAGGATAAACCAATTCCATGCATAGTTCACACAAAACAAAAATATTTCCAAAATTAAAAACACTTATGGTGTACATCATCTTATATAACCAAGCCCCCACCTCTGATCAGTATATATATGTCTGATCGGATCTTTCCATCAATATATCTAACAACTAGAAACAAAAGAAAGCGAAGTCTTATTAAGATAAGTTCCTTAATTATATGAGCTATCCACGAGCAATTGTTTCCTGAATCTCCATCTCTGCCCGGAAAGTCAAAATGAACTGCTCAGCTCTTTCATCTATTCCTTGCATTTGGGGAGATGCAAATCCCAACGACTCCCACATATCGTCCGCCGTGGAGCCTCTTTCCCCTCTCTTGATCTCAGTTTCCCTGCTCGTTCCTGCTGGCACTACCGTTGTCGCTCCCTGGTGATTGAGAATCTTCATAGTCTTCGTAGTTGGCGGAAACTTTGCCACCAACCCACCAGTATTGACAGCCTCTCGAAAGAGCTTATCTATATATACAGTTGCTGATTTTTTGTGGACATCGCCAAAGCCGCCTTTACGTTGTTTAAAAGGAAGCGCACGAGGTTGGTATACAAGCCGCTTTCTGCTTTCATCACGTTTCTGATCAAACAGAATATGTGGCCGAACAGCTTTTGCAGAAGTAGTGATGTTCCTAATATTGTTGGTTCGATATTTTGATTTCTTAATAGATTTGGACATTTTGAGTTTATGCAATTTGCTTTGAAGTTTGGATGTGAAACTCTTCCATGCCTTCTTGGCTGGCGGAAGCCTCAGATTCAGGCAAGACATGAGAAAGAAAAAGGGATGAACTTGAAGGGAAGATGTGGGCGTTCAAGTACAGATGACGATAAAACTTGTGCTTTATAAGAAGAGTAGCTAATATTCGTTCTTTTTGCACTGGATTTTGTTTCGATTGATGGGTATGGGATTCGTATTCTGTTTGTGCTATAATCTTTTGTGGATTCAGGACTAGCTTAGTCCTTACGCTAAATGCAAGTGTGTGAAAAGAAAGAATTTCATACGGTAGCTAGCCTAAGCCTAGTGGATGAAAAGAAACTTCCTTAAGAAAGCTATGAATGCACTCGCTTAGCTCTCACGCTATGACAAGTTGGTAGAAGAAAAACTGACCAGTTTAGCATTGGATTGGCAGATGGATTTGACTTGATAATCAAGACTAATTGCCTCGCTTTTTGGTTTTGTGTGAAATTATATGAAGACATGTACATGACTAACTCTTGACGATAGAAAATGAAAAGCTAGCGAAGAGAACATTTTATGAAACTACAATTGACAGATGATTCCAGGAAACATAGCAGAGAATGTATGGGTTATAAAGGATTCAGCTAAATAGATAGGTTCTCTTTGACTGAGCAATCACGCGTAATATCCCGCCTTGTGACTGAGGAATAGCCTCTCCGACCACTTTCGGATTATAACTCAAAATCAAAATTATATTTCTCATAAGTCACGCGAAAACGGATTTGCAACTTTATTTTGCTAAAAATCATATTTCCAAGCTCTGTCCTTTCAGCTCAAAAGGTTTCTTCATTTCTGCCTTAAATCAATCGAACAATTGGCTTTTTGTCTGGGCGTCATCTGAGTTTGCGCTTTGCAAGATACCTAAAGTATAGCAATTTTTTATAGACATTGATATATGCCTTTCCATTTATCTTTATTTTTCTCATCTTAATCTATCCATTTTCCCCGTCACCAATACATCATCTCTGACTATAACGCATCTACCTTTACCAGCTTAAAGATTCCACGGTCGCGTAGAAGTGTTCAGCGAAAATGGTCTTTATTCTCCATTTTGAAAGCTACAATCATATATGGTACCCAAAAATTTATTCAGGATAGCTTCCAATCTTAATGAAAACACTGTTTCTTCTTGCTGTCACTTTGTTTTTCCGATTCTAAAATAACGATGATGAGATTACGCCACAGAATACTTTATCAGCACAAAAATCGAAACTGGATAAGAAACGTTAGAATGGCCAGCTAGGCTTTTGCTTCACCTTCCCTTGGTACTTAGACAAGAGAGATGCTTCCAAAAAGTAGTAGGCATTTGATCACAATGAAGTCTCTCTATGGACTGCATTGCATTTCTTTTCCATTGTGTAATCCGCCTCAAATCTCTCATAAAAAATCACGTAAATTCCCAATGTTGAATTCATGCCGCTTAGAGAAGCCGTATTTAGTTTACAACTCTGTAATCAATGGTGACAATGCTTCCCTGGCTTGTCTCTATCGTAGGCTTCAAACTATAAATAGAAGGATTAAGATAGATGTTTCTCATCAGCAAGTGAGAATTAAATTACCATAAGCCTCTCGGAGAAAGAAAAGATACAGACGATATGGCCAAGTCTAGCACCAAAACAACCCTGTTCTTCAACTTGGCTCTGCTGCTGTCTTTTCTTCTCATCACGTCCGTCGTCGAAAGCCGATCCGTACTTGGCAGTAAGTCTTAGATTAAACACTACCGTAATTTAACAGCTTTGATCATTTCATTGCTCTCTTGGCTATAAAAGTAACAAACAATATTGCACTATTGATGACCTTATCTTTAATTAGTTCAAAGATTGACATATATAATGATATATTTTCGTGTAAACAGTTGGGTTCTCAAGGGCAGCAGCATCCACACCAGACTGTGACTCAGTTCATGGTGTTGTAGGCGGAGACACTTGCTCTGCTATTGCACAGGAGTTTAGCCTGAGTACTGAAGACTTCAATGCAATCAACCCCAATCTCGACTGTGACAATCTCTTTGTGGGTCAATGGCTTTGCGTTGCAGGCACGTCAAAATAATTAAGCTGCATGGTTTCCAAGTATTTAAATCAAATTTAACTGTCCATTATTGTATGACATTGAGCACATGAATAAGGAGATGATCTCTACGTAGTTGTCCTTCTCTTTAATTATTATTGGCAGTTGAGTTATGTGCCGGTTAGCATTACTCTTTATTTTTCTTGGAATTTCAAATGTTTGGCATCATGATTGACATAAATAGGTTAATGAATATAAAAAGTATCTCATAAAAAAAAAAAAAAAAAAGAAACAAAGGCGATTAACAATATTAAATGGGAGTTAGATGTTTACATTGTTTAGCATGAAATTTTTATTTCTAGGTTCTATAAATAGAAAAATAATAGTGGTAAAAAAAAAAGATTATTTAAATTTAATTAAAAAAAAGATTAATACATAAAAATAGAGTAAAAGAATGAAATTAAAAAAAAATTAATACTGTTCGTTCAAAATTTAACAAAAGAACGAGATTAAGCTGAAATGAAAAGGATTGAATTTAAGGGGAAAAAAAACAGAATAGAAAGAAAAAAGATCTGTTTTCACTGTCTACAAACAACAAAAGAGTAGAAAGACTTGTGTAACTATTAATCAAAAAAGCAATCATGATGAATGATGACACATACAGCAGCATATATTCTTTCATCGGCCCACATTCAGTGTCCACCAGGCCCATATACTTGAAACCGGAAAGTCAATAATGCCTGTCAGCCAACGGATCTAACTTGAAAGCCCAAACTCCATTCAATACCCTCACTGGGCTAACAGCGGTCTTGGTGCTAATTTACAGGGCCACAGAAATCATAACAAACCCATAAATCTGATTTCAAAGCCCAATATCGATTCAATAGCACTGGGCTAACCTCGCTCTTGGTGCTAATTTTCAGGGCCTGAGAAAACATAACAGGCCTATACATCTGTTTTCAAAACCCAGCTCTGAAACACACATGCCCACATTAGCACTCTTGCTCTCCAAATAATGAAATTTTGTCCCTTTTCATGTACGCTGAACCCTTGAAACGTTGACGCTGTAATGAGTTGCATTTTAAGTGATATTAGTTTTTTTTTTTTTTAATTTTCGAATTCGAACAAAAAAAAAATCATAACAATTTTTTTTTTTACAATAAAAGTAAAACTTTTATTAAATAAAAAACATGGCATTTATATTGCACTATTTTCTTATTAAAAGGTCCCTTGAAAATTTTTTTAGGGTAATTACAATTATTCGTGGAAATATAAATATACCACTAGCTATAGATTGTAGTACGTAAGATTTAAACTCTCAATTTTATAAATGAATATTATATAAAAGAATTATCTTATGACTATACTAATCTATTTATTGACATAATAACATTTAAACTATCCATTCATAATCACAATCCTTAAATATGTTTATATCACTTATATTATCACTTTTTTGGTAAGGGGAAAAAAAAAAACAGAACCCATAACATTTAAACATTTATACACCACCGCCGTCATGCTTAGTTCGCTATTTAATTAAAATCTATTATTTAAACTATTTAGATACAATCTTCAATACTAAGCTTAATAAGTTGATTAATAAACTCTTAATTAAAGTCCATTGTTTAATCCATCCTGAAAAAGTTGGTTTTAAATTTATCAAAAAACTTATGAAGGAGATATTTCAAGATAGGGTTTACTCATATTTGGATTCTGTATTTTTTAAACTTTTTTAATTGAAATTCTATTTTTTTGACTTAATAAAAATTTTTTATTTTAAAAAATTTGTTGATTCAAATACTCAATTATTATTATTTTTTGATATGTCAAGTTAAAAATTTCAATAACCAATAAAAAACAGGCACCTAACATAAAGAATACTAAACCTCAAAAGCTTACGTCCCGAACAAAAGAAAAAAATCGTGGGTGCTAAGTACAGGCCTTTAAATGACCAGTGGTTGGTTTGGGTTCTGTATTTCTGTGACAAACAGAGAAAGCAAAGACAAGTGGTGGGTGCAAGTATAGGTCTTTAGCTAGGAACACCAACACGTACTCTAGATGCAACTTACCAGCTCAAACTACAACCCATTCGAAGTGGCGAATCGTTTTAAACATTACGACAATTAGCTCAAAAGGTGTCTTAATTTCTGCCTTAAATAGATCGAACAATTAGCTTTTAGTCTAGGCCTCATCTGAGTTCGCGCTTTGCAAGAGACCTGAAGTATCGCCATTTTGTATAGAGATTGATGTATGCCTTTCCATGTATCTTTATTTTTCACATTTAACTTATCCATTTCCCTGTCAACAGTACAGCATCTGTGATTATAACGCGTCTACCTTTATAACTTAAAGATTCCATGGTCGCTAAAATGAGCTTTATTCCCAATTTTAAAAGCTTGGTACCCTGAAATTTATTCAGGACCGGTTCCAATCTTAATGAAAACACTGTTTCTTCTTTCTGTCACTTTGTGTTAACTATTCTAAAATAATGATGATGATAATGATGATTATGCCACATAATACTTTATCAGCACAAAATCAACGACAGTGGTGTTTTCGGAAACAAAGGGTTCTTGATCCAAACTGGATAAGAGACATTAGCATAGCTAGCTAGGCTTTTACCTCACCTTCCCTTGGTACTTAGACAATAGACAACACCATACTAAAGATGCTGCCAAAAGTAGTAGGCATTTGATCACAGTGAAGTCTCTCTATGGCCTGCATTGTAGTTCTTTTCCCTAGTGTAATCCGCCTCAATTCATTCATAAAAAGTAACGTAAATTCCTAATGCTGCATCAAGAAGCCGGTATTTTGTGTACAACTCTGTAAATAACGGTAACAATGCTTCTCTGGTTTGTCTCTACCATAGGCTTCAAACTATAAATAGAAGGATTAAGATAGATGTTTCTCCTCAGCAAGTGAGAATTAAATTAACAGAAGCCTCTCGGAGAAAGAAAAGATACAGAAGATATGGCTAAGTCTAGCACCAAAACAACCCTGTTCTTCAACTTGGCTCTGTTGCTGTCTTTTCTTCTCATCATGTCCGTCGTCGAAAGCCGATCTGTACTTGGCAGTAAGTCTTAGATAAAACACTACCGTAATTTAACAGCTTTGATCATTTCATTGCTCTCTTCGCAATAAAAATAACAAACAATATTGCATTATTGATGACCTTATTTTTAATTAGTTCAAAGATTGACATAATGATATATTTTCTTGTAAACAGTTGGGTTCTCAAGGGCAGCCGCATCCACACCAGACTGTGACTCAGTTCATGGTGTTGTAGGCGGAGACACTTGCTCTGCTATTGCACAGGAGTTTAGCCTGAGTACTGAAGACTTCAATGCAATCAACCCCAATCTCGACTGTGACAATCTCTTTGTGGGTCAATGGCTTTGCGTTGCAGGCACATCAAAATAATTAAGCTGCATAGTTTCCAAGTATTCAAATCTAATTTCCATTAATGTATTGCATTGAGCACATGAATAAGGAGATGATCTCCATGTAGTTGGCCTTCCCTTTAATTATTATTGGCAATTGAGTTGTGTGCCAGTGAGCATTACTCCTTATTTTTATTGGAATTTCTACTGTTTGGCTTCATGGTAAATCTTCTGCCTTCTGAACCTATCTCTTGCTTTCTTTGCCTATTCAATTCAGAAATACTGATTGACATAAATATAGTAACGAATACAAATACCTCATTTAAAAAAAAAAAAATCGACTAACAGTGTCAAGTGGGATTTAGATATTTCGATTGTTTCGTATGAAAATTTTATTTTAAGGTTCTGTCAATGCAAGAATAACAATGGTTAAAAAAAATAAAAATTAAGACAAAAAAAAAAAAAAAAGTAGAAGAAGAGAATAATACCAAAAAAAAAAAAAAAAAAAAAACTTAATACTATTAGTACAAAAATTAAGAGAGAAACGAGATTAAAATAGAAACTAAATATAAAAAGATGAAATTAAAATAAAAAAAATAAAAAAAAGTAAACAACTTATGCAACTTATTTTGTATCACTTGCATAATCTCTTGATTAAAAAAAAAAAAATTATTCCATAACATTTAAACATTTATGCACAACTCTCAGGTTTAGATCACTATTTAATTAAAATATATTATTTACACTATTTAGTCACAACCTTCAGACTAAGCTTAATACTTTGATTAATAAAATCTTAGTTAAAGTCCATAGTTTAACCCATTCGAAAAAGGTTGATTTTATGTTTATGAAATAGCTTATCACCCTAACACTTCAAGAAGCGAAGAAATTAAAGAGCAGTGGTTGGTTTGGTTTATCTGTTTCTGTGACAAACAGGGAAAGCAAAGACAAGTGGTGGGTGGAAATATAGGTCTTTAGCTAGGAACACCACCACGTACTCTAGATGCACTTATACCAGCTCGAACCACAACCCATGCGAGGCGGCGAATCGTTTCAAACATCACGACAATTACCTCAAAAGGTTTCTTAATTTCTGCATTTAATAGATCGAACAATTAGCTTTTAGTCTAGGCCTCATATGAGTTTGATATATGCTTTGCAAGATACCTGAAGTGCCGCCGGCAATTTTTGATAGAGATTGATATATGCCTTTCCATTTATCTATATTTTTCTCAGCTTAACCTATCCATTTTCCCTGTCACCGGCACATTATATGTGAATATAACGCATCTACCTTTACCAACTTAAAGATTCCACGGTGGCGTAGAAGTGTTCAGCTAAAATGATCTTTATTCTCCATTTTAAAAGCTACATTCATATATGGTACCCAGAAATTTATTCAGGATAGCTGGATAGGTTCCAATCTTAATGAAACCACTGTTTCTTCTTTCTGTCACTTTTTGCTTCCGATTCTAAAATAATGATGATGAGATTACGCCACAGAATACTTTATCAGCACAAAATGGTAATCTAAATGGTGTTTTCTGAAACAAAGAGTCCTTGATCAAACTGGATAAGAAACATTAGCATGGCTAGCTAGGCTTTTACTACACCTTCCTTGTTACCTAGACAATAAACATCACAATAGTGAAGATGCGGCCAAAAAGTAGTAGGCATTTGATCACAATGAAGTCTCTCTATGGACTGCTTGCATTTATTTTCCCTAGAGTAATCCGCCTCAAATCTTTCATAAAAAATCACGTAAACTCCCAATCCATGCCGCGTAGTGAAGCCGGTATTTAGTGTACAACTCTGTAATTAACGGTAACAATGCTTCACTGGTTTGTCTCTACCATAGGCTTCTAACTATAAATTGAAGGATTAAGATAGATGTTTCTCATCAGCAAGTGAGAATTATATTATCACAAGCCTCTCGGAGAAAGAATAGATACAGAAGATATGGCTAATTCTAGCACTAAAACAACCCTGTTCTTCAACGTGGCCCTGGTGCTGTCTTTTCTTCTCATCGCGTCCGTCGTCGAAAGCCGATCCGTACTTGGCAGTAAGTCTTATATTAAACACTACCGTAATTTAAACGCTTTGATCATTTCATTGCTCTTTTGGCTATAAAAACAACAAACAATATTGCACTATTTATGACCTTATCTTTAATTAATTCAAAATTGACATAACGACATATTTTCATGTAAACAGTTGGATTCTCAAGGTCAGCAGCATCCACACCAGAATGTGACTCAGTTCATGGTGTTGTAAGTGAAGAAACTTGCTCTGCTATTGCACAGGAGTTTAGCCTGAGTACTGAAGACTTCAATGCAATCAACCCCAATCTCGACTGTGACAATCTCTTTGTGGGTCAATGGCTTTGCGTTGCAGGCACATCAAAATAATTAAGCTGCATAGTTTCGAAGTATTCAAATCTAATTTCCATTATTGTATTGCATTGAGCACATGAATAAGGAGATGATCTCCATGGAGTTGGCCGTCTCTTTAATTATTACTGGCAAGTGAGTTGTGTGCCAGTAAGCATTACTCCTTATTTTTATTGGAATTTCTACTGTTTGGCTTCATGGTAAATCTTCTGCCTTCTGTGAGCCCATCTCTTGCTTTCTTTGCCTATTCAATTCAGAAATACTGATTGACATAAATATAGTAATGAATATAAAAACCTCATTAAAGAAAAAAAAAAACAAGGTGGACTAACAGTGTCAAGTGCGAGTTAGATATGTAGTTTGTTTGGTATGAAAATTTTATTTTAAGGTTCTGTCAATGCAAGAATAACAATGGTTGAAAAAAATAAAAATTAAGACCAAAAAAAAAGTAGAAGAAGAGATTAAGGCAAAGAAAAAAATTTAATTCCGTTAGTCTAAAAATTAATAGAGAAACGAGATTAAAACAGAAAATAAATGATATTAAAATAAATAAATAAAAAAGAAAAAAAAGTAAACAACTTATGCAACTATTAACTAAAAATAAAATACCGACGACGGATGACAATTCCGGCAGCATACATTGTTTCGTCGGCCCACATTCAATGTCCACCAGGCCCATATATTTGAAACAGGAATGTCAATAATGGCTGTCAGCCAACGGACCTCACATTCAAGGCCCAAACTCGATTCAATACCAGCACTGGGCTAACAGCTCTCTTGGTACTAATTTACAGGGCTGCATAAATCATAACAAGCCCTTTCAAAGCCCAGCTTTAAAAACACATGCCCACATTAGCACTCTTCCGCTACCCAGAATGGGAATTTTGTCCCTTTTCATGTCCATCAAATCCTTTAATTATTGGTAATAACAGACGTAGCAAATGAATTGCAGTTTAAGTGATATTAGGGCTTTTAAAAAATATATCTGAATCCGAGAAATTTTCATGTCGATTTTTTTTTCTGTTATAAAAAATATACTAAAAATAAAAAAACATGTAGAGTATCTCATCCTCGTTTAGAAGAAACAATGTATTCACATCAAACAATTTTTTTATTAAAAAAATCCTCATTATATCTATGTTCGAGCTAAAATTTAAGATATTTTGAAGACAACCATTTAAGCATGTCACTAATTTTAGGTTGCCGTAGATAACGTTAAAATTCTCAAACTTATTAATGAATAAACCTTTTATAAAAAACTCACTTTATGACTATATTAATTCGATTATTTTTATCATAACATTTAAACCATCTATATGGAATCATCAGATTAATTCTGATTGTATCACTTGTATAATCTCTTGTTCATAAAAAAAATTAATTATTCCATAACTCTCAGGCTTAGATAACTATTAATTAAAATCTATTATTTAAACTATTCAGGCACAACCTTCAGAATAAGCTTAATACTTTGATTAATAAAACCTTAGTTAAAGTTCACCGTTTGACCCATTCGAAAAAGGTTGATTTTACATTTATGAAAGAGCTTATCACCCTGATATTTCAAGAAGCGAAGAAATTAAAGAGCAGTGGTTGATTTGGTTTCTCTGTTTTTGTGACAAACAAAGAAAGCAAAGACAAGTGGGTGGAAATATAGGTCTTTAGCTAGCAACACCACCACGTACTCTAGATGCACTTATACCAGCTCGAACTACAACCCATGCGAGGTGGCGAATCGTTTCAAACATCACGACAATTACCTCAAAAGGTTTCTTAATTTCTGCATTTAATAGATCGAACAATTAGCTTTTAGTCTAGGCCTCATATGAGTTTGATAGATGCTTTGCAAGATACCTGAAGTGCCGCCGGCAATTTTTGATAGAGATTGATATATGCCTTTCCATTTTTCTCAGCTTAATCTATCCATTTTCCCTGTCACCAGCACATCATCTGTGAATATAACGCATCTACCTTTACCAACTTAAAGATTCCATGGTCGCGTAGAAGTGTTCAGCTAATATGATCTTTATTCTCCATTTTGAAAGTTACATATTCATATATGGTACCCAGAAATTTATTCAGGATAGGTTCCTATCTTAATGAAACCACTGTTTCTTCTTTCTGTCACTTTGTGCTTCCGATTCTAAAATAATGATGATGAGATTACGCCACAGAATACTTTATCAGCACAAAATGGTAATCTAAATGGTGTTTTCTGAAACAAAGAGTCCTTGATCAAACTGGATAAGAAACATTAGCATGGCTAGCTAGGCTTTTACTACACCTTCCTTGGTACCTAGACAATAAACATCACAATAGTGAAGATGCTGCCAAAAAGTAGCAGGCATTTGATCACAATGAAGTCTCTCTATGGACTGCTTGCATTTATTTGCCCTAGAGTAATCCGCCTCAAATCTTTCATAAAAAATCACGTAAACTCCCAATCCATGCCTCGTAGTGAAGCCGGTATTTAGTGTACAACTCTGTAATTAACGGCAACAATGCTTCACTGGTTTGTCTCTACCATAGGCTTCTAACTATAAATAGAAGGATTAAGATAGATGTTTCTCATCAGCAAGTGAGAATTATATTATCACAAGCCTCTCGGAGAAAGAAAAGATACAGACGATATGGCCAAGTCTAGCACCAAAACAACCCTGTTCTTCAACTTGGCTCTGTTGCTGTCTTTTCTTCTCATCATGTCCGTCGTCGAAAGCCGATCTGTACTTGGAAGTAAGTCTTAGATAAAACACTAACGTAATTTAACAGCTTTGATCATTTCATTGCTCTCTTCGCAATAAAAATAACAAACAATAGTGCATTATTGATGACCTTATTTTTAATTAGTTCAAAGATTGACATAATGATATATTTTCTTGTAAACAGTTGGGTTCTCAAGGGCAGCCGCATCCACACCAGACTGTGACTCAGTTCATGGTGTTGTAGGCGGAGACACTTGCTCTGCTATTGCACAGGAGTTTAGCCTGAGTACTGAAGACTTCAATGCAATCAACCCCAATCTCGACTGTGACAATCTCTTTGTGGGTCAATGGCTTTGCGTTGCAGGCACATCAAATAATTAAGCTGCATGGTTTCCAAGTATTCAAATCTAATTTCCATTATTGTATGCCATTGAGCACATGAATAAGGAGATGATCTCCATGTATTTGGCCTTCCCTTGAATTATTATTGGCAATTGAGTTTTATGCCAGTTAACATTACTTTTTTTTTCCTTGAAATTTCAACTGCTTGGCTTCATGATAAATCTTCGGCCTCCTATGAGCCTATCTCTTGCTTTCTTTGCCAATTCAGTTCAGAACTACGTACTGTTTGACATAAATATAATAATGAATATAACCCTCATAAAAATTCATTAAAAACAAAGTAGATTAACAGTGTTAAGTGGGAGTTGGATATTATATCATTTAGTATGAAAATTTTATTTCAAGGTTCTACAAATACAAGAAGAATAGTGGTAAAATAACAAGATTGTTTAAAAAAAAAAAAAAACGGAAAAACAAGAAGATTAAGATGAAAAAATATAGTAAAGATATGAGATTAAGGGGAAAAAAACGTTAACAATGTTAGTTCAAAATTTAACAATGAAATGAGATTAGAAATCAAGTATAGAGAGATAAAATTAAGATGACAAGAAGTAGAGGAAAAGGATAAAGAAAAAAAATTAGACTGAGTTCTGCAACGATTAACTAAAAAGACAGTACTGCCGAGTGATGACAAATCCGGCAGCATATGTTGTTTCGTCGGCCAACATTTAATGTCCGCTAGGCCCATGTACTTGAGACTGGAATGTCGACAATGCCTGTCAGCCTACGGATCTCACATTCAAGGCCCAAACTTAATTCAATACAAACACTGGGCTAACATCGCTCTTTCTTATATAGGGCCGTATAAATCATAACAAACCCATAAATCTCTTTTCAAAGCCCAGCTCTAAAACACACATGCCCACATTAGCACTATTGCGCTACCAAGAGTGAGAATTTTAACCCTTTCATGTATATCGGATCCATGAAACATTTACCTTATTGGTAATAAGGGACGAAGTAAATTAGTCGCAGTTGAAGTGATATTAGGGGCTTTTTATCAAAAAAACAAAACAAAAAGATTTTAAATTCCAATTTTTTTATTATAAAAAAATCATAACATTTTTTTTTTTCAAATAGACGTAGAAGGATAGGCCGACTTTCTCGTGCTCTTTTATCCGAAAAACATTGTGATCATATCACATCACCCTTTTGTTTAACAAATCTTCACTGTCCTTATGTTGAGGTTAAAATTTAGAGTCTTTCTAAAGATAATTACAATAATTTGTAGAGACATAAATATGTCATCATCTGCATGCTGCACTAAGTAAGATTAGAACTTTCAACATCATGGATGAATGCTCTATAAAGAGCTCATTTATTGCTATACTAATTTGTTTATTGACATCATAACATTTAAACTGTTCATACACAATGTTAGATTAAATCTGTTTATATCATTTATACTATTTTTTTTAGGAAAAAAAAAAACTAAAAGGCCATGAGATTTAAACATTCATACACAACTGTCAAGCTTGTTTCACTGTTTAATTAAAATTTATTATTTAAACTATTTAGACATAGAGAAAAAACTAGTAATATATATATATATATATATATGAGAAAAAAATAGATTAGATCAACGGTGTTAAGTGGGATTTAGATATTTAGATTGTTTAGTATGTAAATTTTATTTCTAGGGTCTATAAACACAAGAATAATTGTGGTAACGCTAATTGGTTATAAAGTACATGAATTATTGATCGAAAAAGAAAAGTTTCTAATTTTTTGTTTCTTATTTAGATCTCCAATCATTTTTTTTCTACAATTATTATTATTTTTACTTATTGATTAATTTTAGACAACATAAAAAATACATAAAACTATTAAAACAACAATATATGTTTTGAAAGCTTTAAACATAAGACACATATCATTATTTTATTACATCAAGTATTTCTTACGTACATTTAATAATCTTACGGAATGAAAGAACTTAAATATAGAAAAGAAAAAAAAAAAAGAAGAAGATTGGAAACTCAAATAAAAAAATGGTTAAAAACTTTTTATTTATTGATGAATAGTTAAACGCACTTGATAACACTTGCTAGGGTTGTGGTAATTATCCCAAAAGACAATAACCATGAGTGATGACAAATCAGGCAGGCATATGTTGTTTCCTCGGCCTACATTCAATGTCCACGAGGCCAAATACTTGAAACCGGAATGTCAAAGTCAGCCAACGGATCGCACATTCAAGGCCCAAACTCTATTCAATACTAGAACTGGGCTAACATCGCTCTCGGGATTAATTTACAGAGCCGCAGAATTCATAACAAGCCCATACATATCTTTTCAAAGCCCAGCTCTAAAACACGAATGCCCTCGTAAGCACTTTTGCGCTACTAAAGAAAGGGAATTTTGTCCCTTTTCATCTATGTATCGAATCCTTGAAACATTTACCTTATTGGTAATAAGAGACGCAGTAAATGAGTTGCAGTTAACTGATATTAGGTTTTTTTTTTTTTTTTTTTTTAATATTTCGAACTCGATTTATTTTGTAATAAAAAAGCTCATAACAATTTTTAATACAGTGAAAGTGAAAAAAAGAGGTAGATTACCTCTCTCTCTTTTTTAAAAAACATTATATTCATATCACTCTATTTTTTTTACTGAAAGAATCGTTACTGAGCTTATATTCGTATTGAAACTTGAGGTTTTTAAATATTTCGAACTTGAACATAAATATATTACTAACTTTTTAAATATTTGAAATTCGTATCGAAACTTAAAGTTTTTAAATATTTCGAATTCAAACATAAATATGTTACTAACTTTTTAAATATTTCTAATTTGAACATAAATATGCTACTGACTCATAGATTTTAATAGTCAGATTAAAATTTTTAATTTTATAAATAAATGGTCTGTAAAGAACTCATTTATTGATGGAACTATATTGATTGATTTATTGACGTCATAACATTTAAACCACCAATAAAAAATTATCATCACATTAAGTATGTTTATATACCTTCTATCATTTTTTTGGTAAATAAGTTTAATACTATTTGGACAGAATAAGTTTAATACTTTGATTAATAAAATCTTAATTAATTAAAGTCTATTGTTTAACAACTAACCCATCCGAAAAAAGGTTGATTTTAAATTTATCAAAGAGCTAATATCCCTGATATTTCAAGAAGCAAAAAAATTAAATGAGCAGTGGTTCGTTTGGTTTATCTGTTTCTGTGACCAAGAAAGCGAAGACAAGCGGTGGGTGGAAATATAGGTCTTTAGCTAGGAACGCCACCACGTACTCTAGATGCACTTCCCAGCTCAAACTACAGCCCAGGCGAGGTGGCGAATCGTTTTAAACATCACGACAGTTCCTCCATGCAGAACAAACCAGCCCTCCATGCCACACAACCCCACCAGCCTACCACCACCTCTTTCGCTAAAATCCAGTTTCTCCACACTATAAAATGGGCTTCTAGCGCCAACAAAAAACTTACAATTCTCAGTTCTTTCTTCTTTTTTCTGCTGCCCTATACATGCCCAGCATGAATAAACTTGTTGCAGTATTGGTTCTTTCTTTGCTTGCTTATGGAGCTGTAGCAACAAGAGAAAGAGAACCGCAGAGGGAAGCACGGCTGAGGGAAGCACAACAATGCCAGCTCCGAAGGATCACTGCGAGCAAGCCTTCTCATCGTATTAAGTCCGAAGGGGGTGTGACTGAGATTTGGGACCCAGAGGAGGACCAATTTCAGTGTGCTGGGTTCGCTCCCATGAGGACCACTGTACAAACCAATTCCCTCTCTTTGCCCAAGTTCTTCCCTGCTCCTCGCTTGGTGTTCATCGAGCAAGGTTAGCAATAATTTTACAAGCCAATTAATATGAAATGAAAACTAAGCTAAGATCAAGCTGATTGATAACGTGGACCAATAATTACGAACTCTTTTATACTTTCTTTGAAAAAGCTAAGCTAACATGAGAAGTGAAATGAACAGGTAGAGGAGTGATGGGAATAAGCTATCCTGGATGCCCGGAGACATTCCACAAAGAGCAACAATTTTCAAGAGGCCAAGGCCAGAGAGGAATGTCAGGAGACCAGCACCAGAAAGTTCACAGGATTCGCCGCGGAGACATCGTTGCCGTACCAGCAGGAGCAGCCCATTGGTGCTACAATGATGGAAATGAGGAGCTCATCGCCGTCTCTGTTCTTGATCTTAACAACCAGGCTAACCAGCTGGACCAAAACCTTAGGGTAATATTCCTCTCCATTTTGCTTTCACAGTTCCAGTAACTTTTTATCTGTGGTGAGCGAGCTAATTTTGGTAATTTTTTATGTTGCAAAGGGATTCATGCTGGCAGGCGGCCAACCCAAGCATGGACAGGAAAGATACGAGAGACCTTCTCATAGATTTGCAGGTCAATCCGAGAGGAGTACTGAAGACACCTTCCAGAACATTTTCCGTGGATTTGACGAAGAACTGTTGGCTGAGGCCTTCAACGTTCCAAGAGAGACTGTAAGGAGAATGCGTCAAGGTAGTTCCAGAGGACCCATTGTCAAGTGCCAGGAAGAAATGAAACTTATGTCACCAGATCTAGAGGAGGAAGAAGGAAGTGAATCTTGCTATGATAAGATGCCTCAACCGAACGGGTTGGAAGAAGCCTTCTGCAACATGAAAATCAAGCAGAACATTGAAGTCCAAAGAGAAGCCGATTTTTACACTAAACAGGGCGGGAGAATCAACATTGCGAACCAGCAAAAGCTTCCTATCCTTCGATTCCTTGACATGAGCGCTGAGAGAGGCCAGCTTATGCCAGTTAATATTTAACCCCAATTTCGACTCTTAATTTCCTTTGTACTTTTCAATCCATTTTCTTAGAATCGTTCCTTTCCAGATAGGTAATTAACCCATTCTTGTTGCAGAATGCAATGTACTCACCACACTGGTCGATGACAGACAACAGAGTCCTCTATGCTCTCCGCGGTGAGTTGCATGCACAGATTGTAGATGAAAGAGGAAATACCTTAATGAACGAGAGGGTTAGGCAAGGTGACATGTTTGTGATCCCTCAGTTCTTCGCTGCCATGTTGAAGGCAGGAAACAATGGTTTTGAATGGGTATCATTCAAATCTAGCGGCCAGCCAATGAAGAGCCCTATGGTTGGTTCCACATCCGTGATGAGGGCCATGCCCGTTGATGTCATGTCCAACGCTTTCCAGATTTCCCGAAGAGAAGCTGAACAATTGAAAACGAACAGAGACCCACAATCCATGCTGCTTTCTCCTACCAGGACCTCATTTTGAACAGAAATTTTGTTCTGCTAGTTGCAGTACTACTCCCCTCTACTACTGGGGCCACTCCTACTAAGACATCCTTCTTGTTTCGTTAGAGAAGGATCCATAAACTAAGCTTCTGTACATTTAGTTGCTGAGTGTAAAAATGCATGTAAGCCTTCTTTCATGATCAATAAAAAGTGGCCTTCTTCTATTTTCGTCTTTTTGGCCGGTAATTGACTTATTTCAGGATTTTGCTTGCATCACTTTAACCTCTGTGTTAAAAATTAAATTTTCTTTTTAAGTTCTAGGGAGTAAATGACTAATTCTGTGTGATCATTTTATAACGGCATTTAGTATTTTAACGTTTCATTATAACAGTGACAATAATTTCTTGTCAATGTCTCAAACAATGTTAGTCATATTTCCAATGCGGGTTGTCGCTTCCGCTGGAAAAAAACTATGTTGCTTCTGTAGCCATATCTCTAACGTAGAATGTGAAAAAACTATGTTGCTTCAATGGTCATATCTTTAATGTAGGACGTGGATGCCCGGAAAAAAAAAAAAAAAAAAGAGCAAATAATTGATTTTTGCTAGGAACATATGACTTGGTCTATTAAAAAGTGGAATAAAAATAATTTATATTAGAAAAAGACACAGATGGACTCACAAAGAATGCCTCTGTTTCCAAATTTGAAGATTCTCTTTCACCGCCAACCATGCCAGCGTTCAGAGTCGATTCTGCAATAGGAAAGACTGCTACTGCTCCACGCCTTACTAACAACGCCACAATAACTCCGTCTATTGCTCCTGTAGGCTTTGAGGAATCGAAACACCAAGAAGCAAGGAAAGGTGCTCTAAATCCTCTCAATCGCCAATGGCTCGCTACAGATTCCCTCTGTTATATCCATGAGAAAGCGTGGTTCCATTTGTCATCTTCATTTCCATCGCATGCTATTCTAGCTCAGTAGCATCAGCATTGCATATTTCAAGGTCCCAGCAATAAAAAAGCAAAAGCACCAGTGCAAACGCCCGAACAGGTAAACAGAGCAGACCCATCATTCAAGTCTGGTAAATCGTTCTCTCCATACCTATTGACCCACTTAATTATTCTTTTGACCAATACTAATAGTATTTAATTTAATATTATTTTGTTTTAAAAACTATCATTTTTTTTTACTTATTCTTTATTTCTTAAAAAAAATTACAAGAAAAATTAAACTAGAGGAACTCCCCGCATATCCTTCTATAACATCAGCAATCTATACAGCAAACCATCTTTTTATCTCTAATTGTAATAATTTAATCCTTAAATCAAAAAGGAGACTGTACTATAAAATTTCTTCATGATATATAAACTTAAACCCATCAAACTTTTTTTTTTTTAACTCACACTTAAAACTCCAAACAGAACTAGTTTATTAAAATTTGAATCAAATCCATGAACTCTTGTTGCAAAAGACAACTACCATTTCATTACAAGCTCTTTGGTTAAAACCCATCAAACCTAACTCTGGTGTCTCCAGAGAAATAGAACTACTTCTACCTTCTCCACATTTCGTCCAAATGCAAATCTGGCTTTGACCGTAATAACATGAACAAAATGAGTTTCCATCAATCTAACCAAGCAACCAACACTGACCAAACATTGCTCCAGTTCACTAATGCCAAATTGCCACTTAAAATATCACATATCCTGAAATGAAGGCATGAACCCTACACTACCATTTTGAAAAAGACAGTCAAAATAACTTTCTTGTGCAAAGAACAGAAGCTATTTCTGAGACAATAAATTTTGAGATTTTACGGAGTTAATGATTTCTTTATTTGATCAAATGAAAAACAAATGCTAGCTAAGCTTTCCCAGGCTGAACATGAAAAACCTGGGAAGTTCAGACCCAAAAAACAAAATTGGAAAATAAAATAACCCGTAAATTCTAATTGTACACCATCCATAGGTAGCTTGAAAATATGAAAACTAGATGAGGGATTTGACTCCAAGCTGTTGCATTTCCATTAGCTTCCATATTGGGTAGATTGCACCGCCTCCAAGTTCTTCTGGATCTACTTGTCGCATAGCCCATGCATAGTATACAGTATGGATTGTATCCTACAATAGCCATAAATACCACAAAATATGTTGAAACTCTAGCAAGCAAAGACTAAACAGAGAGAAGAGTTCAGATTTCTGGTCAGAAGAGTTAAAGATACATCCATGCTACCTATTCTAAACCATATTTAACAAAACTATAAGCTCATTCCACACAGCAACTGCATAAGGTGTAGCCCAAAATAAATAATCACTATGGTTACACCAGAGAAACAAGCAGAGCTTTAAATAAGACACAGATAGGAAATAAACACAAAACCAATGCAAGGACTTAAGCTAATCCCTGTCAAGAATGGGGACCTTGATCTACTAGGAGATGAACTCTTTTCTTCCTATTTTTTTGCCCTCAAGGTCATTAGGCTTCTAGTTTACAGATAGGTTCCTAGTTTAGCTGAAGTAGCTTGCTAGGGTTGAAAGGATTTATCAGGTATCAGTTGGTTTTCGATATCTCAGCTATTGCAAGACCAATGAATGTGAGCTGTCAATTATTTTGTGCTCTCAGCTCAAGAGAACACACTCTTGATTTGTACCATCTGGTGAAGTGTCACCTCATCTCGTGCACTTTATTAAACTTAACTTTGAGGCTTTTGCTACAATGGATTTAACCCACTTAACTATCCATGCTTTAAACTGCATAAATGACAAACTAGACAAGACAGGAAAATATACAGGGTTTAAATGTTGGATACTGTGCATTGGTTTGAAAGATCAGTCATAAAGAATCATATTTACCAAACAATTATTTCATTTAGTCAAACCAATCTCCAGAAAAGTTCTCACTCTACACAATTTTTATGGTGGAAGGCTGCCAAGTAGGGGAGTTTCTCTATCATTGGCAGCCTGCCACCGGGTTTTGTCCTCAATTTTTTGATAATATTTCAGGCATTACACAGCCATGGTTAGTGGTCTGAATTTAAAAAAAAAAAACAAGAAGAAGAAGAAGACCTGGCTAGATTTGTGTTCCTATGGCTGTCATGGCAGGTGCATGGATCTGGGACTCTCACAGGCAAATTTATGACCAAATTTTGGATCCATGTCCTAAGAAGACTAAGGAGTTGATAACATTTACTTATCATGACTCTTGGTTTTCTGTTTTTTTTTTTTTTTTTTTCATGGTTAACCATGTCTATATTTGGGCACACAATGTAGCAAGAAACCCTTACATTGTCTCTTGGACATTTTGTTTTTAAAGAGAAACAAGTTTCAGAGTATGATATTTGCTGTAGGGGGGCATTCCAACTATTTGATTTCAATCAATTAAATCAAAAGCTTTGAGAAATCAAATATATCTTGGGTAAAAAGAAAAGGGAAAAACAAAGAAGAAGATTCATATCTACCTGACCCCCTTCTGTTATTGCACCATTTTGATCACGTACACAATGGACTTGCTGTGTTTGGAACTGCAATTATTCCAAGAAACATGGTCATCAGGAAGCAGAAAATCGTTTAATGCTTGCAATAAAGTTACCCAAAAAGGGATGCATACCGCCACAATGATTAACGGAGATGTTCCCATCATTTTGGTCTCCCTTACTTCCACGTCAGATATATGTAGAATCTGCACCAATCACAGGTATATTTTTTATCAACTTGTCAAACTGGAATATATTAAGCATCCCACATAAACCAATATACAAATAACTGCAGTCTGCATCGAAAACCTACAAGTCAGTTCATGATTATGACAACAATGAGTTCTTTCCCATATTTGAGAAACATATCCAGCCCATTGAAAACCTATCTATTTTCTAGTCTCAAATTACTCATGAAACCATCAAATGACTGTAAATGTAGCAAAATCTGCCACTATTAGACGTGCACACCCTGTGGGTAAGTGTCTCATACGATTGTTTCTTCATTCTTCGTTCTCATCTTTTAGTAATTCTAAAAACAGTTATATACAGCATAGTGCCAAAATCTAACTCAGAGTGGCAATGTAATAACATCAACTATTATGTCTGATGATTCATTTGACCACATGCTCTCTCGCTAAAGCTAGAGAATTTTGAAGGTAAACAAAAAGGAAGGAGAGGGGGGTGTGAAATTTTGGCATTATATACTATGGCAAACAAACAGATCACTGCATTCATGGCAAGCATGCTTACATGTACAACACCTACTCAGGCGCATGCTTAGGGTGCTAATGACGAGATCAAACTCAGCAAACATAATATTGACAAATAACTAGAGTCTGCATCCTGATACCTAGAATTGTCGATTTTGATGATGACAACAATTGAATTCTTTCCAACTTTTAGAAACGTATTTAGCATTAAAGGCCTTTCTATTTTCTAGTCTCAAATTACTCAAGAAACTTATCAAAAGATTGTAAATGTAGCAAAATCCATAAATATTAGATGTGTTTACACTGTGGGTAAGAGTCTGGGTGAGAGTCTCAACACACCCTGTCAATGTTTCTTCATTTTTTGAACTCATCATATACTAATAATTCTAAGAACAGTTATATATAGCACAGTGCCATAGTCTAACTTAGAAGTGGCAGTGTGACAAAATAACTATTACATCTGATGACTCATTTAAGACAATAATTATGATTAGCAAAAGCATCTAAATAGTCCTCTATAAATACAAAAATTGAAACGAAAAACATTTGGTTTTAGTATGGATAAAAAACAAAAATATTAAGAAGGAATGTGGAAACACACAGGAAGAAAAACACATTTTTCTGCATGAAAAACTAATCTCAAAACAAAAACAGCACTCCAATCAGCTCAATGTAGCTAAAGTCACACCACTGAAAACCTTGAAAATTGCACCATAAAGAAAGTGTCTGCATCCTGATACCTAGAATTGTCGATTTTGATGATGACAACAATTGAATTCTTTCCAACTTTTAGAAACGTATTTAGCATTAAAGGTCTTTCTATTTTCTAGTCTCAAATTACTCAAGAAACTTATCAAAAGATTGTAAATGTAGCAAAATCCATAAATATTAGATGTGTTTACACTGTGGGTAAGAGTCTGGGTGAGAGTCTCAACACACCCTGTCAATGTTTCTTCATTTTTTGAACTCATCATATACTAATAATTCTAAGAACAGTTATATATAGCACAGTGCCATAGTCTAACTTAGAAGTGGCAGTGTGACAAAATAACTATTACATCTGATGACTCATTTAAGACAATAATTATGATTAGCAAAAGCATCTAAATAGTCCTCTATAAATACAAAAATTGAAACGAAAAACATTTGGTTTTAGTATGGATAAAAAACAAAAATATTAAGAAGGAATGTGGAAACACACAGGAAGAAAAACAGCATTTTTCTGCATGAAAAACTAATCTCAAAACAAAAACAGCACTCCAATCAGCTCAATGTAGCTAAAGTCACACCACTGAAAACCTTGAACGTTGCACCATAAAGAAAGTGTCTGCATCCTGATACCTAGAATTGTCGATTTTGATGATGAAAACAATTGAATTCTTTCCAACTTTTAGAAACATATTTAGCATTAAAGGCCTTTCTATTTTCTAGTCTCAAATTACTCAAGAAACTTATCAAAAGATTGTAAATGTAGCAAAATCCATAAATATTAGATGTATTTACACTGTGGGTAAGAGTCTGGGTGAGAGTCTCAACACACCCTGTCAATGTTTCTTCATTTTTTGAACTCATCATATACTAATAATTCTAAGAACAGTTATATATAGCACAGTGCCATAGTCTAACTTAGAAGTGGCAGTGTGACAAAACAACTATTACATCTGATGACTCATTTAAGACAATAATTATGATTAGCAAAAGCATCTAAATAGTCCTCTAGAAATACAAAAATTGAAATGAAAAACATCTGGTTTTAGTATGGATAAAAAACGAAAATATTAAGAAGGAATGTGGAAACACACAGGAAGAAAAACACATTCTTCTGCATGAAAAACTAATCTCAAAACAAAAACAGCACTCCAATCAGCTCAATGTAGCTAAAGTCACACCACTGAAAACCTTGAACATTGCACCATAAAGAAAGTACTTCAAAGTGGAACTTGTTACCTTGTTATCAAAAAATATACCATGGGCCTGAAATGCCTTGTGCTCTGCTTCACAACGATTAATCACTTCAGGGGTGCAGTACTTCTTCAAAGTTTCTACATCCCCCTGTACATAGAGAGCATTAATTAGTTGCCAATGAGCGAGAATTTCAATAACTCAAATGGGCAAAAAGGGAAGAGTCATGGAATTAATAAATGAACTTTGTGCTCACTTTCATATAAGCATGAAGGACAGGTCTAGTAGCTTCCTGAACTTCTGACACAAAATCCATCAAAGAAAATGATCTGGTACAAACACATATAAGGGAGGGAAAAATTGGTAAACTTAAGTTGTTGGAATACTGAACATTAGCTTGCGAAACAAAAAATTAAAGCTCATTTGATCGTACGGATCCCGGCGACGTATTTCCTTGATTGACGCTGCAGCATCACTTTCTTGAAAGATGGAATCACCGACACTGTCATCAAAGGAAAATGTTTTATAAAAAACTCTTTAAGGTATCCATCATCTCTAGCATGGACACAACAGGAGAGAAGGAGAGAGGGTCATACTCCTGGATTTTGTGAACAATGGGACTATCACTTGTCTCCCATCTTTCCCGCATGTCCTCTGCAATCTGAGAATTTCAAAGTTACAACAAAGATTTGAGAGGGAGACGATGAACTAACAACTCAAGCACTGAAAATGAGATAAAAGAAGATCAGACCTCTTGACCCTTTGTCACAACAGGTTCGCTGTAGCCAGCAAAACGCTTGAATAAAGGATGACCTTGCATCTGTGTTTAAAAAAACACAAAACATTATCCTCTCAGAGAACAAGCAATATCATATAAAATAAGTAGCATTATTTTGTCCCAAAATTTAATGCATCATTAATAAAATTACTTTTTCTCTGAATGCCTCCCATTTTTTATTCCATTGAGACTGTTGTACGGGTAGAACAACGATGTCAGTTTTCGTACTTATTTCACCATCAAAGGGAGGAGGAGGAGTATATTCCAGGTGCTTTCTCCTACTGGTATTACCATATAACTCATCCTTCACAACGTCATATCCTTTCTTCATTATTTCACTGACCCTTGCTTCTTTCAATTTCTGGAAGGCCGAAGATACATTTGAGGAAGGAATGCGTGATTTAAACTTTCGAAATAAAGTTTCTGCCGAATCACTAGTCCCAGTCTGCTTGTCTGCTTCTTCACCAGGCGAGGCCTTTCTACCTTCTTCAGCACCAGCACCACCTTTAGCTGATGTGCCAGCAGACTCTGATGACTCTTCTTTCCCAATACCAAACGTTTCTTTGACCTAAATCACCCAAGATGTGATAAACAATTACTTCATGGCAATGACTCTAAAACCATGCAGTATCGACAAAAGAATAGGCTGATAATTTAAACAGCAAGCATACCTCCTCTGTAGCGGCTGAAAGTTTTTCTTTAACATTGGCCGAAACCTACAAACAACACACAATTGCTAAAAGTAAATTTTAGTCAACTAACACAGGTGCTATTTTTACAAACTCAATAATGCTGAATTCTCCCATTCAGAGACTTTGAAACCAACCCCAACTTCTGCCTATCTGATCAATAGGTCGGTATAGATTGGCTTGAAACTCTCTGAATGAAAAGAAAGAATTAATCGTGCAGAATAGGAAGAGTATTTTCACCGCACCTTTTTTGCGGTAGCCTCAGCTTCCGTCCAAACGCCGTCCACATGCTTGTACAGCTGCTCAGTTGTCTGCTTTGTTCTGCATTCGCCATTTCATCATCTCAGGCCCTCCCTTGACATACAACGGTATGTCTCAGCCTATTAACTATTAATTAAAGCTAATAAATTACACAAGTTACGAACATACTATTCCAAAGACACACCTACCTAACTTTGAGCTCATCTTTCACCCCTTTCAGTTCTTCTGTTTTTTCCTTCAGTTCCTTAACTGACTGTTTAAATTCTTGATTTCTGCACCCAAAATCAACCACGAGCAGATTAATGTATAAATTTTATAGCTTTATAACCAGCCAAAAAGACAAAAAAAATACCTTTCAGCTTCTCCTTTAACTTTCTTGGAAAACTCATTGAAGACGCTAAATCGACGATAGCCAGAATACGAGTACCCGTAATTTGATAGCACTTGTAATCTCCTGCTTGAATCCTACCACACCAATTCCCAATCCCAAAAAATTACAATCACTACCCCATACAGAAAGAGAGAGACGAAGAAAGGAGAGAGGTTTCCTTGGAAAATAACCTGCTTAGATGTGAACTGAAGAAACAGGGGCTGTCGTGAAAGCACCAGGTCTCGAACAAGTTTCCTGCTCGCCATTTAAAGAAGAAGGAATGAAATGAATAAATAAATGAAAATTTCCTCGAAATAATAAGAGGTTAGATGTTTTTTCTTCTTTTTTTTTGGTTTAACTCATTCCAAAGAAGGAAAGAGGCGGAGGAGGAGGACGAGACGGTTGTCTTTGTTTCGTGAGAAACAAACCAGCAACGGTAGCTGTATTTTTTGCCCTAACGTGTGTTTATAGCTGCTGCCTGTAGAGAAGGAAAGGGTTTGTTTGGGTAATGACACTGATTTGTGAGGAAGTCAGAATGTGAGAATAACGTGAGCTCGTTTGGGTTAACGGATGAGTTTTAACCAAACTGTGCCCTCGGGCCGAACTACTGGGCTGGGTTAAAAGAAAAAACAAAAGTGCTGCTATAGGAGCAGCCCAAAAAAACAGAGAAAATAAGCAATTGAAATGCCTGCAAAATAATATACAACCCCAAAATTATTTATTTAAGATGATGATGATGGTGGCGGCGGTGGAAAAAGTCAAAATCCTTATTTTGCATATCAAATAAATGACATTAATACACTTATGATCAATTTATTTTACTAATACAGCTCATATTGTTTTAAAAAATATATATAAAAGGATTTCAATTTATTAAAAATAATAATTTTATTAGCCAATTTAATTTAAGGCTCATTATTGGTAGTAATAAGATCATTTTTCTAAAGTGCAGCTAGTATTATTAGATTGTGGGATAAGATTAAACAAGATAAGTAAAGAATGATACTGAAAATCTAATTATAAATTAAATAAAAATTATAAATTTGTCTATCTTTTTTTGAGAAAAATATTATTAATTACTCTCAAAGTAAGATAAAATTTATTTTTCACATCCTTTTTTTTTAATTCTCTCTTCTTTTATTTTTCAATTTTTTTTATGTATATCAATTTTTTTATAAAAAATATTATTATTTATTCTTAAAGTAAAATAAAATTATTTTTAAAAATGTAACTAGGACATGTATAAATAGCCCCCAGGTACGATTCTGAGCTGCCCATCATGTGCAAAGCTCAATCTTTTTTGTTTTTGTTTTCTTTTTTTTTTTTCAAAGTATCCTAAAAGATTAGACTAATATTTTACTGTTGGATCGAATGCATAAAATAGTCACAATTAATTAAGAAATTTTTTACATATACAAAAATTTAAATCTAAAACCACCTATTTAAGTTATTAGAGCTTCTTCAGTCAAATCAATTTCTATTTACAGATATTTGTTGCTTAAAATATTTTAGGATTACAAAGGGCAGACAGTCTAAAATTATGATGTTCTTCTCTCCCCTTCATCACACACCAATTTGAAGTTTTGAACTGGTGTGTTTTGATTAATTAAATGATTGAAGCATAATCTAATTGGCAATCATACATCTCCTGTTTTTTTATTTTTTTAAGATAAAATTCTAAATAAAGTTCCAAAAAAGGAGAAATGAGAAACATAAACCTGGAAACACCAGTAGATTGTTCAGAAGACTAACAATAGGATCCAACCAAGAAGCACAAGAGCACCAGAAACACCCAAAAGGATTAGATGATTATCACAAGAAGGAAAAAAAAAAAAAAAAGAACCCTGAAGAACCCTAAAAATCTATAGTATTTTTAACTAATTACAAGCTTGGTTGGCAATAGAGAACTGTTTGGCTTGTCTGGTTGCAGCCTCCTTGGAGACCAATGCCTGTATCACCAGAGTCTTTACTTCCCAAGCAGAATAAGGAAACCCTTTTCTAGCATAAGAGTTGAGCAGGGCTGCACTCGCCTGCTTCAACAACCCAGCAAATGCGCTCTCATCGTCATTCATAGCCGTTGATTCCAGCAAAGTCACATCTGATCCGTATCGTTCAAATACCCCCGATCCAAATACCCGTGATACTGTTGATCTCTGTGGGACCATCCTTGGCCATTCCTCTCTCCTGCTGCTCCAGAACCTGAGTCAGATCCGGGTCCACTCAGTTATTCAATCGACATCCTTTATACATTACAATACAACATCATACGTACGTGTGTACGTACATGTGGTAGGCGTTCCATGTGATGATACTTTGTGACTGAACGAAGGGGAAGAGAGAGAGAGAGAGAGAGAGAGAGAGAGAGGCAGAAGAGTATGGTAGGCGTTCTATGTGATGATACTTTGTGACTGAACGAAGGGGGAAGAGAGAGAGAGAGAGAGGCAGAAGACTTACTGGGGAGTGCATCTTCCTCTGGTTCTCGTATACAGAAACCCAGGTCTTGTGGCTGCTGCTTTTGAAGCTGCAAAGTAGGCAACAAAGATGATGAGAACGAGTCGACTCAGTAGAAAAGACCTACCCATCGTGCTTAACGATGTTACAGATACGCTTAAGCTTCCATTTTTCCTATGATGTCTCTGTTTGGGATCTGAGTTTCTTTAAGCTATATCTCTGGACACAGTTTCAAATTTGAGACCAGCGTCTCTCTGTCCTTTCTAAATGTAGCTGTTTGTATGGACCGGAGTACGTGTTTCGAAAAATATTCTTATAGTATAATCGAGAACCTCTATCTAGAAAAAATGAAAAAAGAAAAAAAGGTAAGCATTTGAATTTAGACGAGATTGTCCTCTACATTTGCTGAAATTAAAAAATTAAATATACCTGAGGGGTGTTTGGTGCGTTGATTTTTAAATATTTTTTCAAAATTTAATTGTTAGAAATCTAATATCTGTATGGTTGAAAATAAAAAATTTTAATAGTGTGTTTTACTCTGCTTGGTTCATTATTGAGATTTTATAGAAACTGCAAACAAATTTATTTTTTTAACCCTTAAAATTTAAAGTATATAGTTTGAAACTAAAATAGTTATCTTTTTTTTTCAATATAAACTCTTGTATCAATTTGTGTTTAAAACTAATGTATTAAAATAGAATCGATAATAATATTTATTTTTATAATGTTATAATTATCGAGTAAAATAATATATCTATCAACAAATTCAATATTGTTTATAATATATTAATTATTTTGATACTAATTTAAAGACACCCAAATATATATATATATATCACTTAAAATATTTGTGTAGTTATCGGTACAAATAAGAGTATATTAGACAAATTAACATAAAAGAAAGGAGCAATTAAGTAGAAAAAAATACTCACAAGTCCAAAATCCTATGGGCATCTCAATTTTTTCTCGTTTTAAAAAGAAATTGAATATTGAGATTTGCAAGCAATTTATTTTCTTGGAACGTATGAGATTTGTTTAAAATTTGAGATATCTTGACTTGTCAAACATAAAAATATTTATATTTGACATCTCAAATAACTTTTCCCAAAAAAAAAAAAAAAAAATTCTCAAACATCACTGCACCAACACCTTTTTAATGAACGCTATCACTGTTTCAAATTTATTATTATTATTATTTCACAATGGAATCATACCCATTCCAACTCCAAACACATAATCTTTTTATTCATCTTTCTGCCTTTTTGTTTATCCAATTTTTTATTTAAAAATATTCCAAAATATTTGTCCACTTTCTCAATAAAGTGTTTTATAAAAATGATTTTAAAATCTCAACCTTAATTATTTGATATGAGAAACTTCTGTATCTTTCAACTTAAATTCAAATTATATGAACTTTTACATTTTTCAAAATATATTGTTTTATACAGATAAAACAAACAATAAATAATTAAATTTAAAATATAAAAAAGGACAAAAAAATCTCCTGTTTTTTAGATAACTGTGGAAATATTAAACGACTGAGGGAGTAAATAATTAAGGATGAATTATTATATTTAGATAACTGTCCAAACTCAAACGCTGTTAGCATCTTCCGTTGCTTTGGTGTTCTGCTACCAAGTGAGATCTTGCATTTATGCAGGCTTACTTGTGGAGACGGTAACCTCTGCTTCAAAAGTAAGCCAAGGAGATAAAGTTGACTGAGAGAGCTTAAAATCTTTGGAAACGCTGCTATCACGTGCTTTCTTCCTACATTGTTCTAAGGAGGTCAATGGGGTTTTACTGTTGTTTTGGGCTTCAAGGGGCAGTTTTGAAATTGAATATCTAACCTCTTTTATGGATCCTTTCGTGAGCCCAATCCTTTCTATGCTGGATCAGGCTGGCCCTTTTGAAATGCTAAATGAAAATTCACTTGAACTCTGTTTTTTTTTTTTCAAATAGGCCCTTTAAAAAGTAAATAATGACCCTAACACTTAAGTATTATTTCAATTAGGCCCCTCCAAAAGGTCCGTTATTCTACTTGTAATTCTATTTGTTCTAGTTAAACCATACGCATCTTTGTATTTATTTCATTTTAAGAAGAGGTCCCAGAGGCATTCTAATTACATGACTTGATTGCTGATCACTCTTAAAAAGGTACAAGAGACCTCGAATTCTCTTTATTTGCACTTTTCTGACTTGGATTTCCACTCTAAGATTAGGAAGATGAGAAAATTGTAAATGTGGCTGCACAAGAATACCCACTTGAAGGAGAAGAAGGAAAGAACAGCAGAAAATAAAAATGGACATTCAACATGATTTTCATTGACCACTAGACCGTGACAATGAAGCTCCCTCAAGTCTTAATAGACTCGAGTTCTTTTGAGTCAGATAAGGTGTTTTCTTCTTTTTGTTAGCCTACCAAAAAACAAATTAATATTCTACATTTTCAACAGCATCTTACATCACATATTATTCTATATTTCTAATGTGTCGCAATGAGGCAAAATTAAAGGGAAGAAAGGTCAAAAGCAAGGTCATGGTGAATCATACTGAAATAAATGCAACCAAATACACAAGGGCAACCATGTTAACAGCCTGTTTTTCTCATATCCATGAATACAATTGGAAATCAAATTCATTCCTCAGAAATTTACATGGGCTGACTTGCAGATGATCTATTCTCATATTGGAAGGGTGGGTCTGTTACCTTAGTTTAATTCCTTGACAAAACACACCACTTTATATGGGAAAATAACGAACCAAATCACCTTTCATCTCTTCCTTCCATCTATCGATCTCATCAGCAACTTTATCAGATGCTAAAACAGGGGATTACTTGTTTCAAATTGATACACAGTTACTGATAAATAGTTTTAAGAAAAAGAAGTCAACGACATGCCCATTTAAACCGAGAGCATGTACAGATGGGTTTTAAGCGATCACCTGATCAGCCAGGTCAACTTTGCTAGGTATCAGCAGCACAACAACGCAATTAAAAGGGAAGCTGCAAAAATTAAAGCATGCATGACATGATTAGCGGCCACGTCCACGTCCACGCCCACGTCCCCTACCCCTACCACGACCCAAAGGCCTCCCTGAATTTTTTAAGAAGAATTAAAATTATTAGCAATCCATGACATGTTGGAAAAGAAATATAATGTAACATTTAAATGTAGTTGAAGCTGAAAAGAAGTTAGCAATACCAGCTGTTGGCTTCTTAGGTTTGACCCTAGGTGCATCCTCAACCAGCAAAGTCTCGAGATTCAAGCTGTCGGGAAGGATGTGATAACGAATGTTGTTGCCCCTCACACTGAGATGATCCAAAGTTACTGGATTTTTCTCTTTAACAGTTAGTTTCACTGTTTTCAGATGAGTATTCATATTGATATCAACACCTACAATCAGCAAATCAAACAGTCAGAATGGTCATTGCTTGACCTGATCCAGACATGTTCCACAGTGAAAAATCAGTGAAAAATTGAAGCAATAAAGCATAGCCAGTCCCATTGGAATATCACCGAATGACACCCCTCTAAAACCTATGCTTTCGACTCACAAGGTTGTTGAAACTGGATCCCATTGTTTAGTTCTTCGAACTATGCTCTCACGGGGTTGTTGAAGAAGTTGACGATTGGAGACGTACTTCTATAATCAACACTAGAGTTAAATGCAATGAGCAGTTGTGCACTCTAATTATAGATTCAGGTAGCTGTGCTAACATCATATCTGAAGAGGCTGTCTAGAAGTTAGGTTTGAAGACGGAAACTCATCCTCAACCATATAAAGTCGCTTGGGTGAATAATAAAAATCTGAAAATTGAGGAAAGATGTTTAGTTACTTATAAACTTGGTGAGTTAGTTGATGAAGTGCAATGTGACGTCCTTCCTAAAAAAGCTCTATTCTATCCTAATTTCATAAACAATAAACCCCAGCTCATCTCAAATCCTTAGTAGAGCAGAGACCTCAAATCTGTCCTACATCACCATAAATGCTAGGGTTTAACAAAACCCTAAGTGGATAAAAGGAACAAAATGCAGGCCATAAAGGGAGAGAGAGGAATAGAAACCTGTGATGGTTCCGTGAACAACAGTTCCGTTCTTAAGTTCAATTGAGACGGTCTCATTATTCAGCTTCATCAAAAACCTAAAGACGAAACCGATTAACAAAACAACACAACAATCAAATTATTAATTAATAACAGAAAAAAGGAAACAAAAGAACAGAGCAAACACTGACCTGACGAGCTTCATTGTCGAGTTGTTCGGGAAGAAGCGAGCGTCTGGGTTTGAAAAAGCGAACGGCTTTGTTTGAACTTTGAAGAAGCAACGGGAGTGATGATTCAAGAGGTAATTGGGTTGTACTGTTGTTTTGGGCTGTCTCTAACCTCTTTTATGGATCCTTTTGTGAGCCCGATCCTTTTTATGCTGGATCAGGGAGGCCTTTTTGAAATTTGAAATGCTAAGGCTGCGTTTGTTTGGTAGAAATTTTTTTATTTTTCGGTGATTGTTTCGCGTTTATAAAAAAAAATCAATGAAAAATGATAAAATATTTTTTAAAAAAACAATTCCGAGTTAAAAAAAAGCTTTAATGTAGTCATTCTAAGCATAAGCAAAATACGTGATAATTAACCAACAAGTTATTGATCATATTGACGTACAAAGTTTGAATTCTAAAATCTTATTTGTTAAAAATGATTAAATCCTACCATTATTGTTTCGAACAGAATTAGTTATATTTTTAATGTGGGATGAAGATACTTGAAAAAAAAATAAAAAAATATGATAATTAGGTTAAGTTTGGCATTATTTTTGCAAATTGATTTTAGTTCATTTTTTACTTTTGACCCAAAAAAATTTATAAACATATTTGGTTAGAAATAATTTTTAATTTAAATCAAAAGTTTGCGACAAAACTGAATCAAAATTTTGCTTTAATCAATTTTTTTTTTAGCTTTTGATTGATAGATTCTAACTCATAATACATTTCTTCTTCACAAAAATTGCTCTGAGTTATTTTTACCAAAGATACATTGAATTTAAAATTATTTTAACTCATATCTATCATAAATTATTTATACAGAATAACTTTTAGATTATAGTTGAAATCAAAAGTCATAATTCAAAAATTATGCCAAAAATCTTAAGTGTTTTGACAAAACCCATCTCATCTATCGAATATATATATATATATATCTATAATAAAGAGAATCCTAAGTATAATAACCAACCTTTTGGAGGCGCCTAGTTGAAATAAATCTTAAATTAAGGGTCATAATTAACTTTTTGAAGGGCCTGTGCAAAATAAATATTAGGTTCGAAATTAACTTTTCTGAAAATTCCCGGTGGGGGGCTTAGATCAAGCCATAGCGTCGCCACCCCTGGACATATGCTGTAAGAGATGACAATTTTAAGATGTATTGGCATCAATTTTTTTTTAAAGAATATCTAAAACGTATGGTATATTTAAAAAAAAATAAAGAGAATCCTAAGTATAATAACCAACCTTTTGGAGGGGCCTAATTGAAATAAATCTTAAATTTAAGGGTCATAATTAACTTTTTATAGGGCCTGTGCAAAATAAATATTAGGTTCGAAATTAACTTTTCTGAAAATTCCCGGTGGGGGGCTCAGAGCAAGCCATAGCGTCGCCGCCCCTGGACATATGCTGTAAGAGATGACAATTTTAACATGTATTGGTATCAATTTTTTTTTTTTAAGAATATTTAAAACCTATGGCATGATTGTTAACTAAGAGTCCGTAAATCGGCAGTATATATATATATTTACCGTAGTTCAGCCACAGACCGAAATTTGCTAAATGCTAAGGTTCTTTCTTCAGAGTAGTAAATAGCTATAGCTATGCCAAAACCTGCCAACATCTATATAATCTGCGGAAAGAGAGCAAAAGACAGAAGGGAAAGCGGAAGATAGCTAGTGAGAAATAAGAGGTCCCAGAGGCACGCTAATTACATGACTTGATTACTGATCACTTGGGAAAAGGTACAAGCAGTAGTAATTTGTTACGAAGTAGATACACTCTCTACTTTTCATAACAAGAGACCTCAAAGTCTCTTTTTATTTCGACCTTAATTTTTTTCTTTTTTTTCCAGAAAAAGATACCGAATGCAGCATTACATTAAAAAGTACCCATCTATACTCATCTAAGCCTCAGCCCTACTTCCAGATCGAGACGACCTGGGGCTACTTAGAATGGTTTCCTGCCTTTGAAACTTGATTCTCTTAGCTTCTTCTACCGAGATTCTGAAGGCATTGGCAAGAACTTGGGCTGGCATGCCTCGGATAGCCGAGGTGCCACCAGCAAGAGTAGACGTCATGGCATTGTCATTGGTCTTGAAGGAAACCCATTCGAATCTTTGTTGCTCAGCCCGTTTCACAACAGCGAAATTTTGTGGCACGGTCAGGACTTGTCCCTCGCGCATCTCGCCGTCGAAGAGAGTTCGACCACTGTGATCCACCACCTGGATGCGTGCTTGGCCCCTGATCGCATATATGATGCTGTGGGCGTTTAGGTTCCAGTGCGGCACCATCATGGCTTCCTGTATCGCGAAAAAAAGAACCAAACATCAACTATTTAATTTCTTTTGAAAATGGCATTGATTGCATGCAAAAATGCTGACAGATTTTGCACACTTACATTGTATAGAACGCCTCTCTCGGCGCTGAGTTGGACGTATTGAAGGATAGGGAGGTTGTGGCTATTGACAGTGCTAATGCGACCTGCTTCTGGGTTGAACACATCAGCTCGTGAGGGATCGCCAATGTTCTCTCTAATCCTCATTGTGCACATGGTCTCCTCCAAGCCATTGCAACGTCCTCGTTCTCCACATCGTCGTTGCTCTTGTTCCTCTTGCCTCAAACTGGGTGGCCTGACAAACTGAAGTCCACCTTTCACGTTCACAATGTTGCCCCTCTTGTCACTATCACTCTGAAGCTTCGTTGCTAGTTGTTCATTAATATTGAAAGTTTCAGCAAGGAACCTTGTGTCCATTCCACAGAAAATGTTGTTGCATTGATCCTGGCCATGCCTGCGAGATGATTCTTCTTCTCGTCCTGTTTGCTGCTCGCCTCCCTGGCGTGGCTGCTGGCCAGCTTGTACTTCCTGGAACTCTTCTTCTGGGTTACCAGCTAGATAGAAATTCTATTACAAAATCATAGAAATGTTAATAACTTTTATGGTTGAAATTTATATATAGAGATGATCAAGTTACCATAAATAAAATGATTTTGAGTCTTACTCTAGGATTCAAGGCATCAAGTTGGTTGGCACTGTTACCCACATCAATGAGAGTAACAGCAATAACATTCTCATTTCCATCATTGTAGCACCAGTGGGCAACTCCAGCGGGCAAAGCAATGACATCACCCTCACGGAAGGGATGAACCTTCTGATGCTGGTCTTGTGACCTGCCGCTGCCTTGACCTTGCGATTCTTGGAATGTTTCAGGACATCCAGGCATCAAGGTCCCGGTCATACCCCTACCTGAATATAATTAAGAATCATACAAAAATTAGCTAATTAATAATACTAAAACATAGAGTACCAAAAAGTATCATGTTTAATGAACTATAGGTAATTAAATTAATCTTGAAGTTACCTTGGACGATGTAGATAAGTTGAGGAGCATTGCTATAGGATGGCAACAAAAGGCCATTGGGTTCAATGGTCCTTCTGAGGATGGCTACACCAGCACATTGGAACTGATCATGGTTGGGATCCCAGGACTCGGTCACACCAGCTTCACTCTTAATGCGGTTATCAGGCTTGAGGGCGTTAAGCCTATCAAGTTGACACTGGCTTTGGCCTTGTTGCGGACATGGGCGATCAGCTCTCCGACCTAGGGAGCCATGGAAGAGAACAAGAAAAAGAGAAAAAGAAAGTAGGAAATTAGTTTTAGCCATGGATGGTATAGATATAGGCTGTTTATTGCTAGTGGATTGAGGTGAAGTGGCGACTGGGAGGTGTTCGTATTTATAGATGAGAAAGGTAACCGAGTGAGTGACACATAAGGGAGATGGCAGGTGAGATTTCTTTAGCCCGTGCCTTAGTTTGCAACTTTGCATGGCTACTTGTCCCTAATGTGTTACACCTCTTAAGGCAAGGTTAGGCAGGTGTCTCTCAGCTTCAGGGAACAATACAAAAAGATCCTTGAGAACACAGAGAAGCATGAGACAAAACGATAATATGTCTGTATTTGAAGGGTATCAAAATTAATTATAATTAGGCCTATAATAACATAATTAAACCTTCATGTATACCATATGCTTGCTCAATCCAGGAATGATAATACTATGAAAGGTCAATTAAAGAAACGATGTAGTGAATATTAAGACCATTGTTCACCCAATTATTTGAAGTTCATTAAGATTTCGGGTTTCTTTCTCTTAGTTTTGAGCTCTGAAACGTAGAGTTTACACGTAAAAAGGACACCACGTCCAACTTACAAATCTAAACTATTGAATTATGAGTTCATTTTATATATAATAACTTCTTTTTTTCATTTTTTTAACGTGGAATAATCATCGCTGTACACCCAATAAGTATCATCATTGCTAAAAATTAATAAGGATAGTGTATGATCATCGTGGATTCCGCTTGAGTAATGCATATATAGGTGGCAAGACTAGGGAATACATTTTGTGCGGTGAGTACAACTGAGTCGTGACAATTGCTCTGTGTGCTGCATAAATTAGTTTGTCTACTTCTGTAATACAGGAAAAGAAAGAGGCAGAGAGGGACTTATTATGAAGATGACAAGAAACTTATGTGTTATTCTAGGCGATGCATGCAGATTCTTGACATGAAGCCAAATTATTTTTCCTTATGGGGTTAATCAGATATGTCATCTTATAGGGTTAATCAGATGTACCCAGATATGTCATCTTACTACAGAAAATTAATGATAAAATTCAAACTTGAAATTTGATGTTAAATGAATCTTTTTCTTGTCATCTTCACCATTATAATTATTTGATTGTTAATAATTGTTCCAATTCAGAATTGCAAACTGATCAAAAAAATTTGCTCTTTATGCTCATATTTTTGGTAGAAAGCAAAGGGAACCCTTTGGTATACCATCAGATTTGTGAAATATTAGCTTGCAACTCAAAATTTGGATATAAATTAATAAAAGAAAGTTGGGCTTGATTGAATTGAAGTAAAGGCTAAAGCTGTTTCTTGAAGATGATAAAGGTTGGTACAGTGGGTTTGGCCTTAGATCTATAGTACACCCTTTTCTTCTTCAGTGTTGCATTGTCAAAGCTTATCAAAATCTTCCCTGGTTCGCTTATGTAAAACGAATTCCTAACACTCTCTCCTACTCTCTTCTCCTTGTCTTTTCGGAGCAGAACCTCGTATGAGCCCTCATCATCTGGGATGAACTGTTGTTTACATGTCACCTCCCATCCAACCACAGTAAAGTCCCATACAATTGTTACGCCAGCCTAAAAACAAAAAATTAAAGCCACCAAATTAAGAAAGTTAAATCGTAGCAGGTGGTTCAACAACAAAAAAACCTTACCCCTCATTAAAAAGTTGTCATATAAGCTAAAATCTTGTGAATCTTTAAGTAACCTTCATCCATAACTAATTAGTACCTCAGTGACTGGAATTTGGATGCAGCTAGCTGAATTTGGTTTGACAATTAGCTCTGAAGCTTTGTCCTCAGGAAAAAACTCAATATCATCATCTCTTTTCAGACCACCATATTCAACTGGAAGGTTTTCAGGTGATATGTACCTTAAAGTATCCAATTAAAGTTGAATCAAGTGGTTGAAGAGACAATTAGCAGGAAAAGAAAATAAGAGCATATGTTATATAAGGGATTAATTAGAAAGTTTCTTACTTTAGAAGGGTTTTTGTGACTTCTGATGGTCTAGCAAGAATAATCTTCTTTTTACTTCTTTGATTCTTGAGCTTGGACGTTAGAAAACGGGATGTGTAATACCAAAACGGAACATTTATCAAAATCTGCAAAATAGTGGAACATCTAATGTTAACTTGAAATTTGCAGTTACTATTGCAATGAATTGATTCACCCTTCTTACATGCTTTTGAATGATCTCAGGATAATTGTCTTGAAGCAATGTGGAGGCCTTTTTGTGGACTGAACGGAACTCCTTCATTTCTGGCCCTGGTGAGTGCTTGAGATCTGTAATCTGAAGAATAGAATCTGCCCCTCCAGCTTTGAAACTAAGTTGCTTGATGCTCTTCTCCATGAATTGGATTCTTAACCTCAAAAACTTTTCACGATTCTCTTCTGTTCCTAATACTTTCCAGCACAATTCCTTGTTCTTGAAAGCCCCATATACAGTATAATACAAAGGCTGACCTTGTTTGCCTACACTATTTATGTACACAAAATTTTCAAGACCGAGATGGAAATCCTCGTCGAGAATAGTATCCATCTTGTATTCCCTCCGCCATTTCAGATTGTTTCGAAGCATCTCGAATGCCTCGTAAACCTTAAAGTCCTTCGCTGTCAGGAATTTTAACAGCACAACATCGGTGCTCGCATGGCCTTTACTTGGCAATAAAGGCACACCCCAAAGGCTAATCTCCCTCTGCTGTTTTCTCTCGCTTTCTGTATCTTTCCTTGAAAAACTTCTCTTGGGTTTTTCTAGAAGGAAATTATCAATAATTGCATTTTCCACCATGCTCCGGAATTTGTTCAAGGCATGCTGCTTTCTCAGCTCCAACCCAATAGAAGCAGCTGTTTCTTCATCTTCTTGAATAGCTGATCGATTCAGATTTTGTAGATGGATCTGTTGGTTTTTGATGGTGGCTGTTTTCTCATTACCCTCCTGTTGCACTTTTTTAACCATCCTATTGTCGTTGTCTTTGTGTCTCTTCTCAATTTTCCCCTCCATTAATTGTTGTTGATCGGAAGATCTCCCTGAAGGTTCAATCATCTGGAAAAATGAACAATACTATTACCTACAGGGAGCTGAATCCCAAGGCCTACGGGCGCTGGGATTCAATCGTCGGAGGAAGAAAGAGAGAGAGAGAGATTGAGTAAGAGGGTGGAAAAAGGAAATGTGAGATGCTTTCCACCTTCTGAGGAACATAGGTAATATTTTTAGGAAATCTTTGACATAAAAAGCTAGGATGTTTGCTGAAGTCCAACCATTTAGGCCTGGCGCCAAAATTAGGTTGAATGCAATAGCTGACAGTAACATTTGCTTGGCATTATTATTATTGTTTTAATTAGAATTATCAACTAATCATATATAGGGATCCAAGCGAGCACATAATCGATCTATTAATTAAATTTTTTATTCTACTCATAAAAAAATACCTTATTTATTAAAAAAATACTATATAAATCTTTACTCAATTTATGTTTATCTCATATTAGTTTATCCATCCATTTAACATTCATTAAAAATAATTTATAGAAAAATATTTATTTTAATCTTGAAATCATATTAATAAATAAATATTTTTTTAATCCTTATCCGTTTTAATATTTATTAGATATTTTTAATAAATATTTATTAGATCACAGCACTTTACCCGCAGGATATTGGAAAATTCGTGGACAATCATGGACAACCTTTTGCGTCGAATCTTTTTAGCTACAACTATAAAGAAATCTGACAACAAAATATGGTAGTAGACCATCTATTTAATGAGAAAGAAAATAGTTTTTTCCCCATCACTGAAGCGAATAAGTCACAGGCAACCAACGCTAAACGTGTCATCACAGGAAGCAAACGAGTCACAGCCATCGCTATATATTATATATTCAGAAAATGAAAATTCCCTCAGGATCCCAAAGAAAGCTTCGATGCCCCCTAAAAAAAACAGGGAGGGTTTTGGGTAAATGTCGTCTTGTGATAAGACAAATTTGAATGAGTGACGTTTAAATAATTTTTTTTTTTTTTTTTTTTGCATAAAAAAAGGGTCATTTTCAGGACTAGGTCTTCATTGAAGCCCGAATAGAACCGTTTTGGAATAGAAGAGCCTCCTTCCATATTGCGTTATCATCAAATAAATGCTTTCTTGAGAAATAAATTATCACTCATTAGTTATAAAAGAAACGATTACATCTAGCAACCATAAAAAATTGGTTTTCACAAATCTTCTCGTTTCAGTTTCGTACTTGAAGATATGATGCACGTGTAAATGGCATGGTGATAGAAATGCATGTTTCAATCCTTCAAGATTTCTCGGGCCCTTGATTCATTAATCAACAGATTTCATATCTAACTCTTAACGTCATCAAATACATCTCTTGGGTTTTAGATAAGATAAAAGGAGGTGAGATATTAGCACAGCGATCACACTGCCTACAAAGAAATAGAACTAGCTACACAGGTAGTTATGTCATATCTACAAGGTTCACGTTCAGAGATTTAGGCAACCAGGGTTTTTATAAACAAGATGTTAATCTGTGATTGGATTCTCAAGATGGTCGATATACTGACAGGTCAAACGTCAGAGTTCTTGAGCAACTGCAGGAAAACAAACAAACAAACAGTTGAATCACAGATCAAACTTGTTGAGATGCAGAACCATAACCAGGTAAGGTTGCGAGAATAATAATGATGATGAGATATTGAGATAAAGCTCACCTCCTCTCAGAGTCCCTGTAAACCCCAACCAATGCTTCGGCCTTGTCATAAAAGCTATCCTTCAGAGAGATCACAATACTCTGAAAACCACTGCCATCATCAGCATCCACAATACCCCTGGTTCCTTCACATGATTTTGCTCGAATGAATCCAGCAACCTTGGCAACATTTAAATTATCCAATGCAGCATCGACTTCATCCAATATAAAAAATGGTGAAGGCTTGTAGCTGAAACCACTCACAGGGAAAAGGAAAATATCAGATTATGAGACAATGCAGATCATATGATCCTCGAGTAAACTTTGCTGCTTTATTTCAGAAATTTGATGCATGAATAAATCTCAATCCACAGAAGCACCTATAAACTAAAAGTTACATTAAAAAATAAATAAGACCCCAAATGGAGAATTAAAAGAGAAGAAATCAAGGACCTCTTCAAGATAAGGGGTAAATTGTATTAGTTCAAGGGAATGATGCATTTTATATTCCAGTGTATAAAATAAAGCATTCAACGATCTTTCAGCGTACCATTGCACCACCTTTTTATGCTCAAAGTCTATTAGAAACTAAAATCCAAGCCTAGACATTAAATAATTGATAGCCTACTTTTACATTATGGGCCAAGAACTTGCAGTTTTACCCCAGTAACAAGAGAACGAATGCAAAGGTATTAGAAATCATGCAATGTCTAACTGTTACAATAACGAAACAGTTTGCTGATCTCTAAGAACATACCTGTGGATGGAGAACAGTAATGCCAGTGCTGCAACAGTCTTCTCCCCACCAGAGAGCTGTTCCATATCTCGAAAACGCTTTTGTGGGGGCATAGCAGTGTATTTGATACCATTTAGAAAAGGATCATCCTCATTTTCTAAGCTCAAATATGCCATCCCGCCCAACGGATGACTGTTGCTCTTTGTCAGTTGTTTGTAAATCTTATCAATACTATTTGATATGTGATTGAAAGCTCCCATAAACAACTCATACCTGTGCAAACAGAAATGAAGTACGCATACAGAGTTACTTTGAGTTAATTTGGCCCTTCAAAGTAGCAAAGAAAAATATCAAGAAGCAGATGGCACAGCAAGCAGAACAAGATTGATGATTAATCAACTCAAAACTATTTAACTGTGTCCGCATCAATAAATGCACAAAAGTGGACAGGCATGTTAAATTGCTTTCACATTTTCCACAAATACTAGAACTTGTGCCACCGCGTTATGTTTTAATAGATTGTAGTAGATAGATTCAGCAAGTGAAGGAACCGGGTACAAAGAGTAGATGGCTTGACTAGGTCGACAAGCTGAAGTAAACCTCTGCTACCAAGAAACAAAAAACAAAAGAAACTGAAAGATACATAAACAGCCAACTATATATTATCAGTAACTCCAAGAATTACACTCCCATTTAAAAAATCAAGCCATGCCTGTGAAATTCTCTCTTATTTACTTGTAGGAGACATGGAAATAGTACTTCATAATAGGGATGAGCATGCATTCCGTAAATGACTGCGGATAATTCATCAGCAATCATATGTTTTTGCATGAGTATAGATGCTAGATACGTGTTTATGCATGTTGTCACTGTATGCAAGTTTATGCAGCATCACCTTTTTCTTTTCAACAACATCTTCTATTGATAAACAAACAAAAGATGTAGGATGCACCACAAGCAAATTGCCCATATATTTGAATATTCTAGTTTCCTTTTCTTCTTTTTATTTTTTTCCCCCAAAGGACTATCCTTAAGTTTCTTCTGATTAAGGAGTTTGCTAAGCAAATGACCATATTGTTCAAGTTCCACGTCCAGGCAGTGCAGGTGTTTTCCAAGAAATTCCATATCACCAATTTTTACAGCAAGAGATTCTTTATGTAAGCAGTCAAGCATGCTCTTTCAGATGACAATGACATGCAATTATTAGGAAACAAATATCAAAGATACAGTTGCCAACTTCATATTAAAGAACTATGAAGCATTTTGTTGCAGTTCTTGTATAACGATAGTAATTATTTTCCCAGATTGTGTTTACTAACCACGTTTTATTACTTAAAACATAAGTCAGATAAGTATTTGTCCTTAATCCTCACCATTATTTACTATATGGCTTGCCAAAAAACACTATGTAATTATTACCTTCTCTGCTTAACGCCATTGTAAGCATCAGCTATTTGCTTCTCCTCCTTTCTGGCTGCTTCAAACTCTTCAGTGACTACCTTTTCTCTCTCTCGCAGAGCCTCATATTGATCCAGTGCTTTCAAGTTTGGAGCGGTTTTTTCAATTTCTGATATCAAGGCATCCATCTTTTGCTTAAAATCTGCCTCAAGCTTCTCTCTGACAGAAGGTCTCCTATCCTGAAGAGATCTATTTAGCTGACTAAAATCATAATCTGGTCCAGGAATTGGTGAGTCAGTGTCCATTGGGTCTGAAACAGTGGGAAGGTTTATATTTTCTAATTCACACTTCTCCACTATATCCTGCTTCCTGGACGATAATTGTGCAATCTGTGTCTCCTGTAAAACCATCAGAAAATATGTCAGCACCAATTTGAAGGCTAGGTCAGTAAATCTTCTTCCTTGCTGTTCCAAGAGGATCTTGCGGCAAGGAATTTTTCAGTAAAAAATTCTCTATGACCTTTGAGTTTATAAGGCGGGTAAGCCTAGATAAGTTGCTTGTAACTGCAGAACCCTTCTTCGTCCATTCACGTATCTCATTTGCGCACTCTTCTGACTTGGATTTCCACTCTATAAGATTAGCAAGATGAGAAAATTGTAAATGCGGCTGCACAAGAATATCCACTTGAGGGAGGAGAAGGAAAGAACAACAGAAATAAAAAAGGACATTCAAATTGGATGGACATTCAAAGATCCAGGAGTTGATTATACATGATTTTAATTGACCACAATGTTCAATCGGGTGGACATGCAAATTTCACTCCAATTGAATGACTAAATGAACTTGCCTTAACAGTACACAGATAAGTTGAGTTCTTTTGAGTCAGATAAGTTGGAAAGTATTTTTCTTCTTTTTGTCTGCCTACCAAATAAAAAAAAACTTAATATTCTACATTTTCAACAGCATCGTACTTTACATATTATTCTATATTTCTAATGAGCGTCACAGTGAGGCAAGATTAAAGGGAAGAAAGGTCAAAAGCAAGGTCATGGTCAATCATGCTGAAATGAATGCAATCAAACACACAATGGCAACCGTGTTAACAGCCTGTTTTTCTCATATTCAGGAATACAATTGGAAATCAAATTCATTCCTCAGAAATTTGCATGGGCTAGACTGGCAGATGATCCATTCTCATAAATGTGCAACTTATAGAAGAACAAATTTGGAAGCATGGTCCTGTTACTTATAGTTTAATTACGTGACAAAACACTCCACTTTATATGGGAAAATAACAAACCAAATTACCTTTCATTTCTTCCTTCCATCTATCGATCTCATCAGTAGCTTTATCAGATGCTAACTTCAATTGGGCCTCTTTTTTCTGAACTTGTTTCAATTCATTTTCTAAAGCACTGAGAGAAGATTCTAGTTTTCTAATTCGTGATTCCATGTCCCGTTTTTGCTCATACTCCAACCTGGAGGGAGAAAAAAAAAGGTTTGCATATGACTGTTCTTATGAAGACAAATGATCAAATATAGTTAATGAACCATGGAAAGACTCCCTTCGAATTCAATTTAAACTAAACAAAGATAAAATGACTAAGCAAGCTTTCAGCATTCCATAACCACATCACTGCATCAGCTCTTAGCACAATACAACAAAAGTTCAAAGGCAAATCCTTATATTTGCATGTATATTCAATCATATCAACTAGGAAAAAGGCAGACACACCCATAAAAAAGAACCCAAAACAGACAAACATCAAATAACATTTTGATTACTAAATTTTGTGATTGTGTCATAATGTCCTAGACCAACAAAAAATAATAAAATATTTTATTTTTCCTGTTTGCTTTGCAGTCTTTAATATTTATGGAAGTCCTGAAATAGTTTGGTTTTTGATTTACAAAGTGTACAATTAACTGTTTAAGTTTACAAATTAGAACAAAAGTTTAATTTTGTTTATGTTAATTTTGCCAATTTTATCAATACCTAATCATGATCAAGTTTTTTTAAAAAAATAATAAATAAAGAATTAGGCTCATATATTTTGGAAATCTTATTCATTCAATCAATTTTGTCTCAAGACCATCGGGGTTTATTTACAATAGATAAATTTCATTTCAAATCTGAATATGATTTGGTCCTTTCATGTTTGAAATAATTTTTATTCAATTGGACTTAAAAAGGTTTTTGCCTAAACTCAAGACGGAAGTTAAAACATCTGCATATATAAAAAAAATCATATATTGTTCAAGGATGATGATAATAATAATAAAAAAAAAATCAGAATAATTTTAGAAAAAATCGAATATTTTGGACTATCTTGTATTATTGACCTTATTTTTAGGATTCTTTTGCATTTGTTGTAAATGAAATAGAACAATTTTATATAAATTGTTCATTTTCAGATTATTACTATCAGAGCTTAGAGCTAAAGTTGTAGGATAGGGACAAAATAAGCAAAAAGATTCTAATCTAATGGCGCAAATTTACCGTGTTACCAGTTTGTGTGACTCAACCGTGTCAAAGCACCATACCCCTAACAACTAAACTTTCGGAAAGGCACGTGATGAATTGGTTAGAAGACATGACCTTAAACTAAGGGCAGTAACTTCCTGCTCCACAATTTAAACCTAGGGAAACAAAAACTTGAATTATGAGAACAGTTAAACACTTCTCTCCTCCATCCCCCCCCCCCCTTTTTTCATTTTTTGTGGATGAATAACTAAGGTTTATTAAGGATGAAGAACAGAAAAGAAAATAGAAGAAAAGGATCTTCCTGACTGCAAAGTTAAACCAAAGTACCACCAGTCTCTCTATCTCCCTCTATTCCCTTTTTTGACTCTCTTGACTGCCCAATTTCCTCCAAACACAGAAGTTTAACATTTTTATCACTCAAGACAACAAATACACACAGCAAAAGTTAGAAGTGCTTATGCTAATAAACATAGTTACTGACAGACGACTGATGAAGTATTCAAAAACTCCAGTAAAATGAGATTAACAGGACTAGATTCAGAAAACTCAGTGAAGCAAAATTAACAGACCAATTAGTTTTTGATGATGATGGTAACTTTTAAAAACATTGGAAGGAGATTAATGTATGTTTCTTACCTGTCTTTGCAACTATTAATGATTAATGTATGTTTCTTACCTGTCTTTGCAACTATTAATGACATTGGTTTTAACACTTGAAAGTAACAATGTTTAACATGTCATTTAACTGGAAGAGAAGTCCCTGAGAGAACATATTTAAATCCAATACATCTAAGTCAACATATTTGCTAATAACAAAAAACCTTTGAAAGATTGGGACAGCCTTTGATGCCACCAATCTCGTAATCCTATCGTTCTAAAGTCAAAAACAAGAATCTCCCATTCGCATGCATTTCTGTTGGCGATAACAAAATCCAAATACCAGACTATACCCTTTTACTAGGGGAAAATATGATAGATCCTGGTTGTTGCTTCCAACACTTAGCAAAAGGTTTAACTAGACCATATTATCAAGATATTTGTCAAGGTGGCAACACAATGCCACAGAGAAATCCTAGGCCTTATAGCCTGGATGAAGTCCTAGGCCTGCTGTTTTCTTAAAACAATTAAAGAGACCTGACACTGCCCAACTATCAGCATCAACGTGATCACATGGTGAACTTGCAATTTATATGGATGAATCACCTCAACAAAAAATAGATGGCACTAACAGCTATGGTTGGAGTATAAAGACCGATCAGAACTCCTACACAATAAACCAGACTAGATTAGAGGTGCTGAAACTGTAGGTTTACAGGCAATTCAAGTTCTTTATTTTCTACGAGAGACTGAAAATCATTTGCAATTGCCAGGGAAAAGGGTGTTAGTCATATTTTCTATAAAAACCACAGCCAACAATTCATACATGCACAAAAGGAAAGCATTCTACAAGACACAAATATTGATAAAATATGGTGGCAGGAGAAAAGAGAACATACTGGTACTTCAGCTTTGCTAGATGGTTACTTAAGCTTAACGTTTCTTCGGCCATGTTTTGCGCAGCCTTGAGATGGTTTTCTTCATATTCACGAATATTTGCCACCCCAACATCCTTACTAAATTGTTCATATATATTGTCAACAATCTGATTGATTTTCTTCTCCAGCTTCCTAATTTCAGTGGCCCTCTTTTTTACAGTTTCTTTTAACTGGAAGCAGTATCAAAGAAGTAACATAGTTAACTGTCTTAATATGTCTAGGTGAAGACTAGACAAAGGCATGGTTATAATTGAAAATTCACCTTAAGAAGTTCAGGGTTTATACGGTCAATTTCTTCTTTAATAATCCGCTTCTCCTTTTTCAAGTTTGCAAGTTTGTCGTCGATACTTTTCTGCAACAAAATCAGCAGAAGAACAGAGTCAACTCAGTGGAAGCACAGAAGGGGGTACAAAGGGAAAATATGTGTTAAGTAGGAACCAATCAAGTATTCCCAAAACCATTTAAAAATGACTAAAAGTTTCATCTGTACAAAAGGAGAATGGAGTTAAACAATCTTAATCAAGAAAATTACCTTCTCAATTTCTGCATACTGAATCTTCTTTTCAAGCCCACTAATTTTTCCTGATGCTTCAGACTCCCTTAAATGCATCTCCCTGATTGACCCAAGCTCCTCCAACTCAGACTCCAGTTGTTCTTTCTTCTTTTTCAGGCCTAGAGAATACCAACATTAGCCTTGTACCAAATAGACAAAAGGAGAAAGAGCTATTCAGAGCAGAACTCTTATTCAAATCAGATGTGTTTTGACCTTCGATCTTTTTATCATCCCACTGTTTTGACTTTGCTTCCATTCCACCACTGGTACCACCAGTCATTGTACCAGACTTTGTGAGCAGGATCCCATCTACCGTTACAACTGATGCAAGCACGAATAACTTGAGATTTCAAATTATATAGAAAACAAGGGGAATTAAAGATACTAATCATTTGTAACTAAAACTGGAATTGACTAATTACCTCTAAACCGCTCCCCAGTCCAGCTAAGAACCTTCGCTTCATCAAGGTCATCACACACTAGAGTATTTCCAACAGCAAAAAGAATTGCCTTCTCCAGGACAGGGTCAAACGTGCAATTGTTAAGTCAAAATCATGGAATTTGACTTGATTTTTTTTTCTTTTTAATTCCTTTGACTGTAATTAATAGCGCTCTTGAATATCTATTTACCAGAACATTTATTTTTTCTTAATTAAAAACCAAAAGGATGAGAGCAACACAAAAACAAAGAGAAGAGGAATCTAGAGTACAGATATAGCACAAAATAAGAGAGCAGATCTAATCATGTCTTGCCACAATGCCCCAGACTTAGTTAGAAAATTGAAAACAGATATGTCAGATGAAAGGAAGAATGGCTGCTACAAAGTCAGTGCAACAACTATTTGAAAATATTTTAGCAGAAACTGATTTGATTTAAAACACGCTCCTAAATTAGACTATTCATAACCTCATTAGCATCCAGCAGAGGAACTGCAGAACACGTAATGGAGATGGATCGAGATTCATGACCCATACCATAAAATTTATGATTACAAAAGTTCCTTGAGGTTCCATAATTTTTTAGACAAATCAAAATTGTTCCCAAAACCTCAAATTCACCAATGGAATAACAGTCACCAGAGTACATACCCCAGCTAAGAAAAGATGTTTTAGGAAAATAGAATGTTTCTGAAAGAAAGTATCATAAATCTTAGCTTCGTAGACCTAAAAGCATCAATTCAACAAAAAGCCCTAGCCTTCAACAATCATTAGTGTTCACAAGAGATCGATTCATCTGTTCAGCTTAAAGAAACATCACTCGTTCTTTATTGTCAGCAAACCCTTTTTCCTTGGGCATATGCTAGCCCCACAGTATGTCAACTAACTCACTATCCTCAATGTTGTTTGACAGTAAAACCTAAAGTGTAAACAGAAACAGCCAGGCATTATCATCAGACATCAAACAGACGGGCAAATCAAATAAGAAAAATATGCAACGGCAGATTCATAAAATTATCAAATTGGTAAAAACCACCAGAGATTCACGTAGCCCAAACAACATTCATTTCTTAAGCTTGAAAAAAAAAAAAAATACAAACACAATAACCTCACTTTCATTAAGTTCTACAGAAAAAAATATGTCTACACTAGGGAACTAAGTTACTAACATATAATCCATGAGTAACTGATTAGGCAATATCAAATGCCATATTGTTCATTCCCCAGGAAAAAAAAAACCTTCTTGTTAAACTTGTATGTTGCAATCAAACAAATAAAAACACAGAATCAATAAGAAAGAAACAAATGCATTGCACATAGAAAAAAATTTAGTAATCCAATAATAAAAATTCAATAAAAAATTGACGTCAGAAGCATGAAAAGTATCATGATCATGATTTGAGCTCGACGCCAAACTTTTCAAAGGATATTGGATCACATCAAAGACCAACTTTGCAGTACCACCTAAGGTACGCAACCGTTCAAATACTGGCTTTACACGAACTGATTGAAGGGGTATAAATGTCTGAGGAGGAAGCCTTTGGTCTTTCAAATACTGCAAAAACCAAAGTGAATGAATAGTTGTATGACATTCAGACAAACAGCAGTTCTTAACAAACTTCCATCAAAACTATGTCTAGAAATCAAGGGACCAATAACAGAACTCCATTGACAGAGTAGATGAAATAATGCAAGTACAAACGGTGCTGATATTAATACACAGAATAACAAAACATGCTAGTGTAAAGATAGCAACTTAACAGATGAAACGAGTATACCTTGATGCACTCTTTACCGGTGTTTTCATCCTCAACCACAACTGCATCCATGAACTTACCCATAGCAACAGTAACAGCTAGGTTGTACTTCTTCTGGGTTGGTCTACAGAGATCAATCATCCGGCCATGAACTCCTTGAAATAGACGTTTGAGAGTCTCAACCGCTTGAAACAGCTTAGCATCCCTCTCATTCTCATGTCTATCTGCTCTCAATTCACGTAGCTGGTTTTCTACTTCACCAATTTTAGACTTCAAGTTCTCATATTTATGCCTGACAACAGAAATGACCTCTGGTTAACAAATATTACTTTCTTTGGAGTAATGGAACTATTTTGCAACTGATCAAACGAAAAGAGAACTAGATGCCAAAGAACACAGTTCTCTAAGCCAAGGAACTACAAAGAAAACCAGCAAGGGAACAAGTTAAGTAACCTGGAATCCCGATGTTTATCTTGCATCTCACGCAATTCCTTTTTCAGATCAGTCAGCTCATGTTTATGCTTTGTAGAAGCATCAAGAATCTTTTGCATTCTTTCATGCATTTGTTTGTCCTGTGCTTCCAGTTCCTGTGCCCGATTTTTCAACTGTTGGAGGTTTTCTTCCAAATTCTTTTGAGCTTCCATATCGGCATGTTGCTGCCTATCCAGAACCTCCTTTTCATCCCTTAGCTTGATGGTTTTCATGCCAGCATCCTCCTTACTGCACCACCATAATTCCAACAATGACGAAGGCAGAGGAATACCATAATGCAATAACAAGATCAATGGACAAGAAATAAAACCTTGTATTTTTATCAAAAGAATCTTATCATAGAAAAGACGTTATATATCAGCTTTGCAACAGGGGAGATTAATCACCCCTCTGATATGACACAACCTGAAGGAAACAAAATGAAAACAATCAAAGGAGGACTCCAAAAACCCATTAAATGTTGGATAGAGAGACCCTGCAAAACCCACAGAAGCCGAGCACCACAGAGGTGCTTGGAATACAATTCCAATCATAATGGCTGCATGGAAAGAGAGCAATCCATAAAATTTTCCCAATTCCTCTTCATCCATAAGCACCAGGGTACCAACAGAAGAGCAAGTGTCCATAATGACTTCTTGTCTGTTTTCTCTCCCAAAGCAAACCAAGTGAGAAAAAACCCAATTACTTAATCGATTCTCCAGTTGATATATAATTTTAATGATCCAAACAATTACAGCCATCATGAAGAAATTTTATTATACTGAAACTGCCTATAATAGCCATCAGTAAAGCTATGGGAGTAGGCCAAGCTTTGGTGGGGGACTCAAATCATGATTGATTTCTCTGCATGTAAAAGAAGATGATGCATAAACTGCAAAATGGAATTGATTATAAGCCCCTTCTTTTACATTGATAAGCAAAAGAAAATGCTTGAGTCCTTTCAAAACCCACCATTCAATCATTTAATGGAAAAACAATGCCCAAATTTTCACACATGTCCCCCCAAACCATGACTGCTACAAATTACCTCAATTCTTGGCTTCTGCATTTTCACTCAGCCTGTAATTACTTATGGACTTGACAAGATAACGCATGAAAAATAAGAAAGTTGATAGGTGAGATATCTAGAACCCAAGAATAAAACATGTGCCACCTTCCAAATAACCGCTGTGGATGGCAGTTCCATAGAACAGTAATGAGATATAGACTGACAAATCACAAGCTTCCATCTCATGTTACTAACAAATTAGTAAATAAATAACTTCAAGTTATAGGGACCATTGTTTATTTACTTGCACTTAATTTATTATCCTCTCCCTCGGAAATGGTACACGAAGGTCAATGTCTACATTTATATTCAAATGATTTCTGACTTATATGATATCATTCGGTCCTTACAATCATCTAAGCTTTCCATGGCCAAGAGATTCCATCAGAGTATAAAATTGCCCCCGCGTCAAGGAATATGTTGCACAGCATGACTCTTTGTTTTATGTAGAAGATGGAGAAGAGGGGCATAGACTACGTTTATGGAACAATATGTACTTCCCAGTCAATTGCTAGAAATATCAAAGTTAATGATAAAACAGACACATTATAAATTCCACACGATAAGAATGGCCGACCAGTCTGTCCAAAACCTTCTAACTTGTACAAAAAGGAATTTGTACTCAGGACCCAAAAGGAGTATATTCCAGCAAAAATGAAAGTAGAGATAAAAGGGTTAAATAATTGATTTAAACTAGAGGAAACTTACATCCGAAAGTATTCTTGTAGTTGACTGTCAGCCAGGGGAAGTTTTCCACCAACATCTCGACTTTTTTCACGTAGATCATCCAATTGGGAAGTCAGATCTTGAATGCCAGTCTCCAGCTTTTCTATCTCATCAGCATGCTTCCTCCTTTCTACCATTTTCCTCTCAAACTCCTTACGGCTACTCTTAATTTTTGAATTTATGCGCGACATTTCCTCGTTTAATTTAAGAAGTTCTGGTTGCTATGAACAGGAAAAAACATGGGAACAAATAAACCAGAAAATACTCTTAGTCAGCCTAAAGTAATCGATGAACCAATAGACAAAAAAAAAAAAAGGGTTATTCATGACACATAAAAATCCAAAAATATTCACATATCCATATGATATGGATTGCAACCTTGAACCACAAACATGAAACATGCATGCATGTGCATGTACTGCTGACTTTATGCCCCGGCAATTAGGAACTTTCTTTGCACAGGTGTTTAAACCTGTAAAGTCCTTAACATTATAAAACATTTTAAATAATAATCGTTATCAGTAAAACAACTGCCTGCAAAAACTCACATGCTTGTCAAGTTTTAAACTTCTCTCTTTGATCTTCCTTTCACATTGTGTAATCTCTTTCTGGTATTTTTCTTGTTCCTTCTTCTTCTTGTCTGCTTCATGTCCAAACTTCTCAAGTTCTTGCATGAGATCTTCCTGATTCCTCCTTTCAGCTTCAAGTTCAGCATTCATCTTATCGATGTCATTGTGTATAGTATACAATTGCCATAGGAAGTGTTCTTTCTTCAAAGATTTCTATAGAGAAAAGGAGAATGTTGGAGAGCAATTAATTCCATGAAAGGCCAAAATGCTATTCACATAATGTATGGTAATCAGAAAAATACACTTATGATCGAAGCACAGGGAGGTAAATCATGCTAAGAACTTGTGCAGAAATCTTATGCTTCGTACCAATTGATCTTGCAAGCGTAGATGCTTTTCTGCTTCTTCCTTCTGCTCTTTCTTTTGCTTCCTCTCCATAACTACTGTTCTCTTTTTCTGATAAACAAGAGCTGATTTTTCTTCAGCCCTAGCTTTCTTTTCTTCAAGATCTTCGTATTCTCTCTTGAGATCTTCAGATCCAGATATCTGCTCAAAAAGTGCAGTCAACTCTTTTGGGTTTTTAGATGCAATGGACTCCACGTCACCCTACAAACAAAGGTGCACATTTGTCAGATGTACCAATTTCAGAAAATTCAATCGACCTAGCCACCATGCTAATATAGTATGCCATGATAATTTCAATTCACTCCCACAATCAAGTAAAATATTATCAAGTTCAAGATTCAGATTCCCTCTGGCTGAGACAGATGCGACTCTCCTATTCAATGAAAAAGAGATTAATGCCCCCGATATTATTCAGCATTTGCAACACAACTGAACATTGGTTGAGAGACACTGTCACCAGAACATTTTACAAAAATAAATAAAATTTGCAAACCTGCGAAGTATCCGAAAACACAATCACAATACACAGACACACACACAAAATGCATATGTCAAAAGAACCAATGAGACACTATAACAGTTACAAAAACGATACAATTATAATTTAATGAATCGAAAAAAAAATAGGAAAAACAAAATCACCTGAAACACCAAAAAATTCCTGGCCTTAACAAGAATGCCTAGCTCTTTTAACCTGGCATTATATTCATCCCAATTAACAACCTTGCCATCAATACGGTACTCACTGCCACCAGAGCTGGTAATAGCCCGGATAAATTGGAGCTCCGACCCATCAGGCAACAGGTAGACCAAGCGCACGAAGGCTCTCCGGCCTTTTTGCTCCTTTTCGCGGTCGTCGTATGCATAAATAAGGTCTTTCAGTTGGGCACCACGGAGGTGGCCAGTACGGACACCGAGAACAAAACTGATAGCGTCCATTAAGTTAGATTTTCCAGCTCCGTTTGGGCCGATTATGGCGGTGAAGTCCTTGAATGGACCGATTGTTTGGAGACCTTTGTAGGATTTGAAGTTCTCCATCTCCAATTTCAGAATTTTTCCCGGAGAAGCCATAGAAGGCATTTTGACTGACCTAGGGTTTATCGTCAGTGGAGAGAGGGGAATTAGGGTTTTTTTAGTGGAAATTGGGGGAAGTGAAGTGGAAGTGCGCAGTGTTGGCGTTTTGGGGAGTGCCGGAAAGGGGATTTTCCGGGAAAGTGAAGAAGTTTTCTAGAGAAGGTGCAAAGGGGAAGGAAAGTGGTAAGATTTTTGGGGATGGAGGGAATTGGCGGGAGGAGAATTTGGAGGAAATTTTAAGGCGGAGAGTAGTGGGTTTTCATGTTGAGAGTGTGCACGAAACGATATGAAGATTCTTTTGGGCCTTTTCCTTTCTTTTCTTTTGGGTCAATGATCCGTGCGATATTGCACCATAAACAATTCATTAATCAGATCAATTTATCAATTTAAATGTTAGTTGAGTTTTAAAATTAATTTGTTTAACGTGAGTTCTCTGTTATTGATAGTAATAAATTATATAATCAAATGAGAAATTTTTTTTTTACCTCCTTAACCCGTCAAATATTTTTTTCTTTCCATTTTCTATTACAGAAAATATTAATTGAAAAAATCTAAAAAAATTAAATACTCGTCAATTTTTTTTGTTACTGAAATTATTTATTAAAAGCATTTCTTAAATTTATAAATTTTTTTTAAAAAAAATAAAGATTCATCTCATTTTTTTAATAAAAATGATAAGAAAAAAATAAATAACATGATCAATAAAGTCAAAAAATACAGATAGTTTGATTATGCATGCTTAACGGCTTTGCTTATGAAGTGTCCATGTTAAATAAATTAATTACCCTTAAATTGGAAAAAAAAAAAAAAAACCTTATTAATGAATTACTTGCAATACATGGACTGTAGGAATTAGTAACCCTTTTTTTTTTTTTGGGCTCTTATTTTGTGTAAATTTACATTTATTTCCTTGGGATTATTTGGTTCAGTCAGATGTGTGTTGTGCACTCTTTCGGAAAAAAAATATTGTGCTAAGGAAGTGTCCATTTATAATGAAGTCAGCATGTAATTAAAAACAAAAAAATTCAATAAGGGGAAAGAAAGTCAGAATTTCGAATAAAAATAAGACTTAAATTTCCTATCCATGTAACGAGCATGCTCGTCTTCAGGCTTCATCTTGGCCATGCTTCGACTCCAAGCTAAAGCCATAAGGATTTACTTTTCACAAATCATTTTTTTGTTATAGAATTTATGCAAAAATATTTCCCGGGACTAGAAAAATTAAATTATTTTACAGCAAAATGACTCAAAAAACTAGCTCACCTCCACTTAACAGCAACAATAATAAAAACCCAAAGTAAATGAGATATCAGGGAAGAAAGGAGGGCAATAAGCCATTATCCTGACATGATTTTGTAACATTCTTAGAATGAATTTAGGAGGATTCTAGAATTTCTAGAAACCTGATGCATCAGATGATAATTGCTGAGCAAAGGAGAAAAGGAGAGAGATATAATGGCCATGCCATGAGGGGAACAGATGCTCACTGTACCCATTAATCTCTCTGTCGGTAACAGCGAAGAAGAATCCAGTGGAGGTTAGGCCTGCTCAGGAACAGAAGAATTACTACCATCTATTACAACAAACACTCTGAAGGGTAGTGAAGTAAAGAACACTGATTACAGGAAATACAAAATGAAGAACTCATTCCCAAGTAAAGAGGAAGATCAGTACAACCAACTTAATTACATAAAATCTCTTAGCTAACTAGAATATCCTGATTATTGATTTGTCCATTACATAACAGGAAATAAAAACTTATTAGTACACAAGGAATCGAGGATTAAAGAAAGTACACCTGAAACGTACATTTTAACAAACCCTGCATACAGCACTTAAACCACTGAATTCTCATTCATCATTTTTCTTCTCGCTGCTAGATTCAGTACCATCTCCTTTTGGGGGATCTGCTATCTTGGTTTCATTAGATTCGGTACTCCCTCCTTTTGGTGGATCTGCTATCTTGGTTTCATTATGAGGTCCAACTTGAGCAGGCAACATATTGGCCCCCGTGTTATCAGAACTTTCAGGCAGCTTCTCTGTGGATTTTGTACCAGTTTCTAACTCCTCGTATCGGGAAATGACTTGCTGGAGCTCCTCATGGAGATTTAGGGCTTCAAAAAGCATTGACTCATCATCAGTAGTGCTCTCTATGATCCTCTGAATGACTGGCTGTGACTGCTTGCACTTTTCCAACAAGCTCACTGTCAGATCCTCCTGCAGGCACACAGGACTTTTTAATAATTGCAGCCACTATTTCATTGTTCTTTTATTTTCCCTCTATCTAGGTTCTGAAAATTTTGTCACTCAGCTATTTCTTTCACAATAGGGGTAGAGAATCATAGAAATCCCAGGAACATAACGAGCATTCAAACTCATTGACGATTTTTTGTTTATCACTTCCACTATAAATTTGTCCCAATGTCATTTTTGTGGAACTCAATAGCATTAGAAAGTAGGAAAAAACTGAAAGATGATTTTTTTTTTTTTTTATTCTGTACCATATCAGAAAGATCGTAAAGTAAACTTAAAGCAGGTATCAACTAAAAAAGAAAATTAAAAAACAAAAAATTGCATATAAACAGGTGAACGTGGATTAGCTGTTAGATGAGAGTGGTAATTACTTATTGAATAACACCAAGAGAGAAAGAGAAATAGAGTTACCTTAATGGGTTTTGGCTCAGTATCGGCATTCAGAATACTAGAAAGAAGTTCCAGACTGTTCCGAGTTGTTACAAGCATTTCATTCTTTTCCTCAATTGATAGCACCCCAAAGTTATATGAAAGAGTCCCATGATCTGCACCATGCAATCCCGTGTCAGGAATAGGATAGCTTTCAGGTGGTGATAATGGTTCCTGGTGAACATATGACTCCAAGGAATACGGCATGGGGAATGAACTCCCATCTTCAACTGGTGGTACAGGCAGACTTCTTTCTTTCAAACTCTGCCAAAGCCAGAAAATTATATTTAGATGTAGAAAAAGAAAAGCAAAAAACAGAGGCCTTTCGGTCTTTCAAGAATCTATGAGAACCAGACTAGCCATTAGCACAAACAAACAGCGGGAAAGAGGGGGTGTGGAATTAGAGACATCCATATATACTGATAACCAACATAAGGACTAAATGGGCATAATGTTAGTCCATCAAAAATTTTAAGACATGACACAAGCTAGCGAGACATAGGGATACTCTAGCATGAACCCATCCATTAATCCTTCTCCATCAAGGAAAAAAGATGCATCAGTTATCACTTAATGACCACACATCCAAAGATGCTCCTTTGTGGCCTTCTTTTAAAAGAAATGGTGAGTGATATTGGGTAATAAAATAGCAACATTGCCTCACACTGGAATTCAAATGCTGTAGCTATGAGGAAAAGGATGGATGATGAAGTGTAAGCAACCCCACATTCCCAAAACAGTAGCATGATAAAAACCCAAGAAGTTGTCCAATGATGATGAAACTGCAGTTCTATATAATATCCCATTTACAACATTCATGCATTTAGGCAAAAAAAAATCCAAATAGTTTTCTTTTTTCATCAAACCAACTAGCTTATCGATTATGACGAATAGCATCAAATCTGCAGAGACTAAAACCAACCCAGGGCATACGTATCACAACTGTTTGTGTAAAATAATAATAGTAATAATGATAAGAATCGCTGATCCTTGATCGAGCACATCAAATTATCACCTAATCTTACACAAACAAAATAGTGTATTTCCATAGCAATGAGCATTTGTGTACGGAGAGAAAGCTTACCATATAGGTCTGCCGAAAGACAGGCAGATACTCAAGATCCTCAGACTCTCCCCAAGCCCTAATCAACTGCAAAGCTCGATTACGATTCCCCTGATCTGTCTGTGGATTCTCAATCATCCTAACCATCTCATCCAACACCTTCTCAGACGCCACCTCAGAGAACACCTTCTCACAATTTGAAGCACACGCCTCCAACAAATCAAGACTCAGCCTTTGGCTCACCACACTCTTACCCGAAAACTTCCTCTTTATAGCCTTAACAATCTCCGTACCACTAAACTCTTCGCTGTTGATCATCGAACATATCCTCAAATTCAAACCCCAGTCTGGCTCCTCCATTGTCTCTAACGTAGCTTCATCAACCATTTTTGATTCAGGTGTTGGGGTTTGCAGTATTTCCTTCACCTTATCACTTACAAGTCGACTCATTTGAGCCCCACCAGTCTTCAACCGTTCACCCCATTCAGATAATTTCAGCTTGTCCATCTCTTATTTATGCTCAAAACACAAACATCAACTACTAAAAAACACAACCCTGATACAATTTTAAAAAATAAAAAAATGTTTGAGCTTCTTCTAGTCAATCAAGAATACTGAAACTCTAATTCAATTTTATGTTCACAGTTTTTTTTTTCGATTTTTTTCCTCGAGAACAACATGGAATTAAACTCGGAATTAAGAGGGGAAAAAACTGACGAACCTGAGGTCAGCTGCTATCGTAAAACCCTAGTTTGGGTTCGAAAGAAACGTGAAATCCTTAGTTGAAAGATTCCTGTGGAGATGAAGCCATTTTCAGAGGGAAGAGGAAGAAAAGAAAAAATCAATATTTAACTGTTTTAATTTTCAGTGGTTGTTTTGCCGGTGGTGATGCGACTCGAGAGAGAAACAGTCAACACACACGTGGCCTATAAGATGACTAATCGTTTGCTAATCAGGCTGCCTCCACGAAAACGATACATCGTTCGAGGAGAATGGCGTTGCATCAGGCAACCGCATGGCACGAGAAGGCGAATGCATCAAAACACTCGTCGTTTATGAAAAAAAGCACTAAGCACAATACGAAACGACGCGTCGTTTCAAGGGAAGGCGGACTTTGTTTCCAAAATAACGAGTGTTGTGGACTTCTCTGAGCCACGCAGACTGAGTGGGCTTGCACCAGGTCACGTTCTCAACCCGTAAACAACCCGACCGGAGTCCAAGAGGATCTAATCTCCATCAAATCCAACATATCAAAGACGCTAAAATTAGAGATTATTATCGGATTCGGTTTACGGGACCAAACAAGTAAAATTGTTATAAATAATTAAAATTCTCTAGTTATGAATGCAATATCAATTATTTCATTCTATAATTATGAATGTAAGTGCATTCGTACTTATCAATAAAATAACTAATAATTCATCTATCACAATAAATTAAATTTTAAACTATTCCTGTGATCTTTAGTAAAAAATACAATACCTCCTTCAGAAAAAAAGGATATTGTTCCGTAATAATATATTTTTTAATTTATTTTTTTCTATATAGTTTTGATTTAAAAAAAACGATGCAAGATGTCAATAACAAATCTTCTAATTTCTCTTTTATCAGCAATTGTAATGAAAAAAATATATATATTCTTCCCTCTAGTTATAAGCTTGTGAACCATGATTGAAAAAAAAAGTCTCAAGAAACCCAAAAAAAAAACAACCTCAATTGAAATTCTTAATTAAATTTATCTCTAAAAATCTCAATTTTAAAATTTTCATATAAAAAGAAAACACCTAGAGACACTTCTAATTGAAGTTGTTGTAGTGTGCGATGTTCGACGATGATAAAAAGCGAAAAGATAAAAGATTTATGTTATGCGTTGTTGTCATTGATAGTAATATAAGAAAAAACTTAACTCACAATAAAGAGATTGTTGTTTCTAACAACTAGGAAAAGAGGGATTATTAATGTTGCTAACCAACGCTAGAACTACCATTGTGATTGTGGAATGATGGTGAGATTAATTGATACGACAATCATCATCTCAAGTGCAGGTGTGTCGATATTTGATGGTGGAGACCGAATGGTGATTCGATAGTTAATTTGTTGTTTAATTGGCTATGGATAAAACGGTAGATTGAGAGGATTTTTTGAAAGCATTCTCGTAAATATTTATTTTTTTATCAAGGTTGTATAAAAAGGACAAAATGAAATATTTTTTATTTATAGAGAGATTTTTGTTGATAAATTTTAGAAAGATATTTATTTTATTTTATCTTATTTGCTAAAAGGTCCTGTGAAGCCCTATAAAAAAATAAACAAAAAAAAAAACACCAAAAGACACATCTAATTCGAATTGTTACGGCGTGCGATGTTTGATGATGGTAGAGAGAGAAGAGATAAAAGATTTATGCCGCGTGTTGTCGTCGCTAGCAATATGAGAAGAAAAGGCTTAGCCCACAATGGAGAGAGGTTATCGTTTCTAAGTACGAGAAAAATAAGGATTATCAATGTTGCCAACCATCATTAGAGACTACTATTGTGATCATTTAATGAAGGTAAGGTCAATTGACATAGACAATAATTATCTCAAGCACACATGTGTTGATCTTTGATGGTAGAGATTGAGTGACAACAAGAGTTCGAGTTGTTGATTTGTTTTTAATTGGATACAAAGAAAATGGGGGATTATGAGGATTTTTTTGAAGCATTTTCCTTAGTTTTTTTTTTTTTAAATCAAAATCTTAGAAAAATGGCAAAATAAGAAATTACATTTTTTAAGAACAAAATGAAAGATTATTATTGTTATTGATGTTGTTTATTATTCGTAGACAAAGTTTTTTTTTTTTTTTGCTAAATTAAATATGATTTACCATCATAATATATATGTGTGTGCGCGTTTTAGTTATAACTCTACGATTCACATCGATTGTTGACCGTTATTAGTTATTAGTTCTTTCTTTCTAAACACAAATACTTCAAAAGAAAAATTTGAATCAAAATATCTTTTAATTAGTGTAAGAAGTTTACTACTAGACCGAAAGCTTATTGATAGCCATTACAATATGATATGAGCAAAAATGTATTAAAAATCTATTAGTTTGGTCCATGATTTTTATACATCGGATCAAATTCATCTAATAATTTTTCGTTGAAAAAAATTAATTAATTTTTTGAACAATAAAAACATTTAATAAGAAAGAGAGATTGTTAAGTAAAAATAAATAAATAAATAACAAACAAGTTATAAGTCAAGTGGTAAGGGAGTTGGTCCCGGAGGATTTTTACGCCAATGTATTGAGTTAGAATCTTGGAGTCGCACTTGAAAATCTCAATTAAATTTACCTCTAAAAATCTTAATTTAAAAAAAATTATAGGAAAAAAAACTCCAAAAGACACCTCTAATTGGAGTTGTTACGAGTGTGCGATGTTCAATGGTGGCGGTAATAATAATAAAAAAAAGATAAAAGATTCATGTTGTGTGTTGTTGTTATTGGTAGGGGTGTTCGTTGGATTTTAAAATATTTTAAACGGTTTTCGACTAACCAATTTTTCAAAAAAATAACCAAAATCGAACCGAAATGTTATTCGATTTCAAAATATTTCCGTTTTGGTATTCAATAATTCAATTTTTATTTTTTTATTTTATTTTCTATAAATGGTTGATTTTATTAAAGTTTACGAGATCTATCCTCGAGTGGGTTTCTTTTCACTTCCGTAGATAATTAGTTAGGAAACTAAGTTATGTCTAAAAAATAGCAAAGATAATCGTAGATAAACAAATAATAAATTTTCCATTCGAGAAAGCTTGAATTTGAGATGATAGGAGATCTATCAATACTTTTGCTATTTTTTGTAAATCCACACTCGTAGCAAAGACAGAGAGAACAAGTACAAAGTCGTGGGAGAAAGTGCATTTATGGGTGAAGGGATTTTCAATTTAAGAATAATGGGTGAACTGAGTGATCCGACTTAGAAAAGGATATATATATATATTCAGTTTAACTAATTTTTTTTAAAAAAAAACCGAACTCGAATCCGAAAATTAAAATTATTTTGGTTCGGGTTTTTTTAAAATTTACTAAAAAGAATTGTACCAAAATTGATATTATGGTGCGGTTTAGTTTAGTTACTTGGTTTTCATCAAACAACGAACACCCCTGCTCGGTGGTAATAATAGAAGAAAAGGTTTATCTCGTAATGGAGAGAGGTTATCGTTTCTAACAACTAGGAAAATAAGGATTACCAATGCTACCAACCATCGTTAGAACTGCTACTCGTGATTGTGGGACGATAGTGAGGTTAATTGACACCGATGATAATCATCTTAAGTGTAAGTATGTTGATCTTTGATGGTGGGGACTAAATGATGATTCAATTATTGATTTTTTTTAATTGGCTATAGAGAAAATGGGGGATTAGGAGGATTTTTCGGAAGCATTTTTGTAAATGTTCTTTTTTATCAAATCTTAAAAAACTCAAACTAAAAAATTATAGTTGTTGACCGTTATTAGCTAGTAGTTCTTTTTTTCTAAACTCAAACACTTAAAAAGAAGAATTTTAATCTAGATGTCTTGTAAGCATAAGAAGCTTACTACTACTATACCAAAAGCTTATTGATAGCTATTACAATACAATGTGGGCAAAAATGTATTAAAAATCTATTAGTTTGGTCCATAATTTTTATACATCGGATCAAATTCATCTAATAATTTCTCATTGAAAAAAATTAATTAAATTTTTAAATAATAAAAACATTTAATAAGAAAGAGAGATTGTTTAGTAAAAATGAATAAATAAATAACTAACAAGTTATTGGTTCGAGTAGTAAGCAAGTTGGTCCTAGATGAATTTTCTCGTCAATGTGCGAGTTTGAATCTTGGAGCAAGCACTTGAAAGTCTCAATTAAATTTATCTATAAAAATCTCACTTTTAAAAAATTTTATAGAAAAAAAATCTTAAAGACACCTTTAATTAGAGTTGTTACGGTATGCAACGTTTGATGATGGCAATAATAAAAAAGAAAAAGGATAAAAGATTTATGTTGTGTGTTATTGTTTTTGTTAGGGGTGCTCGTTCAATTATTTGATTGAGTTTCGAAATATTTTGGATGATTTTCAGCTAACTAAATTTTCAAAAAAACTAACCGAAACCAAACCAAAATGTTATTTGATTTCGAAATATTTTGATTTTGGTATTTGGTAATTTGGTTTTTATCTATTTTATTTTTTTCCCCAAATGGTTGATTTTATTAAAGTTTCTAAGATCTCTCGTTTATAGTGAGTTTCTTTTCTTCTTTGTAGACCACTAGTCAAGAAACTAAGTTATGCCCAAAAAAATGGCAAATGCATTGGTAGATAAACAAATAATAAATTACCCATTCAAGAAGGTTTGAATTTGAGATAATAAAAAATCTACCAATGCCTTTATTATTTTGTATAGATTTAGACTTTAGCAAAGATAGAAAGGGCACATATAAAACTATGGGAGGAAGTGCATATATGGGAGAAAGGATTTTCAATTTGGAAATAATAAGTGTGGTGAGTGATACCACTTGATAAAATATATATATATATATATATATATATATATATATATATATATATATATATATAGGGGCGACCATTTGGTTTTTTGTTCGGTTTTGATTTTTTTCGGTTTTCAGTTAACTGAATTGACTAAAACAAAAACTAAAACTGAATCGAATTGAGATTCGGTTTTCGGTTAAAAAACTAAAATTTTCGGTTCGATTTTCTATTAAAACCTTTTTTCTTTTGCATTTTTTCTTATGAATTTTGAATCTTCTCTTAAACTAAGCTCGAAAGATTACTTTTCCGTAATTTTTTTAATTACATCACAAATATTGGTATACTAAAAATTTTATTTTTTTATTAATATTGACCATATTTAATTTAATTTATTTTTAAAAAAACATTCATTGATATTCCCAAATATCTATTTTTTTAAACCATAATTTTTTTTTAAGTTGATAAGAACATAAAATGAAAAAAAAACTAAATAATTAATTTTTAAAACAAAAAAATTAATTATGTTTTTTTAAAAAAACTAGAAAGACCGATTTATAATTTACTTTACTTGTAGTATTATGTCTCATTCATGCTAGTTTGATCAACACTAGCCTTAAATTTAACACGAGTTTGTTTGAGTCCGCATTTTATATATATATATATATTCAAATTCTCTCATCATTAGATGTAATGGCCAAACATATAGAGCTGGAGATCGGAGATGTAACTTTTAAACTTTTATGCATATTTAATAAAAGTTCATACTTTTAGTCCTTTAATCTTTAATAAAGAATTCTATCATTTTACTTATACGAAATATCTCATTTAAATATCTTTTGTTTATTTGAAAAAAACTCCTCACTTTGCCATTAATTAGGAGTAAAAAAGATCTTTATATTAAAACAATAATTTAAAATTCGTGGAGATCACAAATTTATAAGAGTTAAAAATTGATATGAAATATAAAAACATATCAATTAAATTATACACTCGAAGAATTTATAACCCGAGTGGTAATGATTTTTTGCAAAAAGTCTTTGGGTGTGTGTGTTTAAAAAAAAAAAAAACTAATTTGGTTTTCGGTAGAAACTGAATTTAAAAAAAAAACTGAATTGAACCGAAATAATTTTGGTTTTTGATTTTGGTTTTTTTTCAAAATTTTAATAAAAAACCGAATCAAAGTTGTTAATTTGATTCGGTTCGATTTTAACCGAACAACGCTCACCCTCGCGTATATATACGGTAATAAAAAAATCGATTTAACTGATTTTTTTTAAAAAAAACGAACTCGAACTCGAAAACTGAAATTATTGTGATTCATTTTTTTATATTTTTTAAAAATCATATCTAAATTGATAGTTTGGTGCGGTTTGATTCGGTTATTCGATTTTCAATGAATAATGAACATCCTAGTCGTTGGCAATAATAGAAGAAAAAGTTTAGCTCAAAGTGGAGAGAGGTTGTTGTTTCTAACAACTAGGAAAAAGGGGGATTATTAATGTTGCGAACTACTGCTAGAATCTGCTATTATGATCGTGGAACGATAACGAGCTCAATTGACATCGAAAATAATCATCTCAAGTGCATATGTGTTGATCTTTGATGGTGGAAACTGAATGATAATTCAATTGTTGATTTTTTTTTTAATTGGCTATAGAAAAAATGAGGGATTGGGAGGAGTTTTTTGGAAGCATTTCCGTAAATGTTTTTTTTTTATCAAAATCTTAGAAAATGGGCAAAATAAAAAAATACATTTTTTAAGGATGAAATGAAATAAATTTTTTTATAAAGAGAGTTTTTTTTTTTGCTAAATTTTAGAAACATATTTGTTTATTTTATTTTATTTGCTAAAAGTTCTTGTAAAACCCTAAAAAAAAAACCTAAATTGAAAATCTCAATTAAACTTATCTCTAAAAATCTAAATTTTAAAATTTTTTTAGAAAAAAAACATCAAAAGACACTTCTAGTTGGATTTGTTACGAGTGTGCAATGTTTGATGATGGTGGAGGAAGAAGAGATAAAGGATTTACGTTGAGTGTTATTGTCACTAGCAATAGTAAAAGAAAAAGCTTAGCTCACTGTGGAAAGAGGTTATTGTTTCTAACAATGAGAAAAATTGGGGTTGTTAGTGTTGTCAACCACTATTAGAAACTGCTATTGTGATTGTGGAATGATGGTTAAGTCAACCGATATTGACAATAATTATCTCAAGTGTCGGTATATTGATCTTTGATGGTAAAGAGTGAGTGACGATAGGAGTTCAATTATTGATTTATTTTTAATTGGCTACAAAGAAAATAGGGGATTGAGATGGTTTTTTTTGAAGTATTTTCCTCAAATTTTTTAAATCAAAATCTTAGGAAAAAGGTAAAATAAAAAATTATATTGTTTAAGGACATAATTAAAGATTATTATTATTATTATTCTTATTGTTATTATTATTTTGCAAAGAGAGTATTTGTTTTTTTTTTTTTTGCTTAATTAAATATGATTTAGCCATCACACACGCGCGCGTGCACGCACACACACACACACACACACACACACACACATATTTGAAGCATTTTCCTCAAATCTTTTAAATCAAAATCTTAGAAAAAGGGTCAAATAAAAAAATTATATTGTTTAAGGACAAAATTAAAGATTATTATTATTATTTTTTTTTTTGGCAGAGAGAGTATTTGTTTTTTTTTTCCTAACTTAAATGTGACTTAGCCATCACACACACACACACGCGCGTGCGCGCACACATATATTGGCCTTAGCTAGAACTCTACAATTCACATCACTGTTAGTCGTTATTAGTTAATAGAATAAGTGCTTTTTTTCTAAATTCAAATACTTAAAAAGAAGAATTGAAATTGAAATATCTTGTACATGTAAGAAGTTTACCACTGCTAGACCAAAAGCTTATTGATAGTCATTACAATATGATGTGGGCAAACATGTATAAAAAATCTCTTAAGTCGGGTCCATATTCTTTATACATCGGATCAAATTCATCTAATAATTTCTCGTTGAAAAAAAAATTTAAAAATAAAAACATTTAATGAGAAAGAAAAAATGTTAAGCAAAAAAAAAAAAAAAAAAAAAGTAATCAACAAGTTATTGGTCCATTGGCAACCGGTCCCGGATGGATTTTTTAAAATGTATAGAGTTCAAACGTTGGAGTCGTACTTGAAAATCTCAATTAAATTTTCTAAAAAATCTCAATTTTAAAAATTTTATAGAAAAAAAAAACAAAAGACATCTCTTATTGGAGTTTTTACAATGTGTGGAGAGATAAGAGATAAAAGATTTATGTCGTGTGTTGTCATCACTTGCGGTAATAGAAGAAAAAACTTAGCTCATTATAGAGAGATCTTATTGTTTCTAAAAAAAAAAAGGGTGTTGACGCCGCCAACCACTCGCTAGAGAACGTTATTGTGATTGTGGAATGATGACGAGGTCAATTGACGTTGACAATAATTATCTCAAGTGTAAGTGTATTAATCTTTGATGGTAGAGGTCGGGTGACAATAGGAGTTCAATTGTTAATTTGTTTTTAATTAGCTACTTAGAAAATGGAGAACTCGGGAGGATTTTTTTGAAGCATTTTCCTCGAATTTTTAAATCAAAATCTTAGAAATAGGCCAATATAAAAAACTATATTGTTTAAGGACAAAATGAAAGATGATTATTATTATTATTATTGTTTTGTAGAGAGAGTATTTTTTTTAGGATTCTACAATTCACATCCACCATTGGTCGTTATTGTTTAATAGAACAAAGGTTTTTTTTTTTTTATAAACTCAAATACTTAAAAAGAAGAATTTGAATCGAAATGTCTTACAAGGGTGAGAAGTTCAATGCTATGAGACCGAAGCTTATTGATAGCTATTATAATATGATAGGAAAAATGTATAAAAAATCTATTAGTTTGGTTTATAATTTTTATATATTAGATAAAATTGGTCTAATAATTTTTCATTGAAAAAAAATAAAATTCTGAACAATAAAAACAATTAATAAGAAAAAAAGATTGTTAAATAAAAATAAACTAACCGGCAAGTTATTAGTTCGATAGTAAGTGAACTCGCTCGTAAGTGAACTTTCTATCAATATATAGTATTCGAATCTTAAATTTGTATTATTAAAGTATTTAAACCTTATCATTTCTGTTTTATTGAGAATTAGTAGCATATATGAGAAATTTTATGATCCTTAAAGAGTAACTAATGTAAGTTACTATACGGATAAAGATAAACACAAACATAAAAGAGAAAATTTAAAAAAATTTAAATTCGTGTGAAAATCTTTTTATCATTTTTACTAAGTTTGAATGTAATTTTTTTTAAATATATCTATATTATAAAATGGATCAATAGAATAACTTTTGTCAGTAGGTGTCTTCTAATTACTAATTGAGTATTGTAAAATTTCTGGTATATTCAACGTAAGATGGGAATTACTGGGGTGGGTAGGGGAAAAAAATAAAAAAGGATAAACCTGTGTGCTATTTGCTCGGGGTTTAAGAAAAAATTGGCAACCTGAGATTAGAAAACACTTCCATTAGCGAAACAGAAGTAGCAATTGTCTGCGAGGAAAATGGTTTCCTTATCGACTTGGTTCCGTTACTTAGCTCACAAATTCGAGTACTCGGTCTCTCTCAGCTATAAGGTTCCCCCTCTCTCTATATCTACCCATTTTCATTTCATTGTAAGATTGATGCAATTTAAGGAGTGTGTGTTTGTGGGTTTTCTCATTTATGTCTGTTTTGATGATTCTGGGTTTTGATGGCTCCTTTGCCCGTGTAAATGCTTCAACTTTGTTAAATAGGTTTCTTTTTGCTCGATGGGTTTTTTGTTTCGTTCATATTGATGAGGGGCTTACCGGTAATGGGATATTTCAATGCTATTTTTCTCTTATTTTTATAAGATTTGCAATTTATTTTGGGATTTTTCTTCGCTATTATTTGATTAAGCTTTATGTGCTCTATGTCTCTTACTTGTAAGAAATATTTGTTCTGGGCTTGTTTATTTAGTGTCTATAGGCGTTTGAGGGAACGGTGCTTTTCTTGAGAAACTTAATTATAAAGATTGTGTTGCAGTGATGAGAGTTGCTTGATTTTTGTCTTAAATGGAAGTATTATCCAAAAAAAAAAAAAAAAGTCCTAAAATTGGGGAAGATTTATTTGGAGATTTATAAGGTTACTCAGAGTTGCTGCCACATGCTCAATTATACAACAATTCTTCTATTGTTTTGTTTTATTTTTGAATTGTCAAACTCATCAGATGACATCTATGCATGCCACTTCGTTATTTTGCTGCTGTTTCTACACCCATAGTAGTGGTTAAAGTAAGGATTTTTGAACTATTTCTATATTGATTGATTGTTCTGACATAACCAACAACTTGTTGCAGAGCTATAAGGGTGGCTTAATCAATGATAATGAAATCATTGATTCAATTTGGAAAAATATATTTGTGGGAAAGTTGACATTTTTACACTGGAATAAAGGACAGGAAATGGCCCCAACAATTGGAAACCAAGGGGGACGCTTCTCGTTCGAAAATTAGCAGCTGCTAATCCAATGTAAGAATACTTAACTCATATATGTTTGTGGATGTGTGGTTTTTTATTTCTTAACCATCATCAAGAAGCATACTATTTGATAATTATTGTATCAGGCAATAGGAAAGTGACATCCTGCATGTGGTTGATTCATCTAGATGATTTTATGTTGTCAGGAATTATTTTGGTGTTTTTGTTGATTGCTGGTTGTAGGGCCTGTCCATTTTGCAATGTTTTTATGCATGACTGGCAACTTGTTAGATGCCTGCTTGCTAGAAAGCTAAACGATGCAGTTGGGAGTAAAACTTATAGTGCATAGAGGGCTTTATGGTTTTTGAGCTATTAGTAATTATGTTGCTAGCCTATTCATCTGAATTGAGCTTCTTTAGGAAGTTTTCTGTGTGATCTAACTTTAATGCTCATTATTTTGGGATTTATGGAATGGTTATTTCATTCAATCGTTTAGTATTTGTCTACCAATTTGTAAACACGTGGATTCAAGTCTTAAGAGTTGACTTAATGCAAAACTTCTAATGCTATTGCTTAGGACCATAGCCATAAATGTTTAGGTGCATGTGTGATGTAGGACTTTATGAGAAAGTGATCAAGCGAGGAAGATATATGCGTGCAAAGACCCATGATCCTGCAGTTTAAACTATTGGCTCAACATGCTGCTCATTGTGATATTAGCCTTCTGTCCTTAATGCTTCCTCAACTTGTTCAGGGCAAAACCTTCCAACAAGAAAGCTCGAGATATTTGGCAGAGAAACCCAAGTGCCATAAAAGGCACACCAAGCTTTATATACAAAAATATATATATATATATAAAAACATTAAAGCCTCTTATATTTAGGTCTAACCAAACTCCATTAGCAATCTAGCTGACAACTATGATAAACAAGCCTAGCACAAGGGATAGCAGCATTGAAGCAAAATAAATGCTAGATTCAAATGCCATGTCATGGCTCCCATCTAAGCTTAAGTTCTTAGGTATAAAGCTATACCAATTATACACAACCATCCCTGGGTTATCAGCAACAGAAATCTGTGCTAATGGTTGATGACTTTGATATGACTGTTCAACTCAATAAATCTCTTAACACGCACTGATAAGTACATAGATCTGCTTTCTCTATCTTGTTACATTAGAGGCTAAATTTTCACTAGCTGTTGTGATGGTAGAACGTTCTTTATCACTTCAATCCGCCCTTTTTTTCTCCTATACAGTGCTTCAATGCTGTCATTTTTATTTTGGCTTATGATGGATGTGTCTGGACCATTTTAGACAACTCTTCTTTAACTCATACTTAATAGGTGCTGCCTCCACCTTTCAATGGTGTGCTTGTTTTGGTGTAACAACTCAATTTTTCTGTTATTTCCTATCATTTGGATACGATTTTATCGTTCTTCATCTGTAGAAATGTGGCAGTCAATAGGCTAAGATAAACAAGTGTACATATGCATACCCCTAGGAGAGAAAAGGATAGAAATTGTAAGAAGTATTTGTTTATCTTACCAAGGTTCCACCAAAATTCTCTTATTTTCTACAAATGGGGATCATATATATTTTTTATTAAAGAAATGTGACTGTGAGTATTATTTCATCTCATTCAGGTTTAGCCATGGGCATGTTCGATTACTGCAAATGAGGTTCATTTTATATTTTTCATTTGTTATCGGCAACCTTGACACGCCCTTTTTCATGCCTTTTGTTCAAGAAAAATAAAAAATAAAAAATCTTTTGCTCTAAAATAAGATGGTGAGTAATAAGTCATAGTTCTTGGCAGGCGTGTTTTTGTTGGAGATGTAGTGCTTTTGAAGGATCCTGAGAAGTCAGATAACTTTCTGGTCAGAAGATTAGCTGCTATTGAAGGGTATGAAATGGCGTCTACTGATGAAAAAGATGAGCCATTTGTTCTCGATGAGGATGAGTGTTGGGTACTAGCTGACAATGAGAAGGTGAAGCCCAAGGTATATGATACTTTGATATCATAAAAATAGGATCTATATAGGCTAACGGATTGTTTGATCTCTTATCACATCTTTCTATCAAACTTCACTAATATCAGAATTTGCATATTTATTTCCAACAATGCCTAAACCATCAGGATAATTGATTTTTTTCAAGTCATCTTTCGATGATTTATTTACTTCATCATATAAGGCTTTGAGCATTACTAAACTTGGTAGTTGATGCAGGTGTCATTGCTGACCAAGGGAACATTTAGACATACGGTTTTGCTTATGATGAAATTAGATACTGGTTTTTGAAAAATTTGAGGCTTCTGGAAACCTAGTTTGTTGTAGTGAAGGATGCATTGCACTGTAGATATCTAAATTAACTTAATTTCCTTTGCATTATTAGAACACTGTACGCCATAAGTAGAAGACTAACAGTTTTGATGATGTGTGTTTTGGTTTCTAGATTCTTTCCTACTATATACATTAACATTTTTCATTTATTTAGCTCTCTTTTAAAAGAAAAAAGAAAAAAGAAAAGAAGGATTAAAAATGTCCAAATTACCAAATGAGATCAATAATATTTGGGCAGTTCCTTCTTGTTGCATTTTATTCTAATTGAGACTGGGCAGCATCTATTTATCCTAATTAGAATGTTGGCAGTTTCTCCAGTTCGTCATTTATTACTAAGAGCACTTTCTCATATTTTGTTAGTAATGCTTTTGGAATATATCAAACTGAAGGATTGTTATATCTACTCTACCTTGTTTCAGATTCGTAGTTATTCTCTTGTTCTTTGATGCTCTATTCTTCCTTCTATTTTTTCTCTCAGGACTAATTAGGTTTAGTTGTAACATTTTGGCATGGAGATTGCATTTGATTCTTTTATGGCTTGAGATTGATCTTTTCTATTTTCATCATTTTTCTTTCTTTCTTTGCCTTTTTTTTTTTTTTTTTTTCTGGGGATCACAGGAAGCCAATGACAGTCGAACATTTGGTCCAATTTCCATGTCAAACATAGTTGGCCGAGTCATATATTGTCTGCAAACAGCTGTGGATCACGGTCCTGTGCAGAACAGGTGAGCAGCTGAATGCTACCTTCCTTACTTTTTTCCTTTTTCTTTTTGCAAAAAATCTTGGGTGATATTTGAAATTTTTTGCTGTCTTGATACCAGTCATTACAGCATGAGAAAGGACTCTCCGGTGCTGGAGGTGGAATTGGATGTTGAAGAGTTGGCAAAAAATCACAAAGCATAGACTCTGCCTACCAGCAGGCTGAATCATTTGGTTTGTACGTGCATCAGTTTTTCTTTTTTATTCTCCACCGCTGATGTTTTTTCAGTTTTATCTGTTATGGGAGGGAAATGTGTTTACTGTTATTTTTGGTCAGGTGTGGCAATCAGATAACTGGGTCTTCCTTTGCAACCAGAAAGCAGGAAGCTGGCTTTTTTCAATTTGGAGTTTGAACTTTATTTGGTATTGTGGTGAACAGTATTGTATTTTGAAAATCAGACCAGGAAAAGAAAATGGAACCTTTCTGCTGCTGACTATCAGGCTGCTTTTGTTGGGACTCCTTGCTTGTCTTCATTGCCCCACATGTGAACTTCCTCAGATCTGGCTCTGGGGCTTTCACAATTGGATATATTTTCTAACTTTTTCAAATAAATTTTGGTCTGTTTATGGACATTTCTTCTTGCAGTCTCATTGTTTTTTTCAACTTTTTATCACCATTATGTTGTAGAGCTCAATTGGCTTGTCTAGCGAATGGATTGTCATTGACTTGAACTCTCCCTTTTTTATAATGTTTTCTTCTTCCTCCTTTTTACTGAGTATTTCTCGTTATTTATACAACAAAAATTTTAGGGTTTACTAGCTCTTGAAAGCTGAAATAGCGGAAAAAGGGAATAACAAAAAATTAGAAAAATAAAGCTATTTCTTCAGTCAAAATTCACTTCGAATCCCTTATTCCTCAAAAACTTCTGAAGGGGTGAGGTTGGGTTTGGGCCTTGGGGTGAGGTTGGGGCGCTCTGACTCTCTTCAAAACATGACTGAAAGAAAGGAGGCCCGGGCCCATAAATCGCAACATGGCCGGACAGAAAAGGCCTCCATAATCATGAATTCCCCTCGAACGACATGTCTCTGAGTCTGACAAAAAACCTCACACTTTGCCGCCTCTCGTATCAAACGACAACAAGCCAAGCCATGTCCACACCCATATTTTACCCTAACGAAACAACATAATGCCCAAAAACTCCCTTATCAATCGCCGTATAAAATCTCAAACAACCGCAGGGAAAAATGAAACGAAGACACGGAAAAGAGAAAACAACGTAGTAAAATGCAAAAGCGGTACTGCTAAGCAACAGCTCTCAACTAGTTCGTTCAATGTCGCAAGCAGTCCATCTTTTTACCAAGAACCTACCTGGTACTCCTTTTATCTTCATTCTCACTCCCCTTTACCTTTCCTTTTTCTGCTTCAAGTTCTTTAGCCTTTGTTTGGTTTTTATGAAAACAAAAGAAAACTTGGTTTAGCCGAAATGGCTGTTTGAAGAACCTGTTTCTCAGTCATCTTTTCGTTTTCTTCATTTCTTTTACTGGTTGACGTTGGTACTTACTTTTGCGTTATCGTTTTGAAAGCTGTTGCTAGATAGAATTGTTGTCCACCATGTGCTTGATAGAGTGGCTTTTAGGTCTAACAAGTAAAGAGAGGGCTTCTCTGTTGTTTCCTAGCTTGTTTTAACTACTGGGTTTCGTTTTTTTTTAATCTCAAAACTGACTATTTACCTTCTTAAGTCGTCCTGTTGATTCAATTGCTTACTTATGTTTGGCTGGTTCATGCCTCCTTTGCTTGTTTTTGATTGTAGTATCGTATTATATCTTAAATCTAAGTAATTGACCCCGATTGTTTTAAATTGATAGGGTTTCGTTTATTTTGGTAGCTTTTATTTTTGACAAACATATTTGTTTTCGACTTCAGACTTAGCTTTTGTATGCTTCATAGTTTTTAACAAAGATATTGTCCCATAAGTTTTGCGTAACTTTCAGCATCATCAGGCACAATGGAAGACCTTGCCCAGTTGCAAGGCCTTCCACGTGCACTGCAACATTACTGTCAGGAAACACGTGGTTTCGCTTTTCTGTAGCACTTTAGGAAATGGGACATGAAGTTTGGTGGTAAATTGTTTTGGCCATATGTTTCCAAGGGTCAGGTTGCTTAGGGTATTCTCTATATGGCTACTCCATATAAGACTACCATTAATCTGGCCCAGATTTGCATTTGATGACATGTGCATCCTTAAAAGTATGTGCTACTAGTCTGATGAAAACCTCAGTCGTGATAGCAGAGCTGGAGCTAGAAATGTTTATGGTGTTGATGAGGTTAATTATGAGGTCCAAGTAGTGGTGACTCATGGCTGCTTGTGGTTGTGTTAGAGGTATCCGATCAAAGTACCAGTTAAGAAGTTGGGGCTGTATATTTATGTCCAGATGCTCTGGATGAGAATAAACTTTTGTGTTACATTTCTTCCTTTTGGGTTGTCACTTAAAATTTTATCACTTAACTTTCATGGCCAATGTCCTGGTTTCAGTCCAGCTCCTTGTTTGACTTTTGAGAGGAATGATATTGGGCTGGTGGTGGTTGGTAGTGCATGAGTGTGAATCTTTGTGGTGAGATGAGGACTGGTGTTGATTTGCTGACTGTTACATTGCATGAGAAACTGTTATGTTCCTGATTGGTTTTCCATAGAAATCCACCTGTATTTTAAAGTAGTCTTTCATCATCATAAACAAGTTATTACTCAAGATGCAAAAATTCCATACGGCATGGAACCCAAAAAAGTGTTCTGGCCGATGCTGGAAGCACTAATTCCAGCATAAGCTGGAAAATTTGTATCTATGAACATTTAAGTTAGTCACTGTCAAAAGCATGTATTATTTGTTGATCCCCTCATAGCATCAATCTCATGATTAAATTCAAGATTCCCATCACATGTATAATTCCTGAACTTTATGACTATTTTTCTTTGTTTTTATGGATCTATGCCTTTTGTAGGTTATGGATCATCAGAAGGCAGATGTCTCCCCTGTTCAGGAATTTCTGCTAGAGCGGTTGCTGTTTCTCCTTGTTCTTCACGTGGCGTTCACTATATTCTTTCACAGGCCCAGTTTGGAAAGATGAAATGTTCTTCCAAGGCTTCATCCATTGTGTGCAAAAGTTCTGGCGGTCACAGGAGAAACCCAGACTTCTCTAGGCAAAACAAACAGGGGTTTTCACGAAACAGGAACAGGCAAAACGAAGAGAAAGACAGCTTTGAAAACCTTGATGAATCTGATATGTTAACATCAAAGAATGGGCCCGTACTCTCCTTCTCTGGGACGCCAAAGTTCCAAGCCACTGCTTCCCCTGGATCAAGAGAGAAGGAGATTGTTGAGCTATTCAGGAAGGTACAGGCTCAGCTGCGTGAAAGAGCTGCGGTCAAAGAAGACAAAAAGGTGGAAGCTTCACAAGGAAAAGGTAGAGAGAGTGAAACTGTGGATTCCCTCCTCAAGCTACTTCGGAAACACTCAATTGAGCAAGGTAAGAAAAAAACCAGCAATGCCAGCAGTGGAGACTTCAATTTGGACCAGCCAGAGAATGGAGCATACAAGAAGGCTAAAAGCACAAGTTTCTTTAATTCAAGTAAGAAAGAAAGGAATGGTGACCTAGAGCCCAACACCTCGTTTACTAGGCCACCTTCGAATTTCCGACGGAAGTCTCCAGTACCTCAAGTGAAATTCCAGCCCATTTTTTCAAGTGAGGACCCTGTTAATTCTACATCTCATTTAAGTTTAAATGGTGAGAAAAAGCAGCAGTTTGAGATGCTCGCAGACACTACCCAGGAGCTTGAATTGGACCCAGGATTAGAGCCAGAGGAGGAGCCTGTGTTGAATTCAGAGCTAGAGCCAGAGTCAGAATCTTTCCCTGGTGAGGATGTGTTTGATGAGCTTTCTGAGGGTGAATCTTCAGATATTGATAATGTCGATGAGGATGGTGAAAAACAACAGTTGATTGAACAGGAGGATTTGAGTTCGTTAAAGCTACCCGAGCTGAGAGCGCTTGCAAAATCTCGGAGCGTGAAAGGGTTTTCAAAGATGAAGAAAGGCGAGCTGGTGGAGTTGCTGAGTGGTAGTTCAATGTGACAGTGACACAGTTTTAGATTAGTTTTGAGGTGCCCCTTTTGTTTTCATATAGTTTTGTTTCCTTGTTCTCTTTTTATGACTTCGTGTAATGTGATAATTTTAGCTCTTCAAATCCTCTCTGATGCTTTCATCTCGCAGATTATAGATTTGTTGCGATGCTGCTGCTTTATTTTATGGAAGGAAACCTGGTTTTATTTTTTCTTTATGGAGGGAAAGCTGCGTTATGAAATTGCTATCGCTGTAAATACATCCACTCTCTCGTTCAATACCTTGATTGGACCAGAAAACGAAGAAGCAGATGTGACTCTTATGGCCGTTTGAAATTTTACTGCAACAGAAATTGAAATTGAAAAAAAAAAAAAAAAACAAAGGGTTAATACCTGCCAAATTATTTACAAATCAACTAGCAAATCGACATAATGGGTTAACATTGATAGATTTAGACTTGACGATACATCCGATCCGACATGCTATAGTAATCGGATTGTGCCTGTCGATACCGGAACTTAATAAAAAACCGCAGGCCTACGAGTCATCTACTCCTCACTAGCACCCACAAACCTGCCTTTTGACCTAGGATGCGATTCTGATGGCCTGACCTTCCAATTTCCAAGCTCCAACTTTACAAATTTACCAGAGGTCAGATGTGCCATTAAAATCGATATTCCACGTTTGTGGAACCCTCGAGCCGCGCTAGATTACACTATCTTCCTCTGAATTCTCTCTCCAAAAACAGAACTCTAAAATATCCACATGACGTATACTTCGCGTTTTTTCTTTTATTGTTGGAAGACAATAGATTCCACGAAGTCTATTAGAAGGTTCCAATCTGAACAGTGTTAACTGTTAATCATCATTCCCATCCCTTCATTGTTAAGTTTTCTTCCTTTCTAAGCATCTATATTTTTCTTTTCAAATTTTAATATCCATTAATTATTAAGGAAATAACGACGAAATTTATTATATTCCTTTGCATGTCCCCGAAAATTGAGAGTGGGCGATGGCCCACCATTTATATATATATATATATATGTATATATATACATATATGCATATATATATATATATATATATATATGTATGTATGTATCTCCTGATCGTTCCTTTGCTTCTTAATCTTCAATTTTGTTTCCTTTCGTCTTCCCCAAAATCATGGGCCAAGTTCTTGATTCGATGGCTCAAGACCAATCCTAAGACGAAGTTCTCCATCAGATGGCTATTACTGGAAATGTGGACGCCATTAAAGCTCTTTGTAGTGAAGGTGCAAACCTTGAGGTAAACAAGTAACCATACAGTACTTGCTACTAAATATAATACTGACCATTTTCTGCTTTTTCCATTTCTTGTTGATTCTGATGCTAAAGCTACAAACTTGTTGTGTTGTTAAAACTTTACCTTCACTTGCTGCAATTTATACAAAATAATAATAATAATAAATAAATATACCCAAGAATTTTTTTTGATGAATTATGCCTAAAAATTCTCGCGGGTCTGGTTTTGGTTTTGTCTAAATAGAGAAAGTTATGGTCTTAATTTGGCTTTTGGGTGCAGTGGATTGACAAAGAGGGGAAGACCCCTCTTATAGTGGCTTGTATGGATTCTGGATTGTACAATGTTGCCAAAGTTTTGATTGAAATGGGAGCCAATGTCAATGCTTATCGTCCAGGTAAGTTTTTGCAACCAGAAAGTTTTGTTGTGCCATTTTCTACAAGTTAGATATATATTGTGTGAGTAAGCAGACGCAAAGCTAATCCACGCAAAGCTAATCCATGCTTTTATATACTTCACATTTGGATTTGTTAGTCATTTATAAAGTTGAAAGTTTCGTGCTTTGTACACTCATAGGGCATAGCCTAGTGGTTGTGCACCCGGTAGCTTCCTTCAGTGAAACAGATTCGACTCTCAAAGACTCCAGTTTATTTGATCATTACGTAACACGGGACGGCTACCCCACATCGCATCCCGATGAACCCCAAAAAAAAAGAGTTTCATAATTTGTAAACAAGAATGATGCAAATGTGAATTTGTTATTGGCAGGGCGTCGCGCGGGTACCCCTTTGCATCACGCGGTGAAAAGAGGCCTCGACCAGACTGTTAAATTACTTCTCTCAAGAGGAGGTAACTATGCACTAACATCGAAGCATAAGTAGTGGACAGGCACAAGTTTGTTAGCACAGTGCTGCGTGTTTGCCTCAAGTTTAATGGATTTTGGTTCTTTCTTTAATATTTCAGCGAATGTTTTAGTGAGAAATGATGATTGTCAGACTCCACTTGATGTTGCCAGAATAAAGGGGAATATAAATGTTGTGCGCATTATTGAGGTAAGCTTGACAAGCATGGAAGTGTTAATTTATTAACTTTCCTCCATACATATGAAAGATTATTAAATTGCCGAACTTTTATATTCACCTTTTTTGGTTTTTTTTTTTTCAGAGTCACATTTGCTATTTCTCTGGTTGGCTGCGGGAGTTTTATGGTCCAGGATTTCTCAAAGCATTTGCTCCTCAATTTTTATCAAGAAAAATGTTTGTATAATGCCCACTTACTTTGTTCATTCATTTCTTTACATGCCTTTCCCTCAGAATTGCTTTTCATTTAGTACAGTGATGTTAATGTTATCATATGGCAGTACTACTGGAGCTACGGTGATGTTAATTAGATAGTTGATATGATTTCCACCTCTTATTCTAAGGCTTGGATAGTGTTATTTTTGTTTTTACAACTTGCCAACATATCAGTTAGATTTCCTGACGAAATGGCTTATTGCTTGCAGCTGGGCTGCCGTTATACCACAAGGTTTCAGCCATTCAATGAATTCCATCAAGCTGGAGCTTTTGATATATCCTACTTCACAGGTATGGTAACTTTAACTGTTTATCCTGCTTGCTCGTGATCTAGATGTCTATAGTCAACACTATTGCATTCCTATGTTTGCCTATGACAATGATTCCTCAACATGTTTTTGAACACTAAGATGATAATATGGCTTAGCCATCTCTGTATCTTCAGGCTTACTTTTAGACCAGTTGTTATATAGAAGGCATATCCTATGTTATTTAAGATATCCCTCAACTTCATTTTGAAATTTTTGGGTTGAGTTTTAGCAATTATTTAGGCAGTGGTCTGTTTTCTAAGGAGCCAGGTAGCTCCCCAGGGTCATTGCACCATGCTTTACTGGTCTATTGAGCTCCTAGTTTCAATTACCACATGCACCCGCACCCTACGTTCATTAATTCACTTGATAATTGAGGTTAACGGGTTGACCACCTCAAAACCTATTAAATGACCTATTGCAAAATATATATGTATCAAATGAGACATTCCTCTAAAAGGATGGTGGTTATCAAAAACCTCATAATATTGCCATGGATTTCCATTGTCGTAGATGGATTTTGGCAATAATTTATGTGCAGAATAGATATGCCGGTCCTGTTTTCTTTTGGTTCTTTGGCATCATCAACCAATAATTAAGGTGTATTTTGCTTTATGATATGTCTCTTGTTGGGCATAAAATCAAGAATTGGTTTCGCCACCAATGGGGCAGCCACTTGCATTGACTGCAATCTGATAGATCCAAAATTCCAGTCTAATCCTCTTTCTGGGAAAATGCTGAACACACATGAACTTTGTAGCTTCATGATTAGAATTCTCTGTTTTATTCATGTGTACATAAGCTGTCCTTATTCTCTAAACCTCTCAGTTTCACGTCTGCTGAATGAACAGGATACACAACCTCGTACAATTATTGCTCTTTGGAAGGCCAAAATTGAGGAACCTAACTTTAACCAACCAGATCCTGAGCTTACTATTTTCGACCAGTCAACTAGTAAGTCACATTCATGATTGATGGTGTTGGCTATTATGTTTTTATTTTTTATACAATCTTGCTGTAGATGCGCATGCCTTCGAGTGTTACCGTAGATATAGAAGTCTGGACAGTTGATTAACCCTCTGGGTGATATGCAAACAGTGGATAAATATTCCATTACTATTCATAGTTTTACTAGTGTGTTTGTAGAACACTATTTATCTCATTTGTCATGTTTCCATTGTAGTAGCTAAACCGGAGTGCTTTCTGTGGTTATTACATTCTTCCAGAAACTCAATACAAACTTGCATCTGCCAACGAGGGTGACAAACAGCAGCTTCACTTGTTATATGATGCCTGCAGCGGCATTCCCCAGGTATTTTGGTTTTAACTTATGCAATGTTTTGTTGTGTTGCCTAAATTCGCATGCATTCAATGAACAGTATTCTTGGAACCTTTTCGTGTAGAGATTACAGATTCAGAAAACAGGTGCTCTCATTTGAGATGTATAGTCATTGAAACGTGACCTGATTATTTTTTATGAAAATGATACTGATATCTTCTGAACACTGATCTAAATTATCGAGACTTTGTCTGTCTAATACAGGCACAGAATTAATAATTTCAGCGTTTTCTAGTAGACAGTAGTGAATCAAAAGTTAAAACTGATCCAGTCTCATCCAGATACTTAAATACTGCCATCAATTTTGATCCACTAGAAGGATAACGAGTTGAGTAATCCCATATCTAGAGTAGTGGAACGGAATGGATTCACAATTCAGGCACATTGGTGACCCTGTTCTAGGTTTTGAATAAAAGGGTTGAACGGCTTGTCAAGGAATGTTTTGACTTTCCATTGTAAGTTTTGAATCTATAATTGAGTCTGATTGGTCTAGTTTATTTCCTAATTTTTTGAGATTTTGTTAGCCAATTATGAAGAACTTGGTGCACTAAAAGATTGGCTATTGTGGATTGGTTTATGAAAAGTTGGTTTATGCTTTGTAGTCTTGTTTGCATATTTTTAAAAATAAATGGCTTTTGCTCCGTTCTTGCTTTATTGGATGCAACGTACCCCCTGCACCTAAGACACCGCTGTCAACATTCATAATTTCAGGTTATACCTCCGCCAATGCATCGTGATCCTCCAACCACAGTTCCAGTGGTCGGTCATCAAACCTCTGCAGAAGCTGTAGAATCGGCAATGGACATAAGCGGATCCATTCAGTCTGCCACAGAGGACAGGCCACTGCATCCAAATACTCTTCAGAGCTCTGGAGTAATTAATGCAAATGGCTGGGAAGATCCTGTTCATGTTGACAGCCACAACGGGTGGGCTGCAGCTGTTGGATCCACACATTCAGCAGCAAGCAGCAGTGGATGGATGGATGAGGCACCAAAAGAAGACTACAATGGTTGGGGTGTGCCTAACATGAGGTCAAGTGGCAGTCAAGGTCACGTACAAACCCATGATGATATTCCCCCTGCTTTTGAAACAAGTGGTTGAAATACTGCATCCGTCTCATCAGCTCCATCAGCTCCACCAATTCCTGACGGGGCTTTGGATGAAGGGACTATCCATTATCCATCAATTGATTTTAGTCCAGTGGACTTCTCTGTTCCAGCCTCAGAGAATGGAGCTTCTGAAAAGAGTGACGTGAACGATGGAGATACTTCTTCTTCATGTATAATATGTTGGGAAGCTCCCGTTGAAGGTGCATGCATTCCTTGTGGTCACATGGCTGGTTGTATGACTTGTTTGAATGAGATCAAAGCCAAGAAAGGTGTTTGCCCAGTTTGCCAATCCAAGATAAACCAGGTTGTAAGGCTTTATGCTGTCTGAAAGGTGAACCTGACTTACCTGAGTAAAAAGGATCTGGCATTGGTTTGTAAAAAGTTTGGATTGATCTTTACATCTTCAACACGTGAGCTTGTTCTATATATTAATTACATTAGGACTAAAGATGCAGCAAGGCAATTCTTGCTGGTCGACAAAAACCTAACTGCAGCATGGACTACGAAGATTGAACTCTGCTTTGTGGAGTTTCTCTATGGATTATCTTGTGGCCACCCTACACAAGAAGTACACAGGGACTAGGAAACCTATGCTATCTGTGGCATCAATGAAACCATCACAAGTCACCTCGCCTTGGAACTGAAGTGCATGAACGCTTAATCCCTACTTCACAGGTTGGTTTTCTTGCATATTTTTATGTAAACAAAGAAAAATGTTGTAAATGATCAATGAAAAGTATACCAAATGATGGTTTCTTCCATTTTTCTTGCAACCATGATTGCTTGGACGATGTAAGACAGGAAGGGTGGCTTACAAAAAAGTAAAAAAAATATAATGATATAAGGACTTAAACAAGGATCCTTCCATTCCTTCCTCGAGCATATATAATGCATTGGGCAGTATCTTCCTCAAGGATATCGAGAGTTGATGGTATCCTGCTTGTGACATGGCTAGGAAATTGTGGACCATTCTGAAAAACAAAGCCAAGGGTTCCCTGCTTTAACCACGGCTTGTGCCTCTGTGGTGATGTTGATGCGCATAGGCTCCTGACCCATTGCCTTAGCACCCACCATTCCAACATCAGGAGCCCTACTGAGGCAGCGACTACTGACGTAGCGAAAGTTTATAAGAAGAAAATAAACATTGTTGATTGGAACAATCTGTTGAATTGCATGCAAATATAAGAAAATAAATTTTCAATTTTGTTGATTTATGGAATGTCGAAGTTAAGATAAATTTGAGATATTCTCTCGTAAAGTTTTATTAATAAATAAAAGCTGCGTTTTTCAGCTTTCAAATCATATATAAATAGGAAATTAGGTCAAAATACTAAACCAACTCAAAAGTGAAACAAATATAAATTTTTTTGAAAAACAGTAAAAGTTAATTTTGAGGGCTTTAAATAGCTTTTTTTTTTTTTTTTTTTGGTCAAATTCACCTTTATATCATGATAAAGCGATGAGTTTGACTCGTTGAATCGTTTGACATCGAATTAGGTCCAAAAAACCTTAAAATTGAGCTGATAGTTTTTTTCAATTTTTGTTACACTCATATCGCTCCATAAATTCTAGTGCGTGTTGGTGTGCATCACTTACCCTTTTGTTCTTGACATCAGATGGTGAAAGAAGCACATGGCATGTTGGATCAGAATTTCATATATGCTAGTGAGCCATTACTGGAAAGTTGGATTCACTTGCTTTTGCTTGGACACTCACAACAGTATACCTAGCCCACCACAGAAAGCAAAGCTTCGGACATTTTACTGTCAGCAAATTTAATCCGGTGGAAACTGGAATGTAAGAATAGTCTTCTAGACGAGTCATTCGAGCCGAAACATTTTCTCCCCAGTCCATTAACGAAAATGGGGAACCAACCATCCATCCCTCGATGAACTTGTCCCCTGTATTGAGGTAACCCTGCGTCTACGGCAAAAATCATAGTTTTGTCGGTATATATATAAAAAATTAAATACTAGGATCCAGGACATCTAAATCAAAGTATTGTTTAATTGATAGGATTGTTGACCTTAGTTTGCCGACGGACTGCAACAGTTTCTAAAGAGGGCAGGAGTTGCATAGGGTGCTTTCAACTGTCAAGAATAAAGGTTTAACGGCATAATTTACTTTCAAATCATTGGAATTGGAATTGTGGTAACTTATTCTATTAATTTCGATTTTTTAAATCTTAAATTATTAATTTTTAGGTAAATTTTATTTATTTTTTATTATGTTTAAGAATTAAAATATTAACCACTAACTAAAATATTTAAAACTATGTTTTTTTAGTAATTTTATTTTTCAATTAAATTAATTTAAAAATTCAACACTTCAATTTCTTAATAGATGAATCTATTACATATCATTAATTATCCAACAAAAAAAAATCACATCCATGAAAAACAAATCATCAAAATTTTCTTAAAGCTAACTATCATTTACTAATTGTTTTTCAAAATTAATTCTAAGTTTAAAAAAACTAAAATACTTAAAACAACGTCGTTATAACATCTTTTTAAGCATTTGCTAATACTTTGACAATTAGACATAATAGAAAAGGATAAACTTTGTTCAAAAATTAGTAATTTAGAGTTCAAACAGCCTAAATTAATAATATACACTTTATTTTATTAAAGTTTTAATAGTTTGGAGTTAAATTATGTTATTAAACCGAAATATAAAAGGTGTTTCTTGGGTTCAACATTTTGGTTGGCCAATCTATCATACTTCAGCTCCGTTTGGTCACGCACAAGCAGTTTTTTTTTTTATATAAAAAAAACAGGCATGTTATGTTAGGAAAGCAGGTAAAAACTAACGATGAGATAGGCATGCTTTTCTTGTACTCAGTGAAAAAGGAGTAAGATCAAGCAGACCCTTCATCTAATCTCAAGTTTTCAACTACCTATTACCATTAACCACTAGAACTTTTTAATGGTTTCTGCTGTAATGAGGATTAATGAGTTCAAACTGCATAAAATAGAGCTCCCAAATCAAAATTTATTGACTTGGAAGCTATGTATAGTATGGTTAGAATGACTAAGCCATACTCAAGCAATGGTGGGGAACTCTTGTAGACCCTCGTTCACTCCTGCCCAAGCACTTCTGGAGGTCCCTTTTCTTATTTTTATGTGCCCTTTTTAGGACTGGTGGTTTACTTTCTCTACAGAGGGGTGTCAGGCTAATAATTTTAGGTGCTTTATTGTAAATATAATAGAAAGGGAAATATTCCTTCTGGTTAGACGTGGAAAGTCATCACGCTTCTCCTTCTGTAGCGACTTCAATGTTTGAATACTGTTTTTGATGAGAGGAATTAAAGTTGGTTCATAGCCAAGACAGATTATAGCTGGCATATGTTTGTTAAAACACTTCAATAGACAAAAAGCACGGGTAGGTTGCAATTAAGACAAGGCAGGACAGGAAAGTTGTCTTGTTTGAATACAAACACCATCAAGATGTAATAGATCTGAGCAGATGATTTGCCTGTCTCTTGAGAGTTGGGTATTTTTTGAATCTTCAGCAAACCAAATAGCATGCACTTTACAAATCTCATATAAAAATCTTGGTAAATGAAGATGGTTTGAAACGCAAAGGAACTCCTGGTTTTAGGGTTCTTAATACTACACAAAAAGATTGATTGGATTTTAGTTCAACTGGCATTTGTGTCCTTCCAATCCGACTAGATTTACAGGCAAGTTTTAATCTCAAACCAGTTGGGATCATGGATTTTCAGGTTTTTTGTTATATCTTTTAATATTTCATCAATAGGCATAGGCCAAAAAAAGAAAAAACAGTCTAGCTTGTCGAAGTTTGATTGAATGACAGATGGTTTGTTGTATGCTAATCTGGTTTGTGAATTAAAAACATTCTTTTGTCTTTTTTGTTAGGGCTGGATTGTGGCTGATTAAGCTACAAAGCAAACAAAACACAATGGCGTGGCCCTCTCTTTCAATTTATTTGATTCTGATTTCTGGACTCTAGCCTGGAGTGCCTACTTTTTGTTTCTCTTTTGATCTGAATGTAGGCGTGGACAAAGCATGTCCGAAAACCTGAAGTTGCCCTTCAATAATAAAAATGACGACTTTTATTACAACCTTAAATTAATCATTTGATTACAGTTGGTATGAGGCAGAATCTAATCAGCCACATCAGCATAATCACACAATATATACCTTGGAATCATAAACACAATTTTTGACTTCTTTTTTTACGAGGGTGGTAGTTAGATGTGCTCAAGTTTTGTGAAACCGAAGCAAATCGCCAGCCCAGAGCAAAAATTCAAGGCCTCAAGCTTCCCAGCTGGTTTTTCTCTAGTTTTTTTCTTTTTTGGGTATCAAGGTTTTATGGATTCTTTGTTATATTTATGATTATAAAATGATTCGTATTGGTTCAAAGGAGAGCATAGATGAATCGTAAAAAATCAATATCTTTTCGTCACTATTTTTTTTTTCTGGGGGGGAGATTAAAACAGAAGGGAAATGGAAGTTTGCGGATCACGGGATTTCTGTAGTTATCTTGAGGTAACTTGCTTAGGTTTTGCTAGTTATCACTTATCAGAACTGATTGGGATATTTCTGATGGTCCTGTACTGTTTGGGGTTCAGGTTTTATTTTTTTAGTTCATGGTGTTGGTGGATTTTGTTGGATTTTTTTCTTTTTTTATTTGTAAGAGAAGAGAACTAGTTTTTGGCTGATCCAAAATTTAGAGTAGTTTTTAACCAATTAATATATTAAAAATAAATCCCAATTTTGTATCCTCCTCCAAATAAGTATATAAGATATTTTTAAGAGAAACAACATGCCATTTTTCAAAGAAAGCAACATTTTCTCGTGATTTTTTTCTTTCTCAATTGTTTTTTAAATAAAATATAATTAATAATGATGTTTTTTCTTAAAAAAATTAGAAGATGACATGATTGTTAAGAGGTATACTCTCTTCCTTAACTTCATGAATCATATTAAAAGTTAGTATTTAGAAAAATTTATTAATTTTTTTTATATATACTATCTATATAGGCTCTTTTTAAATTGTTTGAATAAAAAATTTAGTCTCGCGTGCAAATTGATCCGAGAGTATCTTTTGTCGTTAAATTAAAAACAAAAAATGATGTTTTTTTTTTAATTAGAAGACCTAAACTGGTTTTGGACTCCACCACTCATGTAGCTGCTTTCCATAACATAATTATAACTGAAAATTTATAATAACAGGGATTCTAACCTTACTCCAAAATAAGGAAATTGCCTCTAAACTAAGGCTGCTTTTGTGTCATCAACAATGATGTTAATTTGCCAAATTATTGAAAGATTCAAGGGTATATTAGCCATTTAGTAGGTCATGTACATGTCTCCATATCAATCATGGTATTTCTCTGTAACTAAAGTCATTTATCCAGTTTGGATGTCATTCCATTGCATCAGCAAATTAAAAAAAAATGGCTTGACTTTCCCTTTCTTAACCTTTTTCTCCATAATCTAATCTAACCCAACCTAATCAAGATTCCACTGCTACTAATCTAATTTTATCTCTCCGCTTGCCTTCAACTGTTCATCATTATTCTTAATTAATTTTCTTCCTAATCATAAAGCACAACAAATCTCCAACCAACCATAAAGGCCCCTACAATAATAAAAAAGGAAATAAAAAGAAAAAATAGGGTCCCACTTTTTTTAACCCCTTCTATTTTATTTCCCATCGATGTTATTCACAATCTCTCTCTCATGCAGCTCTGTAATGAAAGCAGGGCATCAGTTCTCTACACACACTGTTTTTTCAAGCCATAAAGCATGGATCTTTGATAATTTCTGTACAAGTTACATGTCTATGTCCGTCAAGATCTGCTTTTTATGCCTAAATTCACCAGTTTGAACCGAGTATAGATTAAAAAGGTATTGTTTTGATCACAAGGTTTTGGTTATGTTCGATAAATGTTACTTTTTTTCTGTACAATTTGTGTTCTTTGGAAGTATTGTTTTGGTGGGTTGTTTATTGTTTTTGGATTCAAGCTTTGTGCTCTTATGGGGCGCTGTGTGAAATTCTTGGAATTTGTGATATAACAAGCCGGTGCTGATTTTTGGCTTAATATTTTTTACCAAATCAATGCTGGGTTGGTTTTCTGATCCTGCTTTATAAGCTATTTGAGGCTAGAAATGTTAGGTTTTTGTGGAAACTGGGAAGCAAAGAGTGATTTTGGATCTCGTGTTGTTTTGATTCTCAGAATTGAATGTGAATTCTGTTATTCTTGGTCACATGGTGTGCTATAAGCAATTGATTTCCTGTTCTTCTGGTCTAGAATTTTGCACAGATCAGAGATTTTAATTTTAATTCTCCTGGCACCAAATGTATAGTGAAAATGGTAGTCGTTAAATAAAAGCTAACGACTCTCTTTTGTTTTATTGATGGCAAGTAGGGAACAGTCAAGCTATTGATTTTTTTTCGCGATATTGTAAAATGGGTATCACCTCATTATGAAATAAAAAAAAGTCACCGAAAGAAAAGGAAGAAGAAGAGAAAACTGACTTAGCTTATTTTTTTCAAAGAGACAAGGTCTGACTTGCGTCAATGTCATAGTACATTCAAGGAAATGATTTTTTAGCATATTGTTGCATATTTGTTGAAAAGCTTGTCTTTCTTCTGTTGTAGGATTAGATGCACAAAAAATCTGTATATTTCTAGTAATAATTTGCTTGCTGATTGTTCTCTGGTCGGTCAGCAACTTTTGAATTCATTATATATCCTGTTGTTCCCATGGAAAATCTCTCCCCATAGAAGTGAATTTTCTTAGATGGAATTGAGGTTTGAGATAGCTTTCCATTGTGTTTAATAATGCGGTTTCTTGGACCCCATTGGATAACTTGAGTGCACTAGCGTGGGGCCTGGGGTAGGAGCTCTTGTGGCAAGTGGAGAGAGAGTACATAAAAGGCCAAGACCAACTGAGAGTAGAACATCTTCAGCTATATTCAGAGGGAAGACATTTCATTGATTTGGGTACCAGCATCATTGTGGTGCTGCTCTGTGCACATTTACTGACCTTGTTGACTGTGTGCATGTGGAGTTTGTTGCTAGGCTTGGCTAATTTATTAGGCT